CAACACATGCAATAGGAATGAATCATCACTCATACCCGAAATATGGAAAATAATACTACCAATCAAATCAAGTGAAAAACAATGGAACTATATAAATGAATTTAGGAAGTCTTGATATGATTATGAGCAATAAATTGTGCTCGAAACGTCATCAGTAAATATTACTGTATAACACTGTGAGACTCTATCAAAATAAAATTTACCCATAATGGTATTGCAAACTTAATAACTTTTTGTTGGACCTCAGTTATGCTTTAAGCTAAATGGTCTTACATTAACTCCTCAAAATCTCCAGACTACTGACTTTTCCTTTAGACATAGAAGTTGTCTACAACGACCAGTTAGTATACACGGTGCTTGTAGCATAGAGGGGGCTGTAATAGAAACCACGTCTAATACAAAATACCTTGGTATAGTTCTATACTCTGAACCTACTTGGTCATCCCATATTCTGTCAATCTCCAAGGAAATGTTCCATCTAAGCGACTGCGTTAAGAAGGTCAAACAACCTGGAATCACTTAACCTCTGCTTTTACAGTTTGTCAACTCGTGTATCTTACCTGTTATACTTTACTGCCCACTCTTAGCCTTCTCTAGGCTACTCAATAAGGACTATTTCATTTTGAGAAGGGTATTCAAGGTTGCTGGCAGGGCATTTGGTTGGCGACTTAGTCAACTTGTCACTACATTAGTCGATAGACATTTGAACTCATGCAACAAATGGTCTAAATCTACATTGATGACCATCAATGCTGACTTTATACTCAACTGTTCCCTTGTATCTCATCTGGTAGAACTAGAAGTCAGTGCAAAAGATTATATGCTCATACTACTAAGTATAGGAACTTAACCATACCATATTTGACCCATGTTCTATGCGATAAAGATAATATTGAGCGGGAAACGTGTGAATTATTATGCTGCTAGCAAAATAATCCTTGTTCATCGAATCTACACTCAACACATACAATAGGAATGATTCATCACTGATACCCGAAATATGGAAAATGCTACTACCAATCAAATCAAGCAAAAATCAAGTGAAAAATAATGGAACTATATAAATGAAGTTAGGATGTCGTGTGATTACCTTGATATGATTATGAGCAATAAATTGTGCTCGAAATGTCATCAAAACAAAATTTACCCATAATGGAATTACCCTCTACCACAGTGCACAAGTTTTATTCTTATATCAATGATCTCAAACATCCCAATTTCGTTCTTTTTTTCTATGGAATTACAAGCCTAGTTACTAATTCCCAGTAATATTGCGACTAAAACGAATTAAGGCGAATTACAGAATTCCCCATGCATACATCACTGTGTTAGTCTATTGTTTAATGGGAACTGATGGAGAATATACGTGGAATGTTGTTAAGTGATGCAAATGTGTCCGAATTCTAGTTCACTCATAGTCTCTATATGTTTGAATGGCTTTATTAACATATCAGCCTTTAATTGATTATTTGACGATTAAATTTAGACTGCATTCTATTTTGATTGGTGATTCTCAAGTAATTAATTCATTCAATTGGTGAAATGTATGACCTTGAGACCATTTTTGGCCAATCAACTTGAAGTAAATATGTATAGCTTGTAGTATAAATTATGTGCATTTCGACAGCGAGTATTTAAAACTTATTGATTTCATTGAGAGGATTTATAGATCAGGGGGATGTATTTTTGGTATTGTTTTATTCTCTGTGTTGGTAACATTTTTCAAACTAACTTTGATGGCAACGCTTTATCTGGCTCAGACGCACAAGAACACCAAGAATTTGATAAGCGTTAACGGTTGAATAACACGACAGTGGTAACACCTTAGTGATTGACGAATATATGCATTTCACATGTCTTTTCGCTGTGAAATATAGCCATTAAAAGTGTAAGACCTGATGAAGTTAGCTATCTTTAACTACAGATGTTTGTGCTGTATCTACCAGGTTAAGTAGTATAATGTGGTGAATAATACTGCAGTTAGGTCAGTTGAGTAATGTTATCTGACACAGGATTCGAATAGAAAATTATTAGAGGTGGTCAGATCGAAACCTAGCGTCAATCATCTATGAAGTGTCAGGCTATTGGTTTGAGTCACTTAGGGAGGTGTAGCCTGTGCCACTGGGTCATCGAGACGCTAGAAATCAATAACTTGAGTTTTTTGGTTACATAGTCACAAATCGTTCTCAATAGAGTAGATGCATTAACTCCTACTGGGCTCCCGAATCCACTAAACTGTCAAGTGCTGGAAGGCTGGATATACTTTTCAAGACAGAGTGCCACACCTGACTCCTAAGAAACCCTGTTCAGCATGATGAAGAAGATTTGTAGCTCAGGTGGATGATTTTGATGTGGTTGTGTTCTCTGAGCTGGATAGTTTATTTGCGAAGCTTTCATTGCCCTACTAGACAACATCTTCAGCGCATACTTGGATTTGAAGTGTGCTTTTAGAGTTGAGTATGATTTATCTTAATAAATAGAAAACCAAACAGTATTTTTGTCACCCAGTTAATCACAGAACTGCCTCCATTAATGTTACTTGGTTAATGATGGTTTACAGTGAAAAGCAGTTCACGCATTTCGTCCTGTTCGAAACTCGTCGACTGGACATATCTACATCCCAGTACGTGATAGTAGGGCTACTAAGATTAGAAACTGGGTGCCTTTATAAGTGATCGTCAAAACAAATTCATCTCCCTTCCGTTCGTGCCTTTTTGATAAGAAAGGCTGGAAGCGGTCAGTCCCTTTTTGAATTTCTTCAGTCGGCTGGTCTTCATATGATTTTGTACTACGTGTTTAAAGAAATACTCTAATCATAGCATATGTTACATTTGACCTTTTTACAAGATATTTTATTGATTTGTTTACACAGTTAGAATACCTATTGTGGCGTTTGCTATGGTACTACTATGCGCGGAGATACCTCTCAGTTACTTTTGATCCTCACCTTCCTCTCTCGCCCTCCCCCGCCACAGTTTATTTTTCACCACTATTTTATTGTTCCCATGGTATGACTGACCTATACTATTTCTACTAGAAAGGAAATAAATCTTTGAAATTGTTTACAACTTCTGTAAAATATGTATGTACGTAATGTTTTATTCGGAATGTTCACATACAATTTTTTTCAGAAATATAATAGAGCATAAGAAAGAAAAATGTATATTATGGAAACTTTTATGCATATTGCACAGAAACAAAGTTGCTGTTTATTGTTAGTAAAGATTAGATAATCAGTGTAACAACAGAAGACAAGGGCCAGGCAACAGATCGTTTATTTACGAAATCAACACACATATTTATAGATTTTCATGTACATTATTATAGATTATTGTAAGCAAACAAACACAGCCTTCTGATTGGTGGCTTCTTGTTGAACGTTAATCTTTCATCTCTTTGTGGCTGTTTCTTGAAGGTCAGATTATCTATCTGTAAATTGTATCCGCCTACGCAAACAAAGTCTGCTGTGATGGGTTGTTGTTGAGTCAGTCTTTGTTTTTGTTATTTTCCTCATGACCAATATTAGGGACGTACATATTGACGTCTACCAATTTGGCTAGCAGCCAGCTCTCACCACATCAGTACTATTTGCTTACAGTTTCTTCTCGTTTTTCTGACCTAAATAAACATCCTTGTACGTCGGTAGTTCAACGGTAGAATGCTCACCGACCACATATGTGATCTGAGCTCAACTCCCAGTAACCTACATGAAGTGCGAAACTAACGACCTTCACTCTGTAGAAAAACACATAACACCGCTGCTACTGAAACTTCAAAGTTTGAAGTCCTACTTCATACTCGGAACTGCAGTAGTGCGATGAACCAACCAAGAACCTGTTGCTCAACAGTTTGGCAGATGAAAATAGAGATGGGTTAGATATTCGCTTAGGAGACCTTCCACACCATGTAGGTTGTTGAATGGTACTTCAATAAGAAGCCATATGTTGCATGTCCATCCAAGTGTGACACAGAGAAGATTATTTGACGAAGAGATGAAAGCTTGTGGGTAATCATAATCCCAGTGAACCAAGTGCATTGAGGATGTGTCAGTAAAGTCCCATGTTCCAGTGGAAACGTAAAGAAAGCATAATAAATTAGTAAACGATATTTAGCTATAAAATTCGGCTCAAATACTGTTTAGTAACAAGTATTCGATAAGTTATGTGAACAGCAACAGAAAATTATGTATGCGAATTGGGAGGTCATTGGAAACGTTGTTGCAGTTCTAATAGTTATAAAAAATTGAAAATATTAGTATGTTCTTCACTACTCTAGTTTAAGGTGGTGCTTCGTGTGTTCATTTCCTGACCGATAGCTGCTATCTTGGTCTGGTAGTTGGGGACTTTCTTATCACAATGACTCAATGAGCTATACTAGTTGAAAGGAATGTTCCCTCAAAGATTAACATACCAGAAATGTCCTTTGCATAGTGGTTAGACGAAAAGCAGTTACCAAAGTTTAATCCACTCACTACAGGATCCCAAAAAGTGTATATCCCAACTTACAATGTGGCGACCAGCACTTCAAATAGGCTATGCATAACCGACCTCAAGCAGTTTTCCCTTGAATCCAGCAGTTATTTTTCCTTCACGTTCCACATTGGAACATAGGGCTTCAAGCTATTGGCTTGAAGTTTCTGTAGCAGTGTTTATTTTACAGGATGGGGTTGCTAGCCTCATGCCCAACCTTTCCTCTTCCCCAGCATTATTTCTGGCTTAGCGAAGTAAAGGAGTGAGTCGGCTGGGGATCGAACCCAGGACCATGTGCATGGTCGGCGAGCATATCTATCCAATGCGTTTCAAGAAGAAATCAAATTTCACGGATTAGGCAGCCGCCGGGAATAATTCACCGCCCACACACTTCCATCAGCACACAGAGCATTTTTAATCATGTGTTTTGCTTCAGATTGAGTAGATTCAAGTAACTATTTCTCCCTCTCTCTCTCTGTCCAATATCATCTCAGTGATATCTCATCAATGATATTTTTTGTTGTTGAATAGGTCTTGAACCACATGGCAATACAGTTGGTAATCCAGCACGATTTACAATTGATACATTCAGCGCCGGTCGAGGAGCTGTTGAAGTGATTGTGTTGAATCCTAAAGGACAAAGAGAACCAGTAAGTTGATTGATCTTGTAGTCCTAGTCTTAATTAAATTGACCTACAATTTTTCATTAATTATTTGAGCAATTTTTTTGAGGTAATACATTTATAAAATAAATCTATGCATGTTACTAAACAATAACTAGTTTGAGACAGAAGTAAAGTCATAATTTGAACAGTTTGCGTTATCGGCAAATAATGATGATTGGAGCTGTGTAATTTACAAACTTGTTGGAAGAGAAATGCCTTTACAGTTCCATTTAGAAATCTAAACTATTCACATCACAAAATGATAAATGATAAACAAGAAACCAAGCATAAATGAATGCATGGTGTTATGTATACTACTGATAGACTGAAACGAGTAGTTGGATACTACTTACATCAATCAGTAGTGTTTATCAGTCAGTCAGATCAGAGTAATCTAAACACTACATGGCCATTTCGCTTGTGAACAGCAATCATACTAGGATATGTACTACTGATTTCCGGTGAGTAATTCGGCGGTATTTATAACACAACCAATTGGGTTTTGTTAGATGAATCGAAGTTATAGCACAAACTATGAACGTACAAAAAGAATCCGTTGTGAAATTTCATCTAGAACTGCTTTTTCTGCAAACAGTTGATTTGTACCAAAGAAATAAAAACATGATTGACTGCAAACTAAAGATCTGCACATTAAGAGGTCAGTCGAGATGAAGGATTACGTAATGTAAATAAAAGTTTGTAAGTTCTTTATTGGGTTTTGAAGTAAGATCAAGTGAAAGAACAGTGATCCAGGGAGACAAAGGCATCAGTGATCTTGAAACGCACAAGCAGAGAGAGAGAGGCTGAAATGAGATAAAAGACACCATATTCTTAGAAGAATGATGAAAAAAGTGTAAAAATGCTGAACAAGATATCTAGTTAGTGTACAGTTACGTTAATTCCGTCTATGTATAGATTAGAGTCTAATTAAGGAAAGATAAGAGTTAAGGTTAGTTAAGGGATAGGTGGTATAACGGTTAGGGCGCTCGCCGACCATGCACATGGTCCGGGGTTCGATCCCCGACCGACGCACTCCTTTACCTCGCTAAGCCAGAAATAACGTTGGTGAAGAGGAAAGGTTGGGCATGAGGCTAGCAGCCCCACCCTGTAAAATAAACACTGCTACAGAAACTTCATGCCACTAGCTTGAAGCCCTATGTTCCACTGGGGAACGTGAAGGAAATAAAAAAAAGGGATAGGTTAGGGTTAGGATTAGGTTTTTCTTCATTTCTTCGCGTTACTGGTGGAATAAGCTTCAAGCACTGAATTGATACGTGTTTTTTTGGGGGGTTGGTTGGTTTGGTAGCCTTACGTCCAGCCTATCCTCTTTGTCGGGCTTACGATCGACTAAGCAAGGTTCAGGAGTGCTTTGGTGTGTAGGAATCATCAGCAGACCTTGAAAACAGACAACTGACCTAAAAGGAAATTTTAAGTAACTAGCTCAACCATAACTAGAATCTTTCACTAACCTAACTTCAACCTAACCCTAATCTATCCCCAACCTAATCAAAACTGTAATCTTTCTCTAACATTGTCCTTAATCTATCTCTAACCAAACCTGATTTCTTCCTAACCTCTCTCTCGCTTATACTCAGGCTAACATTAACTCTAATCCTTTCCTAACCTAACTCAAAACTAAATAAATGACCTGCTTAGTTATCTTACACTTCTGCTAATACTTTTTTACGAATGCTCCACTGCAAACCTCAAAAGTGCACATCCCACACCATTTACCAATTTTCGTGTGTGTGTGGACACACAAACATAGGGAGGAGTAATCGTGCTTTGCATGTGAAAATGGGAAAGCATATCCCAAAATGGTTAGAAAAACAAATGGATTGTCAGACTACCAACTTTGTCTATTGCTAAACACCTAATCGAGATAAACCATAAGACTGATGTTAACTCAGCCTTTAAGGTCATATATAAAAATGGTCAAGGGCGCTTATTGAAATACTCTGAGGCTGTAGCTATTCATAAACTTAAACCCACCCCGCTTCCCACCATGTGTATTCAAAAACAGTTTATAATTACTCTTAACCTACCTTGGTATTCCTTATTTGAATGGATTACCATACGTTGTGTTAATCATTCTTAAATCCTTTTTTTGTCACTTTGTTTAATTTATTTATTTAATTTTTTTATTTATTAGTGTGATGTCCTCAGTAATAATGATAAACAACAAACCTATTCATGTGCTTATGTACCAACACAAGAAGGTGAATATCGAGTGATTATTAAATTTGCTACAAAAGAAATTCTTAATTCACCATTTAAAGTGCTAGTAGAAGGTGCACAAGGTGATGCAAGTAAAGCAACTGCCTCTGGTCCTGGAATTGAACCAACCGGGAATCAAGTTGGTCGACGTACATTCTTTAATATTTTCACTGCAGGTAACTTTAACTTTTTATTCATAGTAATTTGTTCTTTAAAAAAACAACTTAGAAAGATAATAACTGATACTCCTTTTTGCATAAGAGGTGGCTTTCTTGGCCCAACTAATTTGATGGGTAACACTTCGGTGTATTTGGAATGATGGGTTTTGGGTTCGAGTCTCAAGTTGGACAACATCACTCACTGTCGGATTGCAGGAAGAAATGTTTATCTTAGATTCCAGTGCTAGTCACCATCCATCAAATATTATTATTGTTGTTTCCTTTAGTTCCTAGAGGAACATAGGGCTTCATCCTCACGTCTCCTTTGCTTCCAGAGTTCTCCGCCAACGTTTTCACCTAGCTCCACGTCTTCACACATGCTTTCATCTCCTCTTCTCGTGACCTCCTCCTCTATGTCACCCTCCCACTGACGACCAACTCGCCATTTCCCATTTGGGTTCCACTGGAGAGATGGCCTAGCGTGTGTTGTCACTCACTTCATGGGTTTTACAGAGTATGGCCAATCCACTTCCATTTCTTCCTGCATATTTGTTGCACAATCTGTTCCTACTGGGTTGGTTCACTCTCAGAGATTCCTGTTGCTGATCTTTTCAGACCAGCCATATGGTCTTGAGTATTGAGTGAAGACAGCTGTTGATGAAGGTTTGTAGTTCGTTCAAAGTGACCTTCGTGACGCGCAGTGCAAGTCTCTGATCCGTATAGCAGGTAGCACTGACTTCACATTGGAGTTGAAATTTCGCATCTTATTTTACATGCTGAGTGCTGTTGACCTCCACACAGACTTCAAAGTAATTAAAGTTTAACTCATCATCCTCATCAGTTCCGTCCGCCTGTAGTTGAAACGATGCCTCCCAAGTAAGTAAAGGAGGTTGCTTCTTTCAGATTTTTCTCAGTTATGCTGTCTGTTGTCTGTTGTTGTTGCTGTTGCTGTTGGCCAGGAATCTTCGTCACCTCTTGTTTCTCTATGTTCACCTGAAGTCCTATCTTTTATGCTTCTTCGGCCAACTTGTTACTTTTCACTTGCATATCTCCCAGGTTGTGAGAAATCAGACATATATCATAATGGGCGAAGTCCAGATCCTCCAAGTTTTGTTGTGTGAGTCCATTTTATGCCTGTTTCCTCGCTGCCCACTATCTGTCGCATTATCCAGTCTACCGCAATCAAGAAAATCACCGGAGATTTTGGGAAGTCAGCCAGCTTGCCTCACTCGCGTCTTCACTTTGAAGGACTCCATGGGTTTCCCGTTGTGTATTACTTGGCATGCAGCTCTGTCGGACAGCTGTTGGATGAGGTGTGTAATTGTTGGCGGCACCCCATAGTAGCGAAGTAGTTGTCAAATCAGCTCTTGATCGATGCTGTCTAAGGCCTTTTAAAAGTCAATGAAGTTGAGATAGAGAGCTGACTGCTATTTCAAGCTCTGTTCAATGATGATCCGCAGTGTTGCGATTTGATTGATGCACGACTTGTTTATCCTGAATCCAGCCCATTCCGGTTGAAATTTTGCATCCGGGGCGCGTTTGATTCTCTCCAGGATAACAAGATACCAATCGTTAATGCCTTGCTTGAGTTTATATACTTATCTACAATAGTATTAATAAGTTGATTTAGCTACCCCTCAATTGTCATACTGACAGCTTATAGTATTCATCGCAATGTAACAAAGTTTTTCTTTAGTAGCTTAGAAAAGATTAAGGCGGAACAATAAAGAAGATAGATAAATAGATAGAAACATAAATTAACAAACTATAACAGTAGAGATTGAGTGAGACCAGAATGTCTTAACCTATTTAGGTAGAAAGTTAACCGAAGTATCCACCTGTCATTTGATGTCTTTTTCAAAGGTGTATTTGTAAAAATATTGTATACAAGTGAAAGTATATTCATTATATACACTTTCATGAAATTTAACTTTTAACTCACTTACTGGTTTTACAAAAACAAACAAATGAACACACAGCTGGTTACATTAATGACCGTGAGTTCCTGTGAATCAATGTTGTCCAAGTTACGTGTATCTACTTGTTGTCTACTCGTGTACTAATTAGTTGTACTATTGATTGATTTGTGTGAACTACACAGTTTTAACTTTTCATTTTTTAAGAGGATATTATTTTATTGGGTCAAGACTGTTATTATTCAGCGAAGAAATATTCTCTGTCGACGAAATCCTCTTCAGAGTCTGGCTTTACAGTCGTATAGCAGTCTATTATTGAGTAATAGGGGTATGGTGACATAATTGATATAATTACTCAGAAGTGGCTTTAAAAGTAAAAAATAAAAGTCGTAAATTAAATGGTACTCAACGGCACAAAGATAGAAAATTGATAAGATTAAAATTGCTATTGAAAGAGAATAAAGGTTGTTGAGTGATAATTTAACAAGTTTGAAGAGGGTGTGAAAATGTACAAAAAGAACATATGAGAGTGATAATAGTGAGTTAATTAATAAAGTAAAAGCAAAATAAAAATAAAATTTTAAAAACAAGAATTTTTTTTGTAGGGAAAGACTGGTGAAGTGGTTAAGACCAAGGTAGAATAAGAGAGTGGACAAATTTTTTCTGTATACAGAGTTTGGGATTGTATTAGCGAATTGCCAACACCTCCGTCATCCAAAAAACCCGAAACCTGACACCCTTTGCACCATTTGGCCTCACCTTGTAGATGATCTTGAAAGACGACTGTGATGGAGCTACGTTCCTTGAGTTGTCTTGCATTTTCCATTTGCTAACCATTCTGGATAATGTTCAGAGATGCATTTGGAAAGTGTTCGCTTTGTATGGCTAATATAACTAGCTCCACATGAGCAGGTGAATTTATAAACACTCATTGAAATGGCGCGTCCAAAGCGGCAGTTTATCCTTCACACATCCACTGATCGTTTGTAGGCTGTAGAAATTGATCTGTAGCTCGCTCACAAGGAAGGCTTTCCTCAGTGATCTGGATAAGTGGTTCTTCAGAATCCTTACTGAGCTATCACCTATGAATTCAACGTTTATAAATAGCAGTTTCTTAGGCACCTTCTGGGTTCTTTCAGGCTTTTGCTTCAACTTCATGTTCTTCCCGATAAATCCTAGAGGATATCCATTCTCTATGAGTAATTGTGTGACTACTATACATTTTTGGTAAATATAAATACGACTGTACAGCCAGACTCTGAAGATGATTTCGTCGATAGAGAAAATTTTTGTCCACTGAATTTGTCTTTTATTTTCTTCATGACTCAATGGGTATTTTCGGTGATATGAAGTATTTAGTATCTAAAGAGGTTTGGCAGTTAATTCAGTATCCGATAGATAACTGAAAAAGATTCTTCAATGCTGGATATATGACCTGTTTGTAGTAGGTGATCTATTAGCACTATACTGTCAATGGCTTTATTAACTACATCTTTGTCTAACCACATTAGTAGGTATTCTCGAGGACGAAACATTAACTTCCTGGACAAATGTTCAATGTGTAATTGGCTGCACAAGAGCAAGACAATTTTGAAATAGTGGAGAATATTTAATTCAATTTTAGATTTTCCCATCGATTGGTTGGACCGAAGTGCTCGGTCTCAGGTTGACATGTCTGTCGTCTTCTTGTGCAGATGCTTCGATGATGTCTGGGCATGTAATTATAAGTTAATTGGTGGATGGTGACTAGCAGTGGAATCCAGGATGCGCATTTCGTCCTATTTGGGACTCGTCATCTGGATGCACCTGCATTCCTCTGTGAGTGATGATGTTCCCACCAAGACTCGAATCTAGTGCGCTTGAGTGGAAACATCATCACTCACAGAGGAATGCAGGTACATTCAGCTGACGAGTCTTAAATAGGACAAAATGCATATCATAGATTCCACTGTTAGTCGCCATCTACCAATTAACTTCAAATATATATATATATATATTCAGCAACTCCTAAGTGCAATTTCTGGACCGTTAGATGAGAGAGGTGTAAATTGTTGTCCAGTTACCATCTTGTTTACTCATATTTCCCTTTCTTGCTATCCTTCTTCTTCTGACAAAGAAAAGCAAAACAATTTCACAAAATATATATTCAACTAAATGTTGTCCTTCAGTGTATTCCATTATTATTTTACTTCTGTCTATTTTCTTGTTGTTGCTGTTGTTATCATTATCATTTGCATTGTAAACACTTTATTGACAGTGTATAGTCCCCCCCTATATAGCATTAGTCTGTGTTTTTTCCTAATCCCAAAATGTGATGTTTATTCTTGCAGCACACAGTAGTCGTTAAATTCTCTTGCTGATTCATCACTGGTTTTTGTTGTGTTTTTAGCTTCTGTTTATTCTGTTGTTTGTGTGCGTGTTTGTGCTTCGTTTGTAAAAAATTGTAAAAAAAGAACTAGAAAAGAAGGCGAAATGAAACAATAAAGTCAGACTGTTCTTTTTTTGTATCCAGCATGGAATTAACCTCAACGCACACTAGACAAGTCAATAATTATATTTGACAATAAGTCAGCCAATATATGCTATAAGTATAAAACTTGAGCCAATATATGCGTTTGTATAGTGAATGGTTAAATGGTAACCACGCACGTCGTCAGGATTATATCCTCACTAACCTCTCCTAGTTTGCTAACCAGTAGCAGAGAGATGAAAGGTGGCTGGTTGTGAGGCTGGGAAGGAACTCCACGTTGTAGTAAAACAACGCCAGTGCCACTGCCACTGAAACATCATAACTTGAAGCTATATGCAACTCTTGAAACGCTGGCAATGAAATAAAAAAGAATTCAACTGGAAGATTTCTGAGAAATTAAATGTTAACATATGTGTGTAAAACTTGGGCACTGTGGTAGTAAGCAATTCCATATTAGTTTCTTTATTAGATGGATATATCATACAGTCAGAGAAACAGTATTATTGTTTACTGGATGACAAAGTTTCGAACAAAATTTATTGCTGTTCATAATCATTTCATCAATTATAACCACAGGACTTCGAAACTTGAGTTTTATAGTTTTCTTTGTTCTCTCCTATTTGTCGCCGTTAGAGTGGCAGAATTTTCCAGATGTCTAGATGGACAGGTGTTGAATCATTCCTATTACATGTATTTACAGTTGATTCAATGAACAAAGCTTCTGTTATCAATCTCTCCCTCCATTCACGCTGTTACATTAGATTTTAAAACTGTCATCTTATCCCATCCGTCCTACTGTATAGTTGTGTGTTATTGCAAGTGGTGAGTGCTGTAGTTGGACTATTCTCTAGATTTCTTATCTTATTCGGGTCAACTAATCTAAATTTTCCTAAGTTTTTATTACTACTAATATTATTATTACTATTATCAATAATGACGACTTGCATGTCAAATATGCGCAGGACAACACCAACAATAAGGAATCTAAATCATCAGTAGTGATTCCATACAAGGAAGGAACCTCGGAAACCCTAAGTAGAATTCTTAACAAGGCACGAATAAAAGTGGCTGGCATTCAAACCCACAAACTCAATTAGAAACAAGCTTTTTTGGTTAGAGAATCAATCCTGTGGAGCCTTTAAAACAAAACAATTTAGTTTATCTAATACCCTGCTAGAATGATTTTCAGGTCAAATACATAGGTCAAAGTAGTAGAACAGGGTCAGTCAGACTAGCCGAGCATAAAAGCTTAGCAAAATCTCGATTGGTTGACCCGAATAAGATAAGAAATCTGGAGAATGGTTCAGATATAGCACTCACTACATGTTTTTAAACACAACATGCGATAGGATGGGATGAGATGACAGTTTTGAAATCCAATGTAACAGCGTGAATGGAGGGAGAGATTGATAACGGAAGCTGTGTTCACTGAATCAACTGCAAATACATGTAATAGGAATGATTCAACACCTGTCCCAAATGGCATCTGGAAAATTCTACTATCCAAACGACAAATAGGAGAGAACAAAGAAAACTATAAAACTCAAGTTTCGAAGTCATGTGATTATAATTGATGAAATGATTATGAACAGCAATAAATTTTGTTCAAAACTTTGTCATCCAGTAAACAATAATACTGTTTCTCTGACTGTGTGATATATCCATCTAATAAACAAACTAATATGGAGAAATTAAATGATTTCATAGTACAGATGTTATTTTGGTTGATGGCGATTAGAACTGGGACCTATGATACCTGTTTCACCCTGTTTGTGACTCATCATCTGTATGTACCTGCATTCTCAGTGAATGATGTATGCTATTCCTAGTGAGATTCAAACCCAGTGCTCATTATTTTAAACAACAAACCTTCAAATATCGTCGAAGTGTTTGAGCAAACATTTCAATAGAGACGGCATATTTTGACTCAACATAACCGATCAATGGGTAATACTTAGTTAAGTTATACAGATTTTATAGTAGGCTTTAACACTAATCAATATCAGTTAGCGAATCAACTGAAGAATCAAAAATGTAATCAATTTCCAGGATAAAATGAACACGTCTTAACATGCACATTATCATTCTAACAGTGAATTCAACTCGCAGTATAATACAACCAAGCCAGTTGAGGGAAAAGTCTTGTTTCTTTTGAAGTCAGAAGTCTAGAGAAGCATATCATCAAATTTCTAACCTGGAATCCATCACTGCTGGCAGTTCTGAATTCCATTAGGCATAAGCTCTGAATTGTCTAAGGTTTTCGAGTTGATAATGAAACTTAGTATACCTGACGACCATCATTTTCGTCCTTCATATTGTTCTTTTTTTAACCTTTTCTTTGTTTGTTTTTTAATTTGTCTTCTTTCAGCTGCTGGACCTGGAAATGTTGATTGTGTTATCCTAGATCCACTTGGTCGACGTGATGCTATTAAACCATTGATTACACGTCAAGGTGAAGATAATTATCTTGTTGAGTATACACCAAAAGATGAAGGTCTACATTCAGTCAATGTCTTCTTTGCTGGTCAACAAATACCGAATTCACCATTCGGTGTAATGGTTGGTCCACGTAAGTAAAATATCCATAGAAGTGTAATTTTTTTTAAAAAAAAGAATGTTTTCACCAATTAATCATTAGAATTTTTAATATATTTGTGCGTTGAAGTTTCTGTAGCAATTTGGTTAAGTTTTGGGGGTAGAGTTGCTAGCACCACGCCCCAACCCTCCCTCTTTATCCGGGCTTGGGACCGGCTAGAAAACTAGTGAGCTAGTAATCTAGGCGAGGTTAAAATAACCAACCAACAACAACAACAGCAGCAACATCCAGCGCCAATCACCATCAACGGGAGGGATTTGAAAGAGGTTACTTCATTCACTTATCTAGGGAGCATTGTCTCAACCACAGGAGGAACGGACGAGGATGTGAAATCGAGAATCGGGAAGGCGAGAAACACATTCATCAATCTGAAACCAATCTGGAAATCTTCGTCACTCACCATCAACAACAAAGTTCGGATTTTCAATACAAACGTCAAGTCAGTCAGTTCTTCTATACGATGATCAGAAACTTGGCGGGTCACGAAGAATATTTCCAACAGCCTGTTGCAGACCTTTATCAACAACTGTCTTCTTCGCTCTATACTGAAGATTACATGGCCGGAAAGAATCACCAACAAGAAACTATGGGAACAAACAAAACAAGAACCAATCGCCCAACAAATATGCAGGAGAAAGTGGAGACAGTGGAGGAGTGGACACTCGCTGAGGAGGCCGTTGGGTGACATCGCGCGTCAGGCCGTAGCTCGAGTGGAACCCGAAAGGGAAGCGGCGAGTGGGACGTGCAAGGGTGACATGGAGGAGATCGTGTGAAGAAGAGTTGAAACAGTATGGACTAACATGGATGCAAGTGAAAAGTACAGCAGAAGACAGAAGCAAGTGGAGACGTGTAGTTGAAGCCCTATGTTCCACTAGGAACCCAAGGGAACAATAATAATAATTAATCATTAGAGAAACGACATTTATCAAATAATAAGATTATGATAGAATTGATTTGTTCCAGTGTGCATGTTATAGTGGCTGTCCTTGGTTTCTACAGTCCTACATGTCGAAATAATTTATTTCCATCAACTGGTTTTTCTGTACACTTTACGTCTGGATTGTTAACCCACTAACTCCAGCATATATAGGTGATACTGTGGCATGTACTACTGATAAGATTTATCAGTAGTATGTATATATTAAGAGGTGTTCATCGGCATAAAAACATCAAATAGCAGGGAGATAGATTTGATATCAGAGAAAGCAAATAATACAGCGTTGGGGAGACACAAAGGAACACATACAATATGAAGGAAGGCCAGAAGTAGCAAATGGTGCGTTGAAGATGAGGTGTACATCATTTGGCTATATAGAGATACCGAATTGCTAGAATAAACATTCCTCTACGAAGTCTTTCGTCTTCTACCGTTACAATACCATAACGACAGCAGTGATTAGATTTCAGAAATCACCATAAATCCATCTTTCTACATGCAGTTATGTCATGTCATTGTGTAGTCGTATTGATTGGAACAGTAAATAACGAAAGTGTGCGATGATGAAGATCACTAGGGGCGAAACAGATGTAATGACCACTAGCAGAACTATGAGTATGAATAATGACTGCCGTTTTAGTTCTCTTGGTAGGTTTCTACTCATTCTAATGTCTTTATAACGACCAAAACTGAAGCAGTACAGTCTGAATGCAGAAATCACACGATGTGTCCTCCTGTATAGGTAGGTCACTTAACTTCTACGAATCAGGCACACTTTCGATAATATCAAAAAGACAAGTTGATGTCATAGAATCTGGAGTTCTATTCCACAATAATAACTTATATCAAAAGTATAAAACTATTTCAACAATATGATCTGGCAACTATACACTTCTGAAGTCTCTTCAGTGAAAAAATATATACTGCACGACAACATGAAATAACCAAACACACCTATAAATTGTCTAGTGATCAATAAAAAAAGTATTCTCAACAATGTGAGATCAAAACTCTCTCTGCAAGAAGCAGACAGTAACAAACACATTTACCCTTAGATAGATCAAGGTCAATACAGGGCGTAACCCTGACTACAGTCATAAAAAGATGCCATTGTAAAACACTATATTTATGTCATGAGAGAATAAAGACATTCAGTTACCAGGACAAGGAAAGACTGATCACTGCTTCTTTCTGAACACTTAGATCTGGTTTCAAGCGTTTGATAGAAATCGCTTCGGCAAACTTGAGGAGAATGGAACTCCTTTGTCTATTGATAATTTTAAAGCATTTCGCTATTTACACCTAATGACCAATATCGAGGAGATGTCTGTTAATAGCGCTATTATAAGAGTTTGTTCCCTTGAGACCAACGTAGGCTTTTCGGCACATGTTCAGAAAATCGGAGGTGGGCCCTTCTTTCTGTTCTCCCAATGTAACTGCTCTCGCAGATACACGTAAATTTGTATACACAGTCGGAGTTAACATGAGAAGGGTATCTGTCGACTTTTGACTGCAACAAACAGCATGTTTTTCGATGGACGGGAACCATATCATATGATAATTAGCAATAGTTTGTGATGGAAACGTGATCATCAGTTAATATTACTGTATAATACTGTGTGATTTATCAATATAAAATCTTATCCATAATGGAATTATACTCTACCACAGTGCCCAAGTTTTATACTTATATTCCAATGTCTTTCTTGTAAGCTATCTATAATGAATATGAATTTACACTATGAATACTAATCCTACCACGTTAATATGTACGCCTTATCTAACTGTAAAGTGAGAATGTAAGCCGTTGAAGATTTCAAAAAGGGGATGTAGACATTCTTTATGATGGCTGATAGCATAAGACATGATTCTATGCTGTTCAAATGTATAACAATCAAGGTATTATTCATAATTCAATGTGTAACATTGTGAGTTTGTTTGATCAAAATACAGTGAGTATCCATCACTTGTGTTCACGATAGGGATTTATACCCATTATTATTATTATATTATTGTTTCCTTTAATTCAGCCGTGCGTCTCCATTGCGTTCCCTTCTCTGCTAGAGTTTTCATCTGGCTCCAAGTCTGCCCACACGTTTTCATCTCCTCTTCATATGACCTCCTCCAAGTCACCCTTGCACTGACGACCAACTCGCCGCTTCCCTTTCGGGTTCCACTCGAGCAATGGCTTGTCTAGTGATGTCACTTGATGCATTGTTTCCTCAGAGTATGGCCAGCCAATCCATCTCCATTTCTTCCTGCTTATTTGTTGCACAATCGGTTCCTGGTTGGTTCGCTCCCAGAGATCTTTGTTGCTGATCTTTCCGACTGGCCATCTGATCTTGAGTATTGAGCGAAGACAACTGTTAATGAAGGTCTGTAATTTGCTTGAGATGCTCTTTATGACGCGCTGGCCAAGTCTCTGATCCGTGTAGTGAGTAGCACTGACTTCACATTGAAGTTGAAAATCCGGATCTTATTTTTGATACTGACTGCTGTTGACCTCCAAACAGACTTGAGAGTAGTGAAAGCTTGTCTTGCTTTCGCGATTCTTGCTTTGATATCCTCGTCAGCTCCGCCTGTAGTTGAAACGACGCTTCCCAGGTCGGTAGGTAGGTGAAGGAGGCTGTTTCTTTCAGGTTCCTTCCATTTATGCTGATTGTTGTCAGTTGTTGTTGTTGCTGTTGGTGTTGGCCAGGAATCTTCATCACCTCTATTTTCTCTATGTTCACCTGAAGTCCTATCTTCCATGACCCAGAAAGTTTTACAGTCTTGTTGCCCATTAGTACAAAACATTAAATCTATGTAGCGTTCAATGTTTCAACCATTTCATAACATATTACCTTTTAATCCTAAATTATTAAATGATCTGAGTTACTATTTATGGAGTATTTACACAGTTGGTTATTGCTTTCATCAAGGTCAAATAAGGTTATGCGCTAAGTTTTCAAGTTTTATGTGTGTGTGTGTGTAGTGTATATTGTCAGCAAACAGGTACCTCAATGGACTTGCCTTTATATCAATCATTCAATTCATATTGTATACGCTAAACGAAGCCGTTAAGTGAAGCCAATTAATCTAACATTAACCAGCTAAGTTATAAATGACCTTGTTTTTATTTGTATTTTGACATGTATCTATCAAGGTCGCTTCCTTATATACAGAATATATATATATATTATTTATATGGTAACTACAACACATTTCCGCACGTATTTTATGTATTCGTTAAATGGTGTCATTGGGAAACTCAAAAAAATACTTTAAAGGTCATTTATTTGCATTGCTAAGGTACTTTTATTAAAAAGTAACGTTTCAAGGTCACAAAGGGGATAAAAGCGCTTAAAACAACCTATATTATCCTACAAAATGCTAACTTATTCTATAATTCCGATAATTATAGTAATGTATTACCTTACTAGTTAACTTCAGAATGAAAATGAGGTAGGATTTCTGTGTTAGACAGTGCTAACACCTGTTGAGGTGCCACGACTCCCTTTGGTGATGAATCATTGGCCCTAGACGTGATGAAATGCGGCTGGGATTTGAATCCAATACCAGATGTTACCTGAAATTTCCTTCTTTCTTGTCTTTCTGAAAGTATTATGAAGTAATCAACACTAGGCATATATATTTAGTTACAGGGTCTCATCATGAGCTAAAATTGGTTAGAGAACCATTGGAAAACCTGCAGGGAGTACTGGAAAGCTGTTTCGTCTTATTTTGGGACTATTCGTCAGCACGCACCCACCAAAGAAGGTTCGAACCCAGGACCTTCTGCTTACAAAGCGAGCTCATAGACCATTAAGCCATTGGGACCCAATCCAATGGCTAGTCCGTGAATTCTAACTTCTGCCAATTCACGACATAGCGCAATCGCTAGCCAATGTCAGCTCATGATGAAATCCTGTAACCAATCAATCACAACCTCTACAAACCAATACCTGAATATATATTTAGTGTTGTTTTCATGACACTGTTAATATGTTATTGTATTTCTGCCTTTCTTTATATTGCTTTGTTTACTATTTGTGTATGACACAACTTTTGATGTTTACATTTTTACCAAGAAGTTTATTTTTTTCAAACAGACAAGTAAGTACAAACCTTCCCTTGGATTGTGAACGAAGCAGAGGGCACAGCGCAGTGTCATTTCACTCTTGTTTTCTTGCTGCCTCCACAACAGCCCATAAGCTTCCTTTCCCTGATCACACGATCTCCTTCTTCATGTCACTGATGATCTCCATTTCCTTCTGCATAACAGCTGGTTGATTCTTTGTCAGAGTGCTTTAATGCTTCTCTTTTCCGGCTGGTTATCTTATATTCAATATGGCGCGAAAGTAACTGTTGATGACACACTCTGCAGTAGCCTGTTGGAAATGCTTTTCGTGACCCACGAAATCTCCGAAACATACAGAAATACTGATTGCACATTAGCACTGAAGATCCAGATCAAATTCCTCATGTTGAGTGCAGTAGATTTCTACAGTGATCTCAAAAAAATGAAAGTTTGTCTTGTTTTCCGAATTCCCACTGACTTTGGCACCCTTATCTGTGATGCCTGTCATTAATTGAAATGATGAGGCGAGGTAATTGAAAGCAGTGACCTCCTTCAAATTTTTCCCCGGCGGTAGTAATTGGTAACTGTCTTTATTGCAGGCTGGGTATTTTCATCACCACTGCCTTCCCTATGTTCACTTGAAGGTCTGTATTCTCTACATCTCCACTCAAAATTTATTGCACCATCTAATTCACCACAATTATTGGTCATTGATAATATTAGGCAGCAGCCTTGTCTTACTGTCGTCTTTATTTCAGATTTCTTCATTTCAAATTCAAGACTGTGAAGATGCAACCTGCTGGACATAAAATAAAGAAATATATCAGACATTGGCTCAAAATTCTCAACAATAATTTCCTACGAGGCTATAAAACTTTCTGAGTCAAGGAAGACTTAGGCAATCTTAGGACTGCACTGATATAACAGAAACGGGGTTGCAGTTCACCCCAATCGCTTAGCAGTAACATGTTCAACTTTTATTGACTAACTAACCTCATATCAATACGACATAATGATAACAGCATAGACATGATGTAACAACTTATCGGCAAACTTCTGAAAGATAATCTGTAATTTAGATAAAGCAATAAGAAGATGTAATTTGTCTGAATCGTGTAATGCATGTACTTGCGCAACACATTTCGAACAATCTGATCCATTACACACGAACTTGTCATGGGAATATATATGAAATTAATAAAGAGGTAAGAGGTGAGAAAATAGACAACTTAGGTCAAGTTTAAAGGACATATTCAAGGTCAAAATAACAATGAAGACCACTAAACCAAATAACAGAGGTAATAGTACATCTGCTATGGTATCAAAACAAAATTTACCAAGGATGGTTTAATGTGATGACGAATTGTTTTTGAACGCATAAAGGTGGCTTAAACTTTCTAATTGCTAGGGTTTCCACAAACTTTAGGATATGCCCCAAACACGTTTTATAGATAGGTTTAAAAGATCTCTTAACGTCAATTTTATGTCCTGCTTCTATGATATGTTTCGCAGTAGAGGAGCTAGGTCTACTGTTCTCACCGTTAATAGGTTCTGAAGATTCCATTTGTTTCTGGGGCCATTTAGGAATATGCTCTGGAGCTAGCGCTTACTTGCAGAGATCGATGAGTCCTCCCCATATATGTGTGTCCACACGTACATTCAAATTGGTAAATACAGTGGGATGTGACGTCATTTTTCGCATGTTCGAAGGGCTTAGATAGATATATTGGCTTTACATTCTCTATTATTATGATATTGGCTGCATAAAATGTCTTTTTGACAGCAGTGTTCAGTCTTTGTCTAGTTATCAAGATGCTTTGATGCCCCATATAGGGTAGCTTGATGTACACATCTTTGTTAGGGGCAAGTTGTAGAGTGGGTCTTGGTGATCTGACTACCTTATATCTCCTGATGAACTTATCTGGATAATTGTTATCAACCAGAGTTTATGTCAACTTTCTTTCTTCTTCATCAAGTGTGTCTTCAGTGCATATTCGTTGGATTCTGCTAAAGAGGCACCTTACTAAGGCTCTTTTGTACCCAACGGGGCAGAAACTGTGGTAATTAAGATACTGTCCTGTCCAGGTAGGTTTTCTATAAATAGATCTTTTTATTAACCCATCAAGCCGTCGACTAAGCAATATTTCTAGGAAAGATAAACAATTATCTTCCTCTTCTACAGATGTAAGTGATATGCTACTCTGAACTTCATTCATTCGATTTAAAACTGAGGTGGCAGAACAAGACTTATCACTGATGATTACAATATCATCTACATACCTTCTATAAAGTGGCACATTTTCGATTAAATCATCCGATAAATTCTCAATGTACGACATATAAATATCTGTAATTTCAACTGTTGAAAGATCAAGAACACCGTTTTTCCAGCATTTTTTCTCCTTGCTGATTACATAACAAACTCTTCAAACTGAAAAGAACCGATATTCCAAAAGGCATAGGAAACAAATAGATAGTGTTCATTGAAAATTTTGCTTCTGTGTTGTATATGGCTGGTAGTCAGAGGATATTTGATTGATTGATTGATTAATTACAGTTTTACCCTATTTTACGGAAAGGCAACTACCAATAGTATTTATAATATTATCAAAAAAATATTTGTATGAACCTCTTTCTACTGAACATTAAAGCAGTTTAGTAAAGTACATTTTAAGATATATATAAACACATGATCCCCACCAGTGTTTTGGTTAAGGGGATCAATAAATATAGATATAGATATACATCCAAGTTATGCAATAATTTTGATTTTTATTCTTCCCCTCCTGTTGTATAGGACCACCTCCTGCAGTACAATCTCCTGCTCCTATAGTTAATCAAGAAGGTGTGTGTCTGTGCGCCTGCGTATGTCTGTTTTGTATGTTTGTATGTGTGTTGTGTGCCTGTGTATATATGCGTGTGCGTGTGTGCGTGTGTGTGCGAATGTGTGTCTATGTTGCACAGATGACATTGATTTTTTTTTCAAAAAACCATTCAGCATGATAATTTAATTCATATTTCTTGTTATTTGGCAGAGATACTTATTGATAAAGCTTATCAGGTGTTTGGCAATATTCATCAGGGAAATATTTTGAAAAAAGTGCATGTATGCATTTGGCTGTATAAAAATTGCCTACGCTTTGCTTTTTTTTGTAAAAAAAATTTCATTTGCTTTCAACTTGCATTTTAAACTGATATGAAAAATACTCTGTCTCTTCCGTGCGTCGGTGGCACATCGGGAGAATGCTCGTCAACCAACCACGCCTCATGTGGTTCGGGGTTCGATCCACGGCCACTGACACACTCCTTTACCTCGCTAAGTGAGTAATAAGACTGGTAAAGACGGAAGGTTGGGTGGGCATGAGGTTAGCAACCCTATCCCGTAAAAATAAACACCACTGCTACCGAAATTTCAAGCCTCTAGCTTGAAGTAGCCCTATTTTCCACTGGGAACGTAAAGGAATAAAAAAAACATACTGTCTTCCACATGGTGTAAACTAAAATAGACCAGAACATTGGTTAGAAAACAATTTAATATTTCAGAATCATTGAAAACCGGAACGGAGTAATGGACAGCAGTTAGTAGAATTGATCACTACACTACCGGATTCAATCCCAGTGACTGAATGGACAACGATGTCATTGTGGGACCTGAATTTCCTAGGTCCAATCCCTGGCACCGTGTAGTAAAGAATTATTTGTCGTGTTTGACCACCAAATCACTTGACTTACGGGACCACTGAAACCCATTGAGTCGTGTTTCGTTCTTTTTGAGAACTCTCCAACGGTGCGCACTCATGACTTCATCATTTGGGTAGTACACAAGACATTGAGATAACAAGACAAGCTTACTGACCATTCAACCCCTTGGATGATGTTCGACGGCCCATTGGTCTACCCCTTGCATACTAACACTTGAAAATTTATATAGTGCTCAAGTGTTGGTTTGTAGGGATTTGATTGGTTACAGGATTTTCATCATGAGCTGACATTAGTTAGAGAACCATTGGAAAACCACCTGGGAGTACTGGACAGCTGTTTCGTCCTAGTTTGGGACTCTTCATCAGTACGCACAATTTTGGGTGTGAAGCAAATTCTCAACAATGGGACTGTACTGCGGTTGCTCTATATTGTGAATTCACAGAAGTTATAATTAACAGGTCATTGGTTTCTAACCCAGTGGCTAAATAGTCACCTCATAACTTGAGTGTTCTTGGTTAGATCCTCCCCGGGGGAGGATGGGTCATGGGCGAATACTGATGAAGAGGTTCAAGCCAGCAGGAAACAGTGATACAGCTAGAATGCTCAATGACTATTTGTGCATACTTTAACCTTTAATGAAACACATTGATATTTTCATGAAGTATCTATCCTCAGTGAAGAACGCCTAAATTACATTCTTTTGGCTGCATTTGATGTAAAAGCTTTCATGTATATAATTTTATAAGTTATCCAATTTTTATTGAATCACAACTGTGATTATATTTGCATGTCATGGACATGAATGAATGGATCTTATTCACCTTGTTTGTATTTATTAAAGGGAAATAAAAATTCGGAATTTGATAATTATAAATGTGCAGCTGTGACAGAGTAACTTAATAATAATAATAATAATAATAATAATTTGCTTTATACCAAAACAGTACTTGTGATACAGAATAGAATTCTCAGCATCTCACTACAGTATTGCATCCAGTTAGTACATTATCAATAAATAGAATTCTACATAGATTAAGGAAATCTCAGTTCATTATTACAACAACATATTGGCATATCCGTAACAAAGCCAAAGTTGAACAGTGTTTGAAGGTGTTAGAAAAGTAGGTGATATCATATTTACTGACGTAAGCGGAGGAAAGAAACAAAGCAGCACATAACGGAGAAAAAGAGAAAAAGAGAGAGAGAGAAGGGGAAGAAAGAAAGAAAATGTTGTACCTATAAATGATATTAGTTAAAAAGACAAGGCCCAGTTGTTCTACTGACTATTTAATGAATTATAGGTGTCACGCCTAATGCTTTCTTTATCGCACAGAACACGAGCCAAGTAGGCTATGGTTGAGTTTTTGTACTTGCTGGTGCGAGCATATAGTTTTCTATATAGGCTTCTGGTTTTACCTGATGAGATGCAAGGGGAGAACTGTGAATGAAGAGGGTGGTGTGATTTAGATAAAATGGATTTAGCCCATTTTTCACATGAGTCCAAATGCCTGTCGACCAGAATATTAACAAGCTGGTTAAGTGGCACATTGCTCACCCTGCTGACAACATTTAACATCCTGCGTAATATGCTATAGTCTTTATTCAGTAGCCCGGGAAAAACTAAGGGGGAACAACAGAGAATAATAGGAAGAATGCGAGAGTTAACGAATTGTAGGAGTAAGGATTGGGTGATACCAGAATTTTTTAACTTCTTGATGTAGAAGGTAAGAGGGAATATTTTCTTAGAAATCGCCAAGATATGAGACGACTAGGAAAGATCAGCAGATAGAATGACGCCTAGGTATTTTGGGCATGGCTTCATATCAACTTGATGTGACTATGAGCAATAGTTTATGCTCGAAAGGTCATCAGTTAATATTACTGTACAACACTGTGTGATTTATCAAAATCAAATCTTATCCATAATGGAGTTATGCTCTACCACAGTGCCCAAGTTTTATACTTATATCAATGGCTTCAAAAACACTGCCAACATCAAGATTGTTTTCACTGTTTCGGCGAATCACACACACACACAGTGTGAGAATGGAGAACATGACTTGCTAAAGCAACAAATGGCCTTGATGTTGATACTTTCACTTACTTCATAAGAGTTCATAAGAGAATAGTAGATTATTTTTTAAATCACGGAAAATTCCCATTGTAACATATAGAAAATCAAAACAAATGATTCAGCGAAGACACTCTTTTGAACAACGAATTTATCACCAAGCTGTACAACCGTATATATATGGTTTTTAGGAAGTTATATCCGGTGAGGGAATTGAATCATAGGTGTGAATGCATAAAATAATAATAATAGTAGTATGAAATAAAATTAAAACTAAAATGTTTGTGATTACAATCATAAGTAAATGTCAAGTGGCAAAGCAAATTAATGTCATATATAGAATAATTCATAGGATGGATAGAACTTGAAAAAGGATGTGCAATTATAAGATTAGTAGACAAATCGAATAAAATAAAAACGTTACGTAATATCGTGTGAAATTTAATAGCATAGAATTTAATGTTGCATAAAGGAATTGATTTAGAATGACAAGTGGAACAAGTGAAATAATACCGGGGACAGTTAAAAGTGAGAGTAGTAATAGTAACAATTGACTTAATAAGGAAGAGTATACAAATTGAATAGACAAAAATGAAAAATTGGTAGAGCTAAAATATGATCGGGGATCACCATACTTTAGCATAGAGGGATTAAGAATGGAGTGGTCAACTGACAAATTTCTACAGCTGGGTACCCATTGGTCGAAAACGAAACCTGATCCAGCCGCTTACCACTCGTATTCGGCGCATATGTAGCCCTGATACTGTGGAAGATGAGTTATACATCTTGAAGAAAATTCTAATAGAAAATGGATTTCCACCACGTTTTATAGATACGAATATACATTCAAATCCTAAAAACGTGACTTATCAACCTTACTCAAGAAAATACTTTATATGAGCTTGGAATTCAAAGGGGACTTAGCTTCCGATATCATGAAACGAAGGATATCACAGTCCCTGAAAAGAACATTCCCTGCTGCATCTCTGAGAATAGCCTTTACTACTCGACCATTACTGTTCAATAACCTGAAGGACAAGATCCCGCTGTTGACCAACTCTATGTGTGTTTATCAATTCACCTGCTCGTGTGGAGCTAGTTAAGGTGAAAAGAGTCGCTTCGCTGAATCACTTGTTTTGATTTTCTAATAGTAGAGTAGTTATAATATTATTTTCACCTGTCTACGCATGTTTCGTGATACACTGATATCAGATGATATACATATATATATAGCATGTTTTGGAGAAAGGCTGTTTTTGCTTCTACTGTATTCCCCCGCTTCTAATTGACTCATTCATTCATCAATCCGCATCATACTGCTTAACAAGCATGAATGTGATCTGTAAAGCTTAAGTTCGTCACACTCATTATCCCATTGTTATTTAAGAGAGAAATTGTGTATTACAACATTTTAATTTACAGCTCCTCTACAAGCATCACAAGCACAGAGAAAAATGTCTCTACCAAAACGACCAGGTCAGAATTATCTTAGTACTCTATACTAATCATTTACTGTCTAAAATTTAACATTATTTGATTATTATTATTGTTATTATTATTATTCGTTATTTATGCCTCAGCGACACATCTCTATTGCACTTGGTACACTGCCATCACTTTCAGGTGGTATCATGGCTGCCTGAAAGCCTTCATTGCTTTTTTATATGATCTTCTCCCTGGTGTCACCGGAGAATCAATTTGCCAGTCCCCTTTCGAGTCCCATTGAAGTGTGATGTTATTTGAAGTACTTCTCAGCGTATGTTGGATCTGTCACCACTTGCTTCTGTCTACTTTTCGGACAATATTTTTTTTAACCATTTCACTGTCAGACATTTTTGTTGCTGGTGTTTTCTGACTAATGTTTTTGAAAAAAGCGATTACAGTGCATAATTTTGACGTGGTTGTGTTCTCTGAGTTGGATAGTTAATTTGCGAAGCTTTCATCACCCTACTAGGCAACATCTTCAGTGCATACTTCATTTCGAGGAAGTGAGCTTTTAGATTTCTGCTAGAGAATTTTTAGAAGCTTGGCATTCCAGTGAATCATCAATCAATAGACACATCGAGATTGACAAAGTTTATCAACCGATAAGAAAGGAACCTCACACACAAAGGGTCAAAGTTCAAGTCAAAGAAACAATCAGTTCCAATACAAGTAGCCTAGAAGGTGTGAAAACACACAAAATCAACCAATCGCGTTGAAGTTGACCCACCAGGAGAGATGATTAATAAACTCGTGGAGAAATCTAAAAGCTCACTTCAACGAATTGAAGTATGCACTGAAGATGTTGCCTAGTAGGGTGATGAAAGCTTCGTAAATTAACTAGCCAGATCAGAGAACACAACCACATCAAAATCATCCAGCTGAGCTACAAATCTTCTCCATCATATCTACAACGCATAATGCACATTGTAAAACTACCCTATCGTTTATTTCATCGCAATCTTGTCAGCTTTATACAGGCTGAATATTACAAGTTAATGGTTTTATTACAGTTTTAACATACATTAATTGATCAGAGATTAAATGTAGAACAGTATTTAAAAATGATAGTGTTATACAAATGAATCGAAATGCTAAATTAATAAAAGTAAACAAACCAACACTTGAATTTCAATCGGATGCTTACTGGTGATTGGCCCTGTTCAGGTTGGGTAGTTCCCTGGGGGTTCTAGTAGGAAGTCGTCACCAGTTGTGTACAGCAGACCTGGTGTGAGGACAAATACTCGCCTCTGATGACATTTGCTTGTGGTCTCGCCATATCATAAATTGGCAGAAGTTGGAATTCATCGACTGACCATTGGATTGGGTCCCAGTGACTTAATGGTCTATGAGCTAGCTCGCCTTGTAACTAGGTGGTGGTCCTGGATTCGAATCTCAGTAGGTCCAAAACTAGGATGGAGGAAACAGATGTCTGGCAGTACTCCTGGAAAGCTTTCCAATGATTCTATAACCGGTGTCACTTCATAATTACTGGTGTACTTATACATACAATGTGATCGGACTTTCGCCAATCAAACACGAAATCGGGGAGCAAGGGTAGCAACAAGATATAGAGGTACATGCATTTTGAGATTACTTAAATCATTAGAAAATTATTTGTAGACGAATGAGATACGAAGAAAATATATTGTGAGTTAAGCTCATTTGATTAAACATCAGACATATGAAGCATGACACCCAATAATTGAAGATGTAACTAGGATTGAAAAGAAATCAATATTTACGTTTAACAAAAGACGATACAATCAATTAGGTTTAAAAGACGAGTTACCAAGGTAGAGAGAGACACTACTACGGCTTCTTTTTGAACATATATAAATCAGGTTTTAATCGTTTGATAGCAATAGACCCTACGAACTTCAAGGGACTCGACCTTGATTGTTTGTTTATTGCTTTGAAAGAGTTCAAAGTATGTCTACCTGATGTCCATGTGCTAACCACATGTCTCATGATTGCGCCTTATTTCCTCTTAATCACAGATTCTGCATACTTCCACTTTTGTTTCGTCACTGAACTAAATTATGTTAGAACTGTAATAGAGCTAATAACTTCCATTATTCAGGTTGTGTAAACAGTTGGTCGACAAGATACTGATTGACGAAATAAACGATGGATCCGTGTTTTATGCTGCACTATCAGTTGTTGTTGTTGTGGTTACTGCTTTGTTTAAATTCATTAAATGGGGAACTCTTGCATGAAACATTCCTTTTTTCTGATCACCAGTGGCTCAGCTGGCAGACAGCTGGTTGAGTGATTCGGAGGTCTCTGTTTAAAATCCCACCGTCAACTGGACGTTTACTTCAATTTGAGTTACATAACCTACTAAATCAATAAGTGCCTGTTAATGTGAGACTATCTCATGGAATGGGGTAAATGCATATAACGGAATTACTTCCTAATCATTATTTGGCAAGACGTTATGACGATTGAGCGAAGAAATACTTAATTTTCAATTAGATCCTCATCTCTGACTCTACTCTAATATATATATGGCATTTTTTAACACAATACACAACATTTTACCAATCAAGTGGAGATATGTTTGTTAACAATAATTAGTCAGTACCAATATGTCAAGGAGGTGAGGATTAACCAAAAAAATTGATACAAACAATTAAAGGGTAGAAATGGTTACATTAAGTGGATTTTATAATGTATAATTTTGGGAAAATGAAGAGTAATTAACGAATATAAGCGAGCGTTTAGGTTGATTACGTAATAGGCGAAAAAAAATAATTTGGACAATTTTAATTTTTAAAAAATCTAGGGGGAAGGCTAAGTTGTCCGGTTTATACATTCATGTAATTCATGGCCAAGGTGAGGAAAGTAGCTGTAAAGCATAGGTTTGGCTTCTTCAAGTGGATTCCGATGGCTTTAACTGTATGTAGAAGACGAACTCGTGAAGAAAAATGAAGGCCATTTAGAACGTGACAAATAATTTTTAATACTGTGTTAATATATCGACTTTAAATTCACTGTCTACAAGGTATTCTAAAACAGAGCTATGAATGGATCTTGTTTGTCCTTTGGTTAACCATGTTGGATGATTTTCAGAAATATGATGATGAACTTGCCTGATTGTAAGCCCAATGTAGCTGTTTGCTCAACTGCAGTCAAACTGGTAGATACACACAGGGGAGGTGAAATTAAGTAGTTTATCCTTATTTCTCGAACGTAAACTAGGAGTGGCAGTGAAGAGACAACGTAACTCAGCTGTACTGAATGCTTTTGAAACTGAATTCTTCAGGCGCTGTGCTACTATTTCACTAATGTTATCACCACGTTTAGAAAAACTTGCATTCCGTTGTATATCTTCTAATTTGTTTCGAAGACAGTAACAGGCAATCATTTTTAGTGTCTGACTGGTTTGTGACAATTGTTCATTCGTTGAAGGATTTCATCATGAACTGACATCAGTTAGAGAACCATTCGAAAACATACAGGGGGTTCTGCCAGACAGCTGTTTCCTCCATCCTAGTTTGGGACTCTTCATCAGCACGCAACCACCACAGGAAGTTAGAACCCATGACCTTCTGATTACAAGCCCAGCGAGCTAGCTGGTAGACCATTGAACCACTTGAACCCGATCCAATGACCAGTCCATGAATTCTAACTTCTGCCAATCTACGATATAGCGCGACCACTTCGCAATGTCTTCTTCGGAGAGTAACTGTTCTCACCTTCGACCTACCTTACCCTACTGGTCACGACTTTCAAATAGAACCCGAGGTAGCTACGTATCTGAATAGGGCTAGTCGCTAGTGAGCATCAGATCAATTTGTTCAAGTATTGGTTTTGTTGTAGGGATTTTGTTTTGATTGGTTAAAGGATTTCCTCATGAGCTGACATCAGTACAGCTGTCTGGCAGTACTCCCTGCAGGTTTTCTAATGGTTCTCTAACTGATGTCAGCTCATGATTAAATCCTCCATTCAATCAAAACAAAATCCCTACAACAAAACCAATACTTGAAAATTGTTCATTGGTTAACTTTACTGTAACAATTTTTATCTGCGATATTATTACTATTTAATTTTGTGTATACATTTATTAATTCATTTAAAAAAATATTTTTTAAAACATGATTATTTGTTATTCTGTCAATTCTTAATCATTTGGGAATATTTTTTCTTTCTCTTCTCTGAAACGCTTGAATAATTGAGGTGTGTAAATTGGTGGTAACGCTGCTATCTGGTGTGTAGTCGTTTATGTCGTAAAGAGTTTTTCATTTTATTGACACAACATTTTTGACATGTATTTAAGGCGTGGTATTTAACGCTGTCTGAAGAAGAAAAAAATGGGAATAGAAAATAGGAATAGGAATAGAACTCTGTCATGGAAAACTAGATTATTTTGGGAAGTTAAAAGTGTGTGGTGGAACATTGAAAACTTGTTCTTCATAGTTCATTTCATGCACATATGGTGATGATTTTCCGAGGATAAGTCGCTGCTCTCATAATCTTATATTTATGTATTCATTTTTTTTATTCCTTCACGTTCCCCAGTGGAACATAGGGCTCCAAGCTAGTGGCTTGAAGTTTCTGTAGCAGTGTTTATTTCTACAGGATGGGGTTGCTAGCCTCATGCCCAATCTTTCCTTTTTACCAGCTTTATTTCTAGTTTAGAGAGGCAAAGGAGTGCGTCGGCCGGGGATCGAACCCCGAACCATGTGCATGGTTGAAGGGTGTCCTAACCGCCGTGCCACTGACGCACTATGTATTCATTACATGACTTTATTGCCTTGCTTTATATCACTAGCATCTAGTGGAATCTGACATCTTTCTAATAAATTCTTAGACTTGAATTCATCCCACGTAAAGTTAAATGCTTAGACAACTGGGTCAGGAGATTGACTCGTAAGTTAGAAGATTTAAATAATAAAATCAAGCAAATATGGGAAACATTTTCTGGTGTTTAACTACCAGCCAGATTTCATCTAAAAAACTGATCTGATGCTCACTACCGACTAGCCCTATTCAGGTAATTAACCTGGGGTTCTAGTAGGAAGTCGTGACCAGTAGGGTACAGCAGGTTGAAGGTGAGGCAGTAACTCACCAAAGAAGACATTGGCTAGTGGTCACGCTATGTCGTAAATTGGCAGAAGTTAGAATTCATGGACTGGCCATTGGATAGGGTCCAAGTGGTTTAATGGTCTACGAGCTAGCTCGCTGGGCTAGTAATCAGAAGGTCGTGGGTTCGAACCTTCTCTGGTGGGTGCGTGCTGCTGAAGAGTTGCAAACTAGGACGGAGGAAACAACTGTTTGGCAGTACTTCTAGTTGGTTTTCGAATGGTTCTTTAACTGATATCAGCTCATGATGAAACCCTCCAACCAATCAAAAATAAAAGTAGTAATGAAAATAACGTAACTAGTAAGTAATTCAAAACCTCAATACTACTACTACTACTACTGCGTAAAGAAGGAACATCATAGAGACTACTTTGAATTATCAATCGGAGACAAACTTTGTCGGCTTAAAGACCTGATAGATCCAGTTAAGAAAAATTATGTAATTTACCAAATACCATGTAATGACAGTGAGTGACGTCAGTTACATAGGTCAAACTAACAGATCAGAGGGGAGGAGTGGGAGTCAATTAGTCTATCGGAACAAAGTAATTTGGCTAGAGTGAGAATGATCCTGTTTGAGTAAAGCTCGGCTATTGTAATACGCGCAATATAGAGCATCGCCCAAGTGGAATTCAAGTGGGCAATGACGACTGGGTGGTCAGTGAGAGGGTGACATGTAGGAGATCGTGTGGGGTGGAGGAGATGAGAGATTATGGTCAATCTTTGACCCAGTTGAAGAAGAGGGCAGACAATAGAAGAAAGTGGAGATGTGTTGTTGAAGCCGTATGTTCCACTCGGAACCCAAGGGAATAATAATAACCTTATTTAAAGCCTTTATTGTCCTACGTAATATTTCCATAGTCCATTTTGTGAGAAGCCTACAGAAGAATAAGGATAAAATATATGTGTTTGACCACGGATTGCTATCAGTTAGAGAACCATTGGAAACCAGGGAGTACTGCCAGACAGCTGTTTCATCCTAGTTTGGGAATCATCGGCAGTACGCACCCACCACAGGAGGTTTGAACCCAGGACCTTCCGGTTACAAGGCAAGCTCGTACACCATTCATCTACTGGTTTTCAATGGTTCTCTAACTGATATCAATCTGCAGTCAAACTCGTAAAAACAAATCTAATCCTTACAAACCAATTGTTTAAACTACATGAATTCATAAATTGTAAATGAAGCGGTTGAGTTATGCCACAAAGTGTCAACTTCTTTATGTAGTAAGTTAAATGAAAAGACTTCTTTTTATAAATCAACAAGATAGTGAGACGATCAGCAGAGACGGGAAGAGAAACTGATACCAAAATAGGTAATGTTCAACTTATTTCGAAATTATTGAGTAATAGGGGGTGACATAATTGATATAATTACTCAGAAGTGGCTTTAGAAGTGAAATTGTGTTTATAAATTCACCTGCTCGTGTGGAGCTAGTTATATTGGCCGCACGAAACGCACGCTTTCCAAACGCATCTCTGAACATTATCCGGCATGGTTAGCAAAGGGACAGTGTAAGACAATTACTAGCTCAATTCTCGAGCATTTGGTGAATTCAAGCCACGTAGCTCCACCAGAGTCGTCTTTCAAGATCATCTACAAAGTGAAGCCAAATGGTACGAAGGGTGTCAGGTTTCGGCTTTTGTGTATGGCGGAGGTGCTGGCAATTCATCAATGCAACCCTGAACTCTGTATACAGAAAACATTTGTCCAGTCTCTTATTCAACCTTGGTCTTAACCTTCTCACTAATCGTTCCCTGTAAAAACATTTTGACTTTTTTCTTTTCTTTCTTGTAATTTTTAATCTTACTTTTAGTTTGCTTTTGCTTTAATAATTAATTCACTATTATCACTCTCACATTGTTCCTTTTGTATATTTTCACACCCTCTTCACACTTGTTAAATTGACACTCAAATACCTTTATTCTCACTCAATAGCAATTTTAACCTTATCAAATTTCTATCTTTGTTCCGTTGAGAACCGCGTAATTTACAACTTTTAATTTTATTTCGGAATTAATTAACGGGCAATACAAAATAACTTGTATGGATAAAATGCTTATTTAATACATTAACAGTTGTAATTTGGGTACTGTAATCTGAAAAAAGCAACATGATCTACCAAATTGGAACCCCCAGACACACACACGCACACACTCTCTCAAACTCACCAATTTCCTACACTGATATTTTGCTTATCTATTCTCAGTTGATGACATCAGTTCTGTAAGAATAAAGTAAATCTATCTCTTTCTGAAACATTCCCTCACAGTATTGTTCAGTATGAATGATATAACAGTACTTAGTATAAACTTTATGATAACTCATTAACATTTGCTAGTTGACTATTTGTTTTAAAGAATCTCTAATGTTCATTGATCAATTTCTGTTATTGAACGTTGAATGGAAATAACATAAATGAAGGTCAAATAGTATAACCAATTCAGAATACCTTTAAAACAGTCAAACGCAATATCTGACACAACATCTCAAATTGTAACTGATCACCACTTTTTTATCCTATAAAGGAGTGGGAAATGAAATAAAGGGGTGGGGCGAAATTTGTTTTTTTATTAAGACTCACCCCTTGAAATTATATCTCTTCACCTATTCTGATTTCCTGATTTCCCTCTCATCTATTTTCAGCTTGTGATCCTAAACAAGCCTATGCAACAGGTCGTGGAATTCAACCTCAGGGTATACGAGTTAAAGATTTGGCCGACTTCAAAGTTCATACAGAAGATGCTGGAGAAGGTCCATTGGAGGTGTCTGTCATTGCACCAGGTAAATTAAACTGTCCGTCAGGTTTTTTAAAATTTTTTTCGCCTATATTATTTATTTATTTCACGTTTTCTCGCGAACTGACTTCTGTTAAACAATCACTGAAAACCATAAGTCAGTATTAGACAGACGTTTTGTCCTACTTTGGGACTTTTCAGCAGTACACACCTATGATCCCATGAGAGATCGAACCGAAGACCTTCAGGCTGTATGGCGAGCTTGGTGACCATTCAATCACTGAGGCGGTTTCCATTGTTAGAGTCATCAATTCTAACGTCTACCAATTCGCGATATGTGTTCATTTATTAAGAATCAGGTGCGTTGGTGGTTCACAGATACAATGCCCGCCAAATAAGCATTTGGTCCAAGGTTCGATTTCGAGCTACTGAAGCACTCCTAAATCTCACCTAGACAGTTGTAAGCCTAGTAAAAAGGGATAGTTGAGCATGAGGCCTAGCCAAGCCATTGTGTAAGAACAACACTTCTGCTAATGAAACCACAATTAGTAAAGTATTGAATCCCTATTTTCCACTTGGTACACAAAGGAAAGAGTTTGGAGTTTGAAGATTATTATATATGCGAATGACCCTCTAAATAACCTTGAATTAGCTAATCACATCTTGCAGCTGAAAAATCTAGTTTCGTCACTATGTTGTTTATGGAATTGATTTAAACCAGAGCAAAAGTGCTTAAAGTTAAGTTTAAAGTAATTAGTTCCCTTTATGAATTTCGACAACACAATAAGAAGACGTAGTTTATCTGAAGCGTGTAATGTATTGGCGCAACACATTTCGGACATTCTGATCACACACGTACTTGTCATACACAGTTTATATATAATGCAAGAAGGCATGAATTATTACAATACAGGTCAGATTGTATACAGGTCAAGGTCACAAATAATGGGTAGGGAGACACAAAAGGTGTGGGTAAGAAAGAGAAAAAGAGAAAAAACGAGGCAAAGAAGGGGTTGAAAATATTATGAAGTATACTAGTCCTTGGTTCTAAATTAGATTACCAAGGCAGGTTTAAGGTGATAACAATTAATTTTTGGACACATAAGACAGGTTTATGTCTTTTTATGGCTAAGGCTTCAATGAATTTAAGTATGTAGGCCGACCTTGTTTTATATATCGGCTTAAAGGCATTGTTGAAATCAACCTTATGACCCATCTATGCTTCGCTAAAGATGATGTTGGACATCTATTTCCAGGTTCAATTGTGACTGGCGATTTCATTTGTTGTTGCAGCCACTTTGGAATGTGCTCTGTAGCCCTAACCTGCAGAGACCGATGGGTCCTCCCTATTTACGTGTCTCTACACTTACGTGTAAATTGATAAACATAGCGGGATGTGACACTATCGTTCGGATAATGTGAGGGCTTACAGGATAGCATAGTTTTCGTTTTCTCTCTATGAAGATAAGTTTAGCTGCATAATAGGTTCTATTAATTGCGGCCTTGAGTCTTTGTCTAGTTGACTAGACTTTGTTGATCACCTACCTCTGAACGGCAAGGATATGTAAACATCCTTTTTGGGGAGCTGATTGGATTGGTAAAGCTCTACGGTTGACACTTCCATAACGTCTAACTAATAAATCTCAGTGGGTAATTGTTGTCTAACAATATCTCAGTGAGGTGTTGTCTTTCTTCTTCAGTTGTATCGGCAGTACATATACGGTGAATGCGCTTGAACAAGCATTTAACCAACGTGTTCTTATACTGTAGTGGACAGAAACTATGATAATTTAGATACTGTTCCGTCCATGTGGACTTTTTGTAGACAGATCGTTTTACTAACCCATCTTCTCAGCGGGTTATTAGTACACCTAAAAATGGCAGGCATCCATTATTCTCTTTAACGTATGTTAGTGATATACCTCACTGAAATATTGTTAGACAGCAATTATTATTATTAAGTGCCTCTTAATTAATTATGCGCATTAATTATATTTAATTAAAAAATATATTAGAAAACAGTAATAATAATAATAAATTTACAAGGTTTTTATGTACTTTTAATGAATTATTTTTCCATTTTTTAATTCTCTTTCTTCTTCCTCTTCTCTTCTTTTGGGTTTTAATGCTTCATTTTCAGGATTAACTAACAAATTATTTTTAATAGCGGTGTTTACAGTTTCCCCAAAAAGTGAATAGTATTCAGAAAAGATTGTATGACAAAACGTCTCCGTGTGTGTGGGTGTGTATTTGGGTGTGTGTGAAGACATTAATTTTAGGCGTATACTTTATTCCATTTTATTCTAACACACTAACCAACTTACAATGTGTTTTAATTATTGTTCAATAGTGAAGGGATAAAGTCATCAGTCGCACTTTTTTTGTTGTTTATTTTCAAACTTCCATTTATCGATTAAATTATAGCGCCTAATTTATATTCTGAAGATAGTGAAACAAAAAATGAATAAAAAAGGAGCTCTAGCTAGTCTATTAGTGTAAATGGTGTTAGTTTTTACAATGTTTTAAAAAAAATCTAAAATGTTATATTCCACATCTCTTGTGCTTTACAGTATTTCTAAGATGAATATGTCGGCGACAAATTAATAGTAGGGTAAGATATGAGGTGAAATGAAGTTCACTGTGTCTCTGCGTTAATGTACTCTTTTAGAAAGAAATATGCATTCCTTTTCAATGAGTTCCTCATCATTAACTTTACACTTATATATAGTTATTTTTTGATGTGGTTGTGTTCTCTGAGCTGGATAGTTAATTTGCGAAGCCTTCATTACCCGCCCTACTAGGCAACATCTTCAGCGCATACTTCAATTTGTTGAAGTGAGCTTCTCCACGAGTTTATTAATCATCTCTCCTGATGGTGACCTTGAACGTGATTGGTTGATTTTGTGTGTTTTCACACCCTCTAGGCTACTTGTATTGGAACTGATTGTTTCTTTGACTTGAACTTTGACCCTTTGTGTGTGAGGTTCCCTTCTTATCGATTGGTAAATTTTGTCTATCTCGATGTGTCTATTGATTGACGATTCACTGGAATACCAGGCAGGCTTCTAAAAATTCTCTAGCATTCTTGGTGTTTCCTCTGTCTAATATTTGAACACTGGTTGTCCCAGTAGAATTGATGTCCGTGGTTGTCTGTATGCGGCGATATGAGGGAGTGGATGCGAAGACGAAGACGGGGACATCCACTTTGGCTAATGTAATGTTTTTCGCAGTTGTTACAATTTATTTTGTAGATGATGTTAGTTTTATCTTCTTTCGTTGTTGAGTCTTTTGGTTGACATAGAGTCAGCTGAGTGAAGTGATTTTGTTGGTTTGTGTGCGACGTCAATTCCTCATCAAGGTTTGAAGAGTCTTGCAGTGATTTCTGAGATGTCCTTCATATATATGATAGGGCGATTTTCTTTGTGCTTTCCTTGGGGACCATTGATTCATCAAAATGATACCATTTTTATGGTTATTTGAGTGAAATCTGTGTGTCCAAAAGAAGTTTGTGCTGTAACCCTCCCTTTCTTTGCCATGGCCAACTGTATAATATGCAAAAACATAGTTCTTCTTTTGTTCAGCAAAGAAATATCTCTTTTCAACGACTTCATTTTCAAGCCAGCTGTACAGTTGTGTATTTATATTACGGAAAAAGGCATTGAGTGGCATTAGAAATTGATCAATCATTATACCTATGATAATAATAATAATTAAAATGAATTAGATGGAGGATTACATCATGAGCTGACATCAGTTAGAGAACCATTCGAAAACCTGGGAGTACTGGATAGCTGTTTCGTCAGCTTAATTTGGGACTCTTCAGCAGTATGAACCCACGAAAGGAGGATCGAATTAAGAATACGATGATGATAACAATAAACCTGGGAATACTGGACAGCTGTTTCGTCCTAGTTTGGAACTCTTCACAGTACGCACCCACTGGGATTCGAACCCAGGACCTTCCGGTTACAAGGTGAGCTCGTAGACCATTGTGCCATTGGGACCCGATCCAATGGTCCTTGAATTCTAACTTCTGCCAATTCACGACATAGCGCGACCATTTCGGGTCCCAGTGGCTCAATGGTATACGAGCTCGCCTTGTAACCAGAAGGTCCTGGGTTTGAATCCCTGCCGGTGCGTGCTGATGAAGAGTTTCAAACTAGGACGGAGGAAACAGCTGTCCAGTACTCCCAGGTGGTTTCCCAGTGGTTCTCTAACTGATGTCAGCTCATGATGAAATCCTCCATGCAGTCAAACAAAATCCCTACAAAGCCGATACTTGAAGATAACAATAAAGACGGTGGAGATGAAGTGAAGAGGAGGGAATTCAAGTGGTAAAATATAATGAAATAAAAGAACATTAACATGACCAATGTAAAGAAGAGCGTTTGACAAAACGTTTTTGAACATATAATTTAGGTTTTTCTCCATGTATAGCTAGTGATTCGGCTATGCATAAGTGGAGAAAACGTAAGCTTTTGGAGTGATTTGATTTGGTCCTGTAAATAACTTTAAAGGATGAATCACGTGTGGCTGAATGATCTGACTCCAGAAGGTGTTCACAGAATGAAGACTTTGTCATCCTTTGATCACCTTTCATTAACCAAACCGGATAGTGTTCAGCTACGCGTTTACGGAGAACACACTTATCACGTCCAATATATAATCAGCAGTAGTAGCTTCAACAAACTGAAGTCAGATTTCTTTGTTTGTTGATAATGGTAAGTGCTAACTGAATATCCCATTTGGTGTCCCAATTCAATTACAGGTCGGTTAGCGCCTTGACTTTGAAATATCATCTAGGCAGGCCTTTTTCACTGGCGCTTACATTTCTATGTTCAAGTCATAAGCCTTCGTTAGTGCAACGACGTGTGTACCTGAAACATTTCGCTAGATTTCAACGTCCTTGGTCAGTCTAGCCTAGCCCATCTACGCCGGTAATGACATAAATTGGCAAAATCCCTAACAAACCTTCTTTATGCGTATTGATATGTCGTCAGCAACTTCCCAAATAAGTGGACTGGTCAATACGCATTACCATTTCACTTCCTTTCTTTATGCTGGAGGCTAGTCATATGGTATCATCTTATATTTAACAGGATCAAGTCACATGTCAAACATTCCAAGATTTCTGCTGTAGGTGTTGACAAGACCGCATTTTGTCAGTGTCTTAACCTAGGGTGACAATATCATCCTCCAACTCTAAATCTAACAGACTGTCCCCTGGTAACAAGCCAATCCTTAAGTCAATAAACACAGTTATCGTCAATTCCATTATTATTATTATTGTTTCCTTTAATTCCTAGAGGAACATAGGGCTTCAGCCGTGCGTCTCCATTGCGTTCGGTTCTCTAATAGAGTCTTAACCTGGCTCCAAGTCTGCCCACACGTTTTCATCTCCTCTTCACATGACGACGACCAACTCGCCGCTTCCCTTTCGGGTTCCACTCGAGCAATGGCTTGTCTAGTGATGTCACTTGATGGTTTCCTTAGAGTATGTCCAACCCTACCTATTTGTTTCACAATTGGTTCCTGGTTGGTTCGCTCATTGCCAGAGATCACTACTGCTGATCTTTTCTGGCCATCTGATCTTGAGTATTGAGCGAAGACAGCTGTTAATGAAGGTCTATAGTTTGTTTCAAATGCTCTTTAAGACGCCCAGTGCAAGTCTCTGATCTATATAGTAAGAAGCACTGACTTCACATTGGAGTTGAAAATCCGGATCTTATTTTTGATGCTGAGTGTTGTTGACCTCCACACAGACCTGAGAGTAGTGAAAGCTTGTCTTGCTTTTCCGATCCTTGCTTTGATATTCTCATCAGTTCCGTCCGCCTGTAGTTGAAACGATGCTTCCCAGGTAGGTAGGTAAAGGAGGTTGTTTCTTTCAGGTTCCTCCCACTTATGCTGATCGTTGTCTGTTGTTGTTGTTCTTGTCCAGGAATCTTCATCACCTCTGTTCACCTGAAGGCCTATCTTTGATGCTTCTTCTGTCAACTTGTTGCTTTTCGCTTGCACATCTTCCATTTTGTGGGAAACCAGACAAATATAATCATCGGCGAAGTCCAGATCCTCCAAGTTTTTTGTTTGAGTCCATTTTATGCCTGTTTCCTCATTGCCCACTGTTTGTCGCATTATTCAATCTACTGCAATCAGGAAAATCATTGGCGATAATATGCAGCCTTGTCTTACTCCTGTCTTCACTTCGAAGAATTCCGTAAGTTTCCCGTTGTGGATTACTTGGCATGAAGCATTGTCGTACAGCTGTTTGGATGAGATATATAATTGTCGGTGGCACCCCGTAGTAGCGAAGTAGTTGCCATTAGTGCGACTATAATAGAATTAAACAAAAATGGGGACATTGGGCATCCCTGATGAACACTACTGATTTATTAATCACTTCACTCTATTCCAAACATGTTTGAATCAAATTCATTTATGGTTAACACTTCTTTTTGAGGATATTTTATGACTGTATTTATTTTTATTTTAACTTTTAACTTTAGATGGTAGAGGTATCCCATGTACAAGTCGTAAAACTGGTGCTTATCTATTCGACTGCAGTTATACACCACAACGACCAGGTACACATCAAGTGAATGTTCGTTATGGTGGTGATCATATTATGCTTAGTCCATTCACAGTAAGTATATAGTGAATTGAATAACTTCTGATGGATAGTTTTATATTATGCTGTTATAGGCTTTGGGATCATATTGTGAATGTGTGTGTGCGTATGTGTCGGTTTCATCTTTCACTAGTATTAGCATAAAACTTAAACTGAACGCTAATCAATCAGTTACTTTTAGGATTTGAAATGATTTTCAATCTATCGATCTATCTATCGTCGATCAGTCTTGAAACAACCATTTATACTGATTACCAGTGGACATGCCAGACCATCGAGTGGGACACGGATTGTTTTACGTTCCCAGTGGAACATAGGGCGGCTTCAAGCTAGAGGCTTGAAGTTGTGGCAGTGGTGTTTATTTTTACGAAATAGGATTGCTAGTCTCATTCCCAACCTTCCCTCATTATCAGTCTTACTACTGACTTAACGAAGTAAAGGAGTGCGTCGGTGGCCTGGAATCGAACCCCGAATCATATGAGGCGTGGTCGGCGAGTATTCTACCCCTGTGCCACCGATGCACACTGTTAGGGAACGGCAATGTGGGCATGGGTTAGAAGGTAACGTGGCAGGGATCATGTGAGAAGGAAACGAAAACTTATGGTCAATCGTGAAGCCACCTATAAGTGATTGCAGAGGACAGAGTGAAACGGTGATTTGTTCATAAAGCCTTGTGTTTCAGTTGGAACCCAAGGGACTTAATAATATAATAATAATAACAATCAGTTAAATACTGTTAAAAATATGTACTACTGAGTGAATGAGATAAGTAGTAGTATTAAACTATTCAAATCAACCATAATACCTACTAGCTGTATCGACATGATCTAAACACTGGGCGGTCATTCTGATCGTTTTGGACTGAGTTCATTCGTGGTGTACCCGGTTTGACGCAGCCCGGAGAGATAAATCAGTTCAAAATACCAAATTGTCGGCTAGCTACTTAGCAACTGTACCCCAAAATCAAATTAGAAATCTCTGCAAGTTAATTTTTTAATTCATTTAGTTGAAATTTCATAACAGTTTCCTTTGGAAGCTTAAATTACTCAAATCACAATGTGTATGATCTGCTTGACACCATAAATAGTAATTTTAAAAAACCAAGCATAAATGTATAAAATTATATACTACTAATTGAATCACATGAGTAGTCGTATACCACTCACATCAACCAGTAGTACTAGTAATCATATACAAAAATCTATATATTCTTTAGGATAACTATGGGGACTGTGATCGGATAATTGTATAGTTGGCGAAGTTAAAGTATCACAGTCCAAGTCAAGGTGACCTTTCAAAAGTTGACCTACAAGAACTGATCAGACATAGGGAATGCTATAAATTATCACTCCAAATCAAGTCATGCCTGCCTTTTTGAACTTGAAGAGGACAAATACAGTATTGTACTTATTTACTAGGTACTTTTTCTTCAAATCTATACTGTTAAGTATAGTTATGGCTTTTAAGATTAGGGTTTAAGGTTAAGGTTAAAATCAGAGTAATAGTTAGAGTTAGGAGTAGGTTGAAGAATAGTGTTAGAAATATGAATGGATCTCAAAGTGTCATGACCTACAGTCACCTGGGTGGATGGGTGTATCGTGCATGGTAGGATTTCTCTAAAGATCATTTGTGTATTGACTGGGAGACATTCTTAAAACACATAAACTACAACTATACAGTGTAATATTAAGCTTGCAAATATTTTCTAGTGTATTTTTCAACGAATATGCGACTTTTTTGTATCTGAATGCTGATTGGTTGTTCAAGGTCACTGTGGTTTTTTTTCGCTATGTTAGTTTAACTTTGCCGTATAGTTGTTTTTTTCTAAATGTTATCAGGTAGTTTCAGATTTTCGTTCACAAGTTATGAGAACATCTTGATATGGTTATGAGTACTACATTGGGTCGGCTACGTCATCAGTAAATAATGCTATTACCAACCACTGTTTGTTTTATCAACCGAAATTATTCCATTATGAAAGTGTACTCTGTCACAATGGCCAAACACTGTTTTGATATCCCTGGAGCTTCAGGTTATAGACCCGAAGTTCAATAGTTTGGCTAATTTCTGTTGTAACATAGATTTCGTTTTTATTTCAGTTTTCAACGTAATCAAAATGTATATATTTAACTGAGTGGCAAACTGATAGAAGCAATTTCTCTATATAAGTGAATGTCAACTAAGCCTTCGAGATTTCAAGACGAACACACTTTTGGCGTTTGGTCTTCTGATCTAGGTCTTGATCTGATTATTGGCACATGTTAGTAAGGCATGCTGGAAAACTCAGACGAATTCATATCCCCTCTGAGACGGTATCACTTAACTATCCGAAATATTATTTCCTTTGAGGCTGCAGATACAGCTTGCTGATGACAGCCAGTAAGCATGAAACCTAGATCCACGACTTCCTGCCGATTGTCTCAAGCAATCAAAAATTTATTTGGAAAGTTTACCGTGACGGTGACCATAATGCGTACTCAACACATGTCATTAGTAACTTTCTGACAAACAGTAAGTGTATGTCGACATCTTGTTCATTGTCCGACAGATAACGTATGGCTTAGCCAATTGGTTCAATGAGAACCTATAGTTCGCTCCTTCTTAGGAATGTTTTGTTGCTTTGACTTATTCTGTGTTTAGTAAGTTTGGTCTGGTAAAAATATTGTTTCTCAACCCATTTGTCACTTGTCAGCATGGTTCGTTTACATTCGAAGGGACGATGGTACCGCTGTTTTTTATTTGCTATATATATATATCAACTAAGATTCTATAATTCTATTGGAAATTGTAGACTTTTCTTTAAAGCTGTACATTGCGCAACTTTTAATCTGTTTATCCCTGATACACTTTTATTAATGATAATAGGTTGAGGTAGCGCCTTACAAAGAATCACGTATTCGTGCATTTGGACCAGGTCTTGTCGGTGGTGTTGTCAATAAACCAGCTGTTTTTGTTGTTGAGACAAATGGAGAAACTGGTGCTTTGGGTAAGTTTTTATCAATCAATCAATAAATAAATAAATTCATGACTCATAAACGTTTTAACAAATTGAAAAGAACAAGAAGTTCAGCAAAGATGGCGATCTTTTCGGCGATTTCATTCTCAAAAGCTGTACAGTCGCATTTATATACATTAGTTTACATGGATACAATTATTATTTGTTTAATTCCACATAGTAACGAAGGAGATAATAATTTTCAACTTGATATGAAAGTTTGAAGGTACGAATATACATTACAAGGGGTTTAGAGACAAGATTGCATACGACTAGAAAACAGGTGAGAAACACATTCATCAACCTGAAACCAATCTGGAAATCTTCGTCACTCAGCCTGCATCAACAACAAAATTCGGATTTTCAATACAAACGTCAAGTCAGTCAGTTCTTCTATACGGATGGATCAGAAACTTGGTGGGTCACAAAGAATATTTCCAACAGCCTGTTGCAGACCTCTATCAACAACTGTCTTCGCTGGCTCTATACTGAAGATCAGATGGCCGGAAAGAATCACCAACAAGAAACTATGGGAACAAACAAAACAAGAACCAATCGCTCAACAAATATGCAGGAGAAAGTGGAGATGGATTGGACACTCACTGAGGAGCCTGCTGGGTGACATCGCGCGTCAGGCCAGTGCTCGAGTGGAATCCGAAAGGGAAGCGGTGAGTGGGACGTGCAAAGGTGACATAGAGGAGATCGTGTGAAGAGGTGTTGAAACAGTATGGATTAACATGGATGAAGGTGAAAAGTACAGCAGAAGACAGAAACGAGTGGAGACGTGCAGTTGAAGCCTTATATTCCGCTAGGAACCCAAGGGAACAACAATATAACAATAATAGAAAACAGTTACAACCTATGCAAAATTAATATTTGATAACTGGAGAAATAATTTTAAAGGCGAATAAAAGGGGGTAATTATTTTCAACTTGATATGAATTACAAGAGGCTTAGAGACAAAAGTTACGCAGGGATAGAACGAATTACATATCATACATACATTTCATATCAAGTTGAAAATTATTATCTCCTTCGTTACTATGTGGAATTAAACAAATAATAATTGTATCCATGTAAACTAATCTATATAAATGCGATTGTACAGGTGCTTTTGAGAATGAAATTGCCGAAAAGATCGCCATCTTTGCTGAACTTCTTGTTCTTTTCAATCTAATGTCCCGATGGGTATTTTCCATGTTTTAACAAATGCCAATTTCACTTTGTTCGTCGAACGCGTTGATGACTATTTTTACGTATTTGAAACACTGTATCAGCCCTAGTAGACTGAATGTTCTGACAAAATATCCTCTGCGATACAAAAAGACTCTTGTGGCATTTACTGACTGGTATAATCTCTGACGTGGACGTCATATCCAAGTATCTATCAAGTGAACGTGTATACCACAGAGTAGTGTACTCCATCTTCCTTTACGGCTGTGAGACACTGACGTTGAAAGTGAAAGATATATGAAGAGGTTGGCAGTCTTTGAACCTAGACGTTTGCGTTCTGTCCCTTGTGTTACATGGTGTCTTAGAGTGTTACGGTAAGCAAAGGAAGTCAATAGATGAGGTTATAAAGGTGCACCAACTGAGATGACTGGGATATGTGTAAAATTCTTCTCCTCTTACAAAAAATGGGGAAGAAAACTATAAAAATCAAGTTTTAAAGTTATATAATAACAAATGAATAATAATAATGAATAATAATAATAATAATTTGCTTTATTCCAAAACAGTACTTGTGATACAGAATCGAATTCTCAGCATTTCACTACAATATTGCATCCAGTTAGTACATTAACAATAAATAAAATTCTACATAGATTATGGGTAGTCTCAGTTAGTTTTGACAACAACATATTGGCATGTCGGTAGCAAAGCCAAAATTGAACAGAGTGTTTGAAGGTGTTAGAAAAGTAGATACTAGCATATTTACTGGCGTAGGCGGTAACAAAAATGTCGAGATATACGGGGTATGAAAGAACGAAGAAGAATGTTTCGAGTAGAGTTTGCAAATAAGAGAGAAACAAAGCAGCACATAACAGAAAAAAAAGAGAAAAGGAAAAGAAAGAAAGAAAACGTTGTACCTATAAATGATATGAGTTGGAAAGACGAGATCCAGTTGTTCTACTGACTATTTAATAAATTATAGGTTTCACGCCTAATGCTTTCTTTATCGCACAGAACACGAGCTAAGTATGGTATGGTTGAGTTTTTGTACTTGCTGGTGCGAGCATATAGTTTTCTATATAGGCTTCTGGTTTTGCCTGATGAGATACAAGGGGAGAGTTGTGAGTGAAGAGGGTGGTGTGAGTTAGATAGAATGGATTTGGCCCATTTTTCACATGAGTCCATGTGCCTGTCGACCAGAATATTAACAAGCTGGTTAAGTGGCACATTGCTTACCCTGCTGACAACATTTAACATCCTGCGTAATATGTTATAGTCTTTCTTCAGTAGCCCGGGTAAAACTAAGGGGGAACAATAGAGAATAATAGGCAGAATGCGAGAGTTAACGAATTGTAGGAGTAAGGGTTGGGTTATTCCAGAATGTCTTAACTTCTTGATGTAGAAGGTAAGACGGAATATTTTCTTAGAAATCATCAAGATATGAGACGACCAGGAAAGATCAGCAGATAGAATGACGCCAAGATATTTAATTTCCGACTTGGTTTCTATTTCAGTGCCATCTATATTGCACACCTCGTGAGAGCCAACCAGTTTGTTTAGGTCAGATTTATGCCTAAAGGTGAAATTGACTGTTTGACATTTGGAGGGGTTTAAGGTAAGACCGTTTTCCTTGGACCACTGGCTGATTTCTGATAGAAAGCCATTAAGTTTAGAGCAGTCACTTTGACATTTGACAGGCAAAGATACAGTCAGGTCGTCAGCATATTTGACAAAATTGATGTCATTTGAAGATGGTAAGTCATGTAGAAAGAAAGAAAAGAGAAGTGGGGAGAGTACAGCACCTTGGGGGACACCAGCTTCAGTGAGCACAGCAGAGGAGGATTTACCTTTGTATACAGTGTACTGATTCTGTTTGAGAAATAGGAATGCAACCAGTTTGTGACCTAAGCTTATTTAGCAAGAGACATCTAGGTACAGAGTCAAAAGCAGAAGTGAAGTCGAGAAACAGCAAATTGTATTCATAACATCATGCTACAAATAATACAGTTTCACTATGCGTGTGATACAATATCTAATAAACAAATGACTATGGAACTCTACATCCCCCCATATACTACTTAACTCTGATATAAGTAGCTTACATCCTTTTTATAAAATGACGCCAATATTTAATTTAAACATACTACTATCGATAGGCTAGCTAATGTAGTGATGAAATAAACGCTTCATTGAAACTGTCAATCAGCTAACTAATCCTCATCTCAGGCATGTAACAAACGATTAAAATAACGCCTAGGTGAATAGTAATCTTTCAAGAAGAAATAGTATCAACGAATATATTCTTACTTATGTATAAATTTTCGTCTACTGGCGTTGAAGAGTTTCAGTGAAAGGTATGACCTCTTTGCTCTCTCTCTCTCTGCTTCTGCACCTCTCCACCTGTTTTATTTCCTGTTTTTTTCACGCTCAAATTAACAGCTATATTCTCAATTCTATGATATATATCTATTTGTCAGCAGTCTGTTAGAATACAGGGTGTAACTTCGAAATCCGTCTGAGTAATCGTTAATAAGTTGTTCATGTATTCAGGATGTAGATGTTTCACTATTTTATAATATAAAATGAAAGCCTCTGTGTGCCAGTGTGTGTGTGTTCTTATTAGTGTATGCGCGTGAAAGTGACAATCAAATGTGTCCATTAGAAATGAAATTCCACTCATATACATACATATATCTATCTGTATATTTATTACTTATAAACATATTCAGTAGTTTATAACTATCGGAAACCAATACACATGAAGTTTAATGAAGTAGATGTTGTTTACTTTTGAATTACTTTCAGGGTACTTATTTCTCCCCATAAACTAAATATTTTTTATGTGATTGACATAAAAATTGTTTCCCTCCAGAAAAAAACTTCATGAAAGGCTGTGATAAGCAATAAAACTTTATTCTAATAAATAAATAAATAAATAAATAGGTGAATAAAAATAAATAAAATTAATCTGACTGGCTAAAAGACAAAGTTGACTGGAGTTCTAGTGAGAAGTCGTGACCAGGATGACAAACACTCGCACTAAAATCACGAATTGGTAGAAAGTTAGAATTCATGGTCTGATCATTGAGTTAGGTTCCAATGTCTGAATGGCCTATGAACTTGACTTGTACCTGAAAATTCCTGGGTTCGAGCCCTTACGGCGAATGAGTACTGCCGATGAGTCCCAAACTGGGAGGAAATAACTGTTCAGTACTCACCGCCAGGGTTCAAACCTTGGACCTTTCGGGTACAAGTCAAGTTCGTAGGCCATTCAGACATTGGGACCTGACTCAATGGTCAGTCATGAATTATTATTATTCTTATTGTTTCCTTTAATTCCTAGAGGAACATAGGGATTCAGCTGTGCGTCTCTAGTGCGTTCGGTTATCTGTCGACGTTTTCACCTGGCTCCAAGTCTGCCCACATGCTTTCATCGCCTCTTCACATGACCTCCTCCAAGTCACCCTTGTACTGACGACCAACTCGCCGCTTCCCTTTCGGGTTCCACTCGAGCGATGGCTTGTCTAGTGATGTCACTTGATGGCTTGTTTCCTCAGAGTATGGCCAATCCATCTCCATTTCTTCCTGCTTATTTGTTTCACAATCGGTTCCTGGCTGGTTTGCTCCCAGAGATCTCTGTTTCTGATCTTTTCTGGCCGGCCATCTGATCTTGAGTATTGAGCGAAGACAACTGTTAATGAAGGTTTGTAGTTTGTTTGAGATGCTCTTTATGACGTGCAGTGCAAGTCTCTGATCCTTATAGTAGGTAGCACTGACTTCACATTGGAACTGAAAATCCGGATCTTCATTTTGACGCTGAGTGCTGTTGACCTCCACACAGATTTGATAGTAATGAAAGCTTGCCTTGTTTTCATGAATTACAATTTCTACCAGTCCGTAGTTTTAGAGTGTGTATTTGTCCCTTTCCTGACCCGATAGACCTAACTCCCCTCTTTAAAACTTCTCAATAGAAATCCAGACAACTAGGACGAAATAACTGTCCAGTATTCCTTGTTGGTTTTCAACGGTTCTCTAACTGATATCGATCCGTGGTCAAACGTGAAATATATAAACTTTTAGTAGCAATAAAACCCACCAAACTGGTATGTAGTTTATTTCAGATAATGGATAATACGACACTGTAGCTTAGATGGATTTCCAAGGCTGTAATGTTGGCTGATTTAAATTCGTGTTTTTTTTTTCATGATGTTACATTCCACTGATTAATTGATTGATGAGTATAGTTGGATGCTGTTCACACTATGAGATACAATTTAGCGTCACTGGATTAATTGTAAAATGCTTGTCAAGTACACAAGAGGTCCAGCTTCAATTTCCGGATGACACACTTCTAAACTTCGTTCAGCCGGCAGTGAGTCCGGTAAAGAGGGAAGTTTGGACATGGAACCAGTAGCTTCAACTCCTTACGAACAAGATTAGTGCTACTGAATCTAATTGAAGACTTTTGTTCTATTCTGAATGAAAATCAGGAAGCTTAAGAATGAGCAACACATATTGTGTGAAGGTTGGTGATCGTCGGTGGAATGATCGTCGAATTCATGAACTTTCTACATGATGTGCTTTACGACAGACGATCTCAGGCATCTATTTCCAGGGTTAGTTGAATTGGGCGACTCCATTTATTCTTACAGACACTTAGAAATGTTCAATTATTGGTTTTGTAGGGATTTTGTTTGATTGGTCGGAGGATTTCATCATGAGCTGACATCAGTTAGAGAACTATTGTCTGTCAACACAGAACTTCACACCGATGTGCAGCAGTTCAAGTCACCACACTCCCTCCTTGTAGCACACAAAGCAAGAGAAGAAAGTAGAAGAAATGCTAAATAGAGACAGTTGACAAGGATATGAGACAAAAAGAATAGTAATAACGAAGAACAATATAGTTTCATTGGAAATTATAAGTCACGAGGAGTGAATGCATCTACGCCAGACACTGAGAACGATTTTGAGCCATATCACCGATTGTCTCCAGCTGTCATTGGTTTTTACCGTCCCGAGGACCCCAACCAGTCAGCGAGTCTACACCTTCCTACGTGACTTAAACTAACTGTTGTGGATTTCATTGACTGATGCCATGTCTTGGCTTGACCGCCTCCATCTCTTTTCCAGCCTGACTCTATGTTAGCTAACATTGCCCGCTGTCGAGGAAGGCGATGGCTAGGCATACGTAACAAATGCACTAATCATCTCAGTCGATGTAGCTTAACAGCCTCGTCTATTGATTTCCCCTCCTTACCTAACACTCGACCGATGCCTAACCTCAGTATTGCTTACCCTACTATACCACTTCACATGGAAGATAGAGAACTATTGGAAAACTTGGGAGTACTGCCAGACAGCTGTCTCTTCCGTCCTAGTTTGGGACTCTTCATCAGCACGCACCCACCGTAGGGGTTCGAACCCAGGACCATCTGGTTACAATTGGTTTATGAGCTAGCTCGCTTTGTAACCAGAAGGTCCTCGGTTCGAACCCCTTGTGGTCGGTGCGTACTACTGAAGAATCCCAAACTAGGACGAAGGAGACAGATGTCCGGCAGCACTAACAAGTTTTCCAGTAGTTCTCTGACTGATGTCAGCTCATGATGAAATCCTCCAACTTAGGAATGTTTCAGTTGTTAGAATTTCATCACAAACCAAAATCACTTAGAGGGATCACCAGAAACGGGGTTACAGATGTGTTTTGTAACCCTATTCTGCAAAGATCAATACCTCAACTCCCTACACACTTGTGATCACACACTTGTAGGTCGGTAAACACATTGCGATGCAGCACTCGTTCAAATACTGTTTCGTTTTCTTTATAAAAATGGGCATTGTTGTAGAGTAATTTCTATAGGGTACCGCTTTAACTGTATGTTCGGTGGTCAGAATTAGGCAATTACTGTTGAAAATTTGTAGAAACATCGTATTGGGAGCTAATTGAATTGCCATTTCTACCATGGCATTCAATGAATTTTTGAGGATATTTATCAAGTAATCATATTTTAGTCAAGTTTTCGTTCGGATTGTAATAAACAGTGGTCAAAATCTTATCACAGTAAATGATTATTACTGTTACACTGTGATACCGAAATATGATCAACCACAGTTGTTTTTTTCATTCCTTTGCATCTGGATTAGAAAAAAAGGTCTTCAAGCTTTGATGTTTCAGTAGTACTGGTGTTCTTTACTGGTTATGGGGTTGCTAGCCTCATGCCCAACCTTCCGCCTTTCCCAAGCTTGGCTAACAAAGTAGTCTAGGTTTAGGATTGCATTGGCAGAGGTTGGATCCCATAACTTCCATACGGTTGATGAACATCCTGTCACTTACGTCAGTAGTAAATATAATTCTTCTTTTCCTTTACTTTCTTCTCTTAAAGGCTTTTCTATTGAAGGTCCAAGTGAAGCTAGAATTGACTGTACAGATAATGGTGATGGATCAGCCACAGTAGCGTATTGGCCAACAGCTCCTGGTGAATATGCTGTGCATATTTTATGCAATGATGAAAATATACCGAAATCTCCATTCATGGTTCCAATTGAACCAGATATGGGTAAATGTGATCCAGAAAGAGTAAGTTTCGCCTACTGGAATAACAATTGCTGTTTGTTTTTTTATGATCAATAGTCCTTTTTGTTCAAAGTAATAATTCACTTTTTCAATGCAGATTCCGTCATACCCCGACAACACTTGAGGAATGATTAGAAACCAAGGAGTGTTAGAGAGTTGTTTCGTCCTTGTCTGTGACTCTTCATCCATCCAAATCCATGCCACCACACCAGCAGGCATTCAACGCAATACCTTCCAGTTACACGACAAGCTAACTAGAATCTAATGGTACATCAGTTCTAAAGAACTCTTATTGTAAATTGAAGATCCTGGGTTTGATTTCTGATGAAGAGTTCAAGGCTATGACGAAACACCTGCCCTGTACTCCTTGGTTGTTTTCATCTACTCTCTAACTAAACTCAGCTTGTGACCATATATTAATATTAATCAAGATGTATACAAAAATCAAAATGTGAATAATTTGTATCGCATGTTTTCTCTAATTTTTTTTTTGCAGGTTAAAGCACATGGACCAGGTATAATGCCAACAGGTAATGTAGCTGGACAACCAACAGAATTCACTGTTGATATAAGAGATGCTGGAGGTCCTGCACCATTGACAGTTGAATGTAGAGATAATGAAGGTGAACCAGTGGCATTAAAAGTTCGTGACAACGGTGATGGTACATACACTTGTAGTTATACCCCGAAAGTGCCCAAAAAGCATACAGTACTTGTTTCATACGGTGGAGTTAATATACCTAGAAGTCCTTTCAGAGTAAGTTATATTCAGTTAATTTAATAATTCATAAATCAAACTCTTTCTTTTATTCCTTTATGTTCCCAGTGGAACATTAGGCTTCAAGCTAGAGGCTTGAAGTTTCAGTAGCAGTGGTGTTTATTTTTACAGGATGTGGTTGCTAGCCTCATGCTCAACCTTCCCTCTTTATCAGTCTTATTACTGGCTTAGCGAGGCAAAAGAGTGCGTCAGTGGCCGGGGATCGAACCCCGAACCACATGAGGCGTGGTTGGCGAGCATTCTACCACTGTGCCACTGAAGCACTTCGACATTAAAGAAAGGCGTCTGTAGACAAGAAGCCTCTGTATATCCGACGGTAATTCAGAGGTGATTTAACACGTGAAATAATAACCCACAAATTTTAGAAGTTTTAATGTCGGTAGCATAGCGGTTAGGACGCTCGCCGACCATGCACATGGTCCGGGGTTCGATCCCCGGCCGGCGCACTCCTTTACCTCGCTAAGCCAGAAATAATGCTGGTGAAGAGGAAAGGTTGGGCACGAAGCTAGCAACCCCATCCTGTAAAATAAACACTGCTAAAGAAACTTCAAGCCCCTAGCTTGAAGCCCTATGTTTCACTGGGGAACGTGAAGGAAAAAAAATGTCGGTAAGCTGCAGCTCATATTTTTCACACAGCATGTTGAATAGATATTTTTATTCAGTTACATTTTATTGTTGATATCTGCACAGTGCATTCATTCTTTGTGAAATCAACTTCGATAGGTTTACGATAATCACTGATTTCAACCAGGTACATCTAGCTATAAACTTTAGGGGTGTGAATTTAGAATCCCAGGGTGTAGTTACATTTCTGCATCTTCTCGTCACAAGAAGATCAGATAGAAAGATAAACGGTATTCTCTGTAAGAAAAGTACCTGGACTGTATGTTATAGACATTTCCAACAGCTTTTTTCCTCTTCCGTAGAAAAAGAATTTGGTAAAACATTCATCTGTAAAGTGTGAATTATATGTTCAGGAGTTGTGATTAGGAATGAGCTAAAGGGTATATACAATAGCTTAAAAATGCACATGGCTAGGAAAGTCGAAAAGGTCTACGTTGCATTTATGAACAAGAAGTTACTGTATACGAAATCGGAATTCAGTGGTGAAAAAGTCGGTTAAGTAGTGACTGGCAAGTTTAAGAAAACCCAGTTGTGTTACTACATCTGAAAGATATAATTCCTAGGATAGACACCTCTTCTAGCGTCTGCCCATACACCTACTTCTGTGGAGCCGTTGGCTTAGAACCCTAGTTTTTCGTGTTCGAGAACACCTACTAGTGTGGCTAAACAATTCGATTTCAAACAGACCAGAAATCGGGTATTAAACGATCGTTTTCAGTTGTCAATCTTATATCATCAGGTGTACAATGCTCCAAGTAGTAGAAGCCGTAGTAATTGCCTTGAAACCACTGGATCTTTCGAGCGCCGAGTCAGATTGATTCATTATAAATTATTTAAATTAATCCCAGCGTGTTAAGAAAATCAAAACAGATTTTTTTCTGAACGTTTCGTTGTGTAAGCCACAGCTTCTTCAGCAGATTTCACTGTGGCTTACACAGCGAAACGTTCAGAAAAAAATCTGTTTTGATTTTCTTAGCATACTGGGATTAATTTAAATAATTTACACTGGATCTTTCGTTTCATACAAACGAAATAAGTCTTCCTACTTTTAAGATTGTAGCCTGGTGCGTTGGTGGCACAGAGGTTAGGACGCTCGCCAACCATGCACATGGTTTGGGGTTCGATCCTCTGTCGACGCACATATAATATCACTGGTCGGCCTGAAAAATTCGGGCTACCGATATCACATGCTGAAAATTCCATACTTGTACCAAAAATACGATGTGGAGTCAAGCTACAATCAAAAATAATTGAAAAAATTAAAAAAATGTATGTATATTCATAAATAACTCATTAATAGGTTTATTTGAATACTTTTTGCTAATGTTGTACTTCATTCATTAGGTTGAAGTCGCTGAACCTAGTAATCCAGGAAAAGTACGCGTTTTTGGACCCGGCGTAGAAAGTGTTACCCGAGGTCAACCAACATATTTCACTGTTGATTGTAAACAAGCTGGACATGGTAAGTTATTGGTTCATTCACGCCTCTCGGGTGTCTATTCTTTGACAATGCGCTTTTATGCTTGCTAACACGTTATTTATATTCACGTTCGAAGCAATAAAGGAGTCCCAGAAAAGTTGAACAATAGTGATTCAAGTGAATGATGGAAGGGTTACGTTTATTGTTTCAGGATTTATTCAGATAGAGTACAGAATATCTGTTTACTATCATCTATGACAAGTCTGTGTGGAGGTCAACAGCACTCAGCATCAAAAATAAGATGCGGATTTTCAACTTCAGTGTGAAGTCAGTGCTACTATACGGATCAGAGACTTGCACTACGCGTCACGAAGGCCACTTCGAGCAAACTACAGACTTTCATCAACAGATGTCTTCGCTCAAGATAAGATGGCCAGAAATGATCAGCAACAGAGACCTCTGGCAATGAGCGAACCAACCCAGCAGGAACCAATTGTGCAACAAATCTGCAGGAAGAAATGGAGGTGGATTGGTCATACTCTGAGAAAACCAACCATCAAGTGAGTAACATCACACGCCAGGCCATCGCTCAAGGGGAACTCAAATGGGAAGCGTCGAGTTGGTTGGCAGTGCAAGGGTGACATGGTGGAGGAGGTGAAAGCTTGTGGGTAGTAGCAGAGGCACGTGAAAATCAGATAGCAGAGAACCAATTACAATGAAGATATGTTTCTATGAAGCCCAGTATTCCACTTGAGACGCTAGAAACGAGTAGCAATAATACTGGTCGATGAATTATTCGTTTTAATCTAGTGAAAATCTCCCATATAGACATTTAGAAGATCAAAGATAGAGCAAAGAAATATTTACTTTTCAATCGGATCCTCATTTACGACTCTACTCTAATGCATATTATATATATATATATATATATATAGCATGGATTGATACAAGTTTGAGAACCATTGAAAACCACCGAGGACTGGATAGCTGTTTCACCCTAGTTTGGGAATCATTGGCAGTACGCACCCACCACCAGGGTTCAAACCTAGGACCTTCCAGTCACGAGGTCAGCTCGCGTATCATTCAGTCACTGGGACCTGACTCAGTAGTCAGCCCATGAATTCTAACTTCTACCAGTTCGTGATTTTAGCGCAACTGGCACCAACCAATGTCATCGGTGGGACATCCATCCTCACACACTTGACTGGATGGACCTCACTGTTCACGACTTCTCGCCAGAACTCCAGGAAACTCCATCCTGTAACAATTTGCTAGCGAGCATCAGATTGTCAATACTGAAGTCCATCCAGTCAAGTGTGAGGATGGATGTCCCACCGATGACATTGGTCAGTTGTCGCGCTAAATCATGAACTGGTAGAAGTTCGAATTCGTGGGCTGGCTACTGAGTCAGGTCCCAGTGACTAAGGTCCCGCGTTCGAATTCTGGCGGTGGATGAGTACTATCGACGAGTCTCAAACTGGGATGAAACAACTGTTCAGTCCTAGGTGGTTCCAATGGTTCTCTAACAGATATCAGTCCGTGATCAACTCGTAGAAAACAAATCTAATCCTTACAAACCAACTATTGAAAACTAATGAATATCATATATATCCAATGCCCAATTTTTTTCAAGCTATTAAAAGTGAACCTGGCTTGGACATATATATAGCTCTAGAATGATTGACACTACTAAGTTTAGTAATTTGAATGAAGGTTGACCGTTGCAATGCATTTACTTGCATGTAACCCCATAATAGGGTGAAATAAGATGCAAGCATGAGAAAGGAATATAGTTAGATAACGTTAAACGTTATTCAACGTCTAACACACGTCATGGAATACGGTAAACTTGAACAAGCAATAATTATTGTAGTGAGGTACCTCTAAATAGTTAAATTATGTACACCTTATCTTCAACGCACCATTTGCACAGATCTTCGTGTTGTGGTACTTCTGGCCTTCATATTGTGTTTCTTTGTGTTCCTTTCACATCCCCCATGTATCTCTTCAACACTGTGTCATTTGTTTTCTCTGACATCAAATCTATCTCCCTGCTATTTGATGTTTTTTATACCAATGAACATCTCTTTATATACACATTATATACTACTGATAAACCTTATCAGTAGCTCACGCCACAATACGACCATACAAAACAAGTTATCAAGTTGTGTAAATACATTCGTATGAGATTATGAGGAATAAATTGTTCTCTAAACGTTATCCATTTATATCCCACACTGTGAGTAATATTCAAATAAAGTTGTCCAGCATGAAATTATATTTTCACCATACAGTGCCCAAAAATCAACTCTTACATTCATTACGTAATTATCAAAATTATTCATTTTTCATTTCATTTATAGGTAATGTTGGCATTAGTGTAACAGATGAAGCTGGTCGTGATGTTGCTATGGATACACAAGATATGCGTGATGGAACATTTAAAGTAGCCTATACAGCTAATACACCTGGACCATATTATACTGTACAAGTATTCTTTAATAATCAAGAAGTTCCACGTAGTCCATTTAAAGTACCTGTTAAACCAAATATTGATATGTCTAAAATTCAAGTTGAAAATCTTGAACCAAGTAAGTTAGCAAGCAAGCGGTTTTGTTTGTTTCGTTTCATTTGTCTGAAAAATGTATAACTGAAGGCTGATGTTATCCATCATGTATCAAAATGAAAACTTGAAGTCAATTGGTGGTTGGTGACTAGCAGTGGAATCCAGGACAATCCGCATTTCGTCCTATTTTGGACTCGTCAACTGGATGTATATGTATCGACGGGAAAATCTAAAAGTGGATTAAATAATTAATAAGACCTGTTGCACAAAAGGTGGCCCTCGTGGCCCAAGTGGTCTAGTGGATAATACTTTGGCGTTTGAAACTCTGGGTGCTGGGTTCGAGCCTCGGTAGGAACACTATCTCTCTCTCTGACTGGGGAATGCAGGTATATCCAAATAAAGAGTCCCAAATAGGACGAAATGTGCGTTGTTCTAGATTCCGCTGCCAATCACCATCCACCAACTGACTTCAAGTTGTACGACCAGACATCGTCGAAGTATCTGTACAAGGAGTTGACAAGTAAACCTGAAACCGAGCACTTCGTCCGATCAATCGACGGGAAAATCTAAAATTGAATTAAAATGAAAAGCTATTAGCATTAAATAGCAGAACGTCAGTTAAAACAATATCGTTTTGCTTTTCATTCATTGGGAAATACAAAAACTTGAGGGAAGCGCTTGTTGAGATGGAATGATCAATGTTAACCAGATGTCGTTCAATTATCTCACTCCTTATAGCACCACTATTGCCTTTTCGCAACCATGCTGGACAGTGTTCTTGAATCCTCTTGGACAGGATGCGCGTTGAACGACCAATGTACCTGGCTCCACAGCAGCAGGTGAACTGATATATATGTACATAGAAGTCGTAAGATGCGGGATCTTGTCCTTAAGGCTTCTGCGTTGCTTAGCGTTGCTGCAAAGAATGTTCTTCTCAGAGATGATGTGATCCTTCTCTTGAGAATATCGCTTGTTAAATCTCCCTTAAAATCTGAGTTCATGTAAAGTTTCTTTTTCGGCACAAGTGAAGTTTCATTTCTCCAAATTCTTGGTTTGATATTTTTGTCAATGAATCTTTGTGGGTATCCATTTTGGATGAAGATTTCTCTCAGAAGATTTAATTCTGTTTCTAGAACATCGGGACTACAGATACGTTGGATGCGGGTGGCAAGGGATTCAATTAAACTCCGCTTTTGTTGATTGGCTACCCAGCTATAGAAGCTTGTTAGTTGACCACTCCAAGTAGCTTTTCTTCTTAAGGTCCCATCAGTTCTTCTTGTTAGTTCCACATCAATTCGCCGAAAAGAGACTCTTCGCTGAACTACGTGTTTTGTTTTCATTAATACCTGGATGACAATTATTCATGAATTAATAACAGATGTTTGGAAGTGATCAACAGAAAGTTTCCCCCACCACCTAGTGCGTCGGTGGCACAGTGGTTAGGACTCTCGCCGACCATGCACATGGTCCGGGGTTCGATCCCCTACCGACGAACACCCGATATCTATGGTCGGCCTGCAAAATTTGGGCTACCGATATCCATGCTGAAAATTCCATACTTGTAATGAAAATACGGTGTGGCATCTAGCTGTAATAAAAAATAAAAATAAAAATAAATATGCCAGGTATTATAAGAATTTCATCCTTTTCTGCCTTTATTGAAGTTAACAAATGTATGTGAAACTTACTAGTTGTTTGAGTTAAAAAAAACAATCTTAGAAAAACGTAATAAAATTTTGAATAATTCAGGAAGAAAACCCGTTTCTCCGTAAAAAAAAAACAACACCAATTTACTTTTTCTAAACCACTACAAAGTTAAACACTATAGTTACTACTGATGGTAATATAAATATCACCTTGTTTATAAGGTGAAAGTCGATGTAACAGGGACAGGGGAAGGGGGCGGGCTGGAAAGAGAACGATATCAACCAATGATGACATCATCAATTCTGTCTTCAACTACAATTTTTTTAAAACAACTAAATTCCAGAAAATAGCCTTTTTTCCCTTAAATGACATTATTCTTCGTATGCAAGGGAAATAAGCCAACGGAGACTGCAGTAATGTGATAAGATGTAGACTTAAACACGACCTTTTTTCGTGTTTGTGGTGTACAAAAAACCAACCAAACAAACAAAATAGACAGAGGAAGACTTAAAACACTATACTACTGATAACAAAAAACTAATGAGATACAGTCAGTCGCCTGTTTATTTTTCCTTTTATTGGTTTTTGATGGTAAAAATTTAGTCTTCCCATCTTATGCCTACCCTTTTCCTGTCTGTTTCTCTTCTCATACACACAGTGATAACAAATAAGGATTGATATAGACATTTTTTTATATTAGGCGTCATACATATTGTTGTGAAGTATTGTGTTAAGTAACTGATAGGCGTTCCTGTGAAATGCTAGCATATAAGCTGTATAATAAAAAAATAGCACACAAAACAAAGAAGGCTGTCTTCCTAAAAGTAGTCAGTGGAAGGTTTTTTAACACTAAAATCTGTCATTAGTTGTCACTGGTGTTTCCGGTATCTTTCAGGAAATTATCAAATTAGAGCATGATTTATTTTATTTTTGACAAATATTGACATTAAGTGAAGTGACAGGGGGGGGGCTTGACAAGGGGAGAATAAAATCTTGTTTCTGTAGTGTCTGTCTATCAGATTGTTCTTTTATTCGCCTTTTCAATCACTTCTGATATTAAGTAAGGAGATAAAACTGACACATATGCTTTATTACAAGGAATTATTTATTATTACTATTGTTTCCTTTAATTCCTAGAGGAACATAGGGCTTCAGCCGTGCGTCTCCATTGCGTTCGGTTCTCTGCTAGAGTCTTCACCTGGCTCCAAGTCTGCCCATACGTTTTCATCTCCTCTTCACATGACCTCCTCCAAGTCACCCTTGCACTGACGACCAACTCGCCGCTTCCCTTTCGGGTTCCACTCGAGCGATGGCTTGTCTAGTGATGTCACTTGACGGTTTCCTCAGAGTATGGCCAGCCAATCCATCTCCATTTCTTCCTGCTTATTTGTTTCACAATTGGTTCCTGTTGGGTTCGCTCATCCAGAGATCCCTGTTGCTGATCTTTTCTGGCCATCTGATCTTGAGTATTGAGCGAAGACAGCTGTTAATGAAGGTCTGTAGTTTGTTTGAGATGCTCTTTATGACGCGCAGTGCAAGTCTCTGATCCGTAAGTTAGTAGCACTGACTTCACATTGGAGTTGAAAATCCGGATCTTATTTTTGATGCTGAGTGCTGTTGACCTCCACACAGACTTGAGAGTAGTGAAAGCTTGTCTTGCTTTTCCGATTCTTGCTTTGATATCCTCGTCAGTTCCTCCTGTAGTTGAAACGATGCTTCCCAGGTAGGTAAAGGAGGTAGTTTCTTTCAGGTTCCTCCCATTTATGCTGATCGTTGTCTGTTGTTGTTGTTCTTGTCCAGGAATTTTCATCACCTCTGTTTTATCTATGTTCACCTGAAGTCCTATCTTTGATGCTTCTTCTGACAACTTGTTGCTTTTCGCTTGCATATCTTCCAGTTTGTGGGAAATCAGACATATATCATCGGCGAAGTCCAGATCCTCCAAGTTCTTATGTGAGTCCATTTTATGCCTGTTTCCTAGTCACGCTACCCACTGTTTGTCGCATTATCCAGTCTACTGCAATCAGGAAAATCATTGGCGATAGTAGGCAGCCAGCCTTGTCTTACTCCTGTCCTCACTTCGAAGGGTTCCGTGAGTTTCCCGTTGTGGATTACTTGGCATGCAGCATTGTCGTACAGCTGTTGGATGAGATGTATAATTGTCGGTGGCACACCGTTACGAGACGGCAGTCGCTAGAGAATCACTGAAAACCAAGTAAAGGATAGGTATAGTTTTGAACTCCTAGGTAGTACACAATCATCACTCCACTGCAGGATAGTGGTAGAAGCTAGAACTCATCGACCACTTGATTTCTTCTCAGTGACTGAATTATTACGGGCTCTCCATATATCCTGAAGGTCCTGAGTTCTATTCTTGGTAAAGTGATGTTTGTATGCTGCTGAAGAGTACCAAACTAGGACAGAACAGCTGTACAGTACCCCCTGACTTCTTTTGGTTCCCTATTATTATTATTACCATTCCCTTGAGTTCCGAGTGGAACATAGGGTTTCAACAACACATCTCTACTTTGTTGTATTTGGTGGTGTCCTCTTCAGCTGGGTCCACGATTGCCTATAATCTCTCATCTCCTCCAAGGATAAAAAGATGAAATCAAGACTGAGCACTTCAATCCAATCGATCGATGGGGAAATCTAAAATTGAATTAAACAATACTTTTGTTCAGGTTATTTTTACACAATAAAGTAGTGATCCCTTTGGTTATTTATAAGTGCGTCGGTCATTCAATGCTAGAATGCTTGCCATGCACATACGTCGTCGGGGTTCAAGTCCTGGCCACTGAAGCACTCCTAAACCTCTCCTAGTCTACTTACCAGGTAATAGTGAGTTGAACAACTCCATCCTGAGAAAATCTTACCACTGCTGGTGAAACTTCCAAACTTAGAACCCGAGTCCCTAGGTTCCACTCGAATCGTCAATACTTTTTGAGTTGCTGATCAACCTGTCCTAGGTTAGGCTGATGAAGATTTAATGACTAGTAGGGTTTCAAAATAACAGTCGGGAGGCAGGCTCTGTAACTGAGGTGAAATTCTGGTGTGGTAAGTAGCTGAATCTTGTCTGACGATCGATGAAGCGCCGAAATAGTAGACTAAAGTCTGATGACTGTTTGTCTGATACAAACAATTCATGCTTTATATCCAATTCAATTATCAACCTCCCTCTCCACTTAACTTCAAACTAAGATCACTAAACTAACCAAAGCTCTATCAGAAAACCACTCTAAGTATACAAGTTTCTGCTGTATCACAAAATATTGATAATAAATCACGTAAGTCATCGGGACAAATGGTAGGTTATACTTTCGGACAATATTTATATTCTTCCGGGATTATTTTTATTTGTGACGTAACTAATTCTTTGACTGCCAACCAAAATCAATTCATTATTCTATCAAAAATTGTATTTTTTGTACCAACCAGACATCACTGTAGGTGTACCAACTGAATTCGACGTCATAACAGCTGGTGCCGGGCCACCGAATAACAGTAAACCAAAACCAACTGTAACTGTTAAATCGCCTAATGGTATGCGTGTACCCTGTACACTAGCTGAAAGTGTCGATGGATATACACCTTCATTTACACCAACTGTTGTTGGACCGCATACAGTCGCTGTCGAGGTTGGCGGTGTACCAGTCAAAGGAAGTCCATTCCGTACAAATGCTGTCCCACCAGCTGCGCTACACGAGCCTATTTATCCTAAAGATACTGGACGTCAACAAGCCGCCACAACAGCACCGATTTCTGGACCTGAAGCTGCAGCTTTAGTTCGTGCCTATGGTGATGGATTATATCGTGCAACAGCTGGAAAACCGGCTAAATTTACAATTGACAGTCAAGATGCACCACCTGCTCCCCTGAGTGTTACTATTGAAGGACCTGCAGAAGCCAAGATTAATTACAATGATAATGGTGATGGAACCTGTGGAGTGGATTATCTTCCAGTTGAACCTGGACCATATGTTGTCAATGTTTTATACAAAGATACACATATCAAAGGAAGTCCATTCCCAGTAAGAGTTGCTCCGCCGGGAAGAGAAAATATTGATATCTCTCGTGTTCATGCTTATGGGCCAGGATTACAACCAACTGGTAGGCGAAATCAGCATGACAAACGTATATTCTTCTCTACTTGCTGCTGCTTTCATTAGCTTAATTGTATGATCTTTGAGAAAATCTCAGCATGATCCAGTCTGAAAGTTGATCACACTAGTGTTCTACACATCAGATTTCTTCGTCTTTCTCTCTTTCTTTCGTCTCTCTATCTGTATGTTGCATGACAATTGATATTCGTTCATTTAAGGCATGCATTTTTAATATTTCTCTAAAAAAAGTGTGTGAAATTTCATCTTCATGAATGTTTTAACGCTCTTTTAGAATAAACTAAGTCTTTTATGCTGTTTCATTTTTCTTTTACTTTTAAAGGTGTCCTGAAAGAATCATTCGCCAAGTTTACAGTTGACGCTAAAGCTGTAGATCCACAAGGCAAAGGTGTTGTCAAGGCTATAGTTGTTAGTCCAAATAAACAAAGAACAGCCTGTCTAATACAGAATAATGGTGATGGAACATACAAGTGTAGTTATTCACCTGTTGATGATGGTAAGTTTTGTTTTTAGACAATTTATTTAATCGTTAATTATATATTCAACCGACATGCTCGGTCTCGCCTGACATATTAGCTCCTAGTGAGAACACTTCAACGATATCTAATAATAATAATAATAATAATAATAATAATCTACTTCATTCCAAAAGCAGTACTTATAATACAGAATGGAATTCTCAGCATTTGTCACAATATTGCATCTGATTTACTCAAAATATAAATAAAATTAAAAATTAAAACTAAATCAACCAGAGGAATTTGTCCAAATTTACTGCATAAATTCAGAAATATTCGAAGTACAAACTGAGAATATTAAATACAGTAGAAATAATAATAGTGAGTTTGCTTCAAACAGTATTGTCGATTCAGTTTGGAAATTTTAGCATGTTATAGATTATTGGATCTAATGTTCTGTTGATATAGCAGCATGGTGAGGGGAAATACAAAATTAACAGTTATAACACAGCTTAAATGATGTTCACACTTATGAGAAAATAAATAAAAATAAAAACAAAAAATTGAGAGGATCACAATTATAAGAAGTACAATAACAATGAAGGTTGATGTTGTAAGGATGGAGGAAAATGGTTTATTTAGTAGTGCAAAGAAGGTTAGTTAGTTCATGCCTAACACTATTTTCATCACATAAAGTACATGCTAAATATGGTATAGTGGAATTTTTATACTTAGACGTACGTGCATAAAGTCTCCTGAAAAGAATTCTTGTTTTACCTGAGGAGACACAAGGTTGGAGCTGCGGGTAGAGTGGGTGCTCAGAGTCTGACAAAATTCCTTTAGCGAATTTGTTGCATGACATCAAGTGCCTATCAGTGACAATGTCAATGATATGGCCCAATGGGATACCACTCGTTCTACTGACAGTCTTCAGAATTCTACGAAGTATGACATAGTCTTTTTTAAGCAATCCAGGAAAGAATAAGGGTGAACAGTAAAGAAGAATAAGTAAGATCCACGGGTTGATAAACTGTAGGAGGAGGGAATGAGTTATGCCTGAGTGCCTTGACTTCTTAATGTGAAAAGTCAGACGAAATATTCTTTTAGAAATCGCTAGGACATGGGAGGACCAGGATAGGTCAGAAGAAAGAATTAATCCAAGATACTTAACTTCAGACTGGGATTAATGCGATGTTATTTTGGTTGGTACTGACATTATAGTGGAATCTAGGATGTGCAATTCGTCCCGTTGGGTGACCCGTCAACTGGATGCATCTACATTCTATCCAGAGACAGCTCTAGTAGTCAAATTGGCCTAATGGATAATGCTTCAGAGTTTCAGACGATGGGTACAGGGTTTGACTCTTAGTGGCAACACTGTCGGTCGTTGGGTAGAATACAGGTACGTCGATCTTACAACTTCCAATTAGGACGAAATGACTATTGTCGACTCCAGTGTTAATCACCATCAACCGAAATGAACTCAACTTTGTTTCTGTAATCTCACTCTAATCTCACACAGTTTATTACCGTGTAGATATTTTTCAGGAGGGTCAGTTTCAGAGAAGAGAAACTTTATTTTCAAATGTTTGTTTTGTAGGAATTTGATTGGTTTCAAGTCTGATCACGAACAGTGTCTTCAGTGGGTGTCAGGACAAAAACTCGACAATGATTATTGACTGGCCATTGTTTTCTATATATATATTATTGTAGCTTGACTCCACGCAGTAGTTTTGATACAAGTATAGAATTTTCGGCATGTGATATCGGTAACCCAAATTTTGCAGGCCGACCAATGGTATCAGGTGTGCGTCAGCCGGGGATAGAACCCTGGATGATGTGCATGGTCGGCGAGCGTCCTAAACGCTATGCCACTACATATATATATATATATATCACAAATCAGCAGAAGTTAGAATTGTTAGACGATTGAATTCCATCCCAGTGGCTGAATGATCAACAGGCTGGCCTTGTAGCCTGAAGGTATTGGGTTCAATCCTTGATAAGGTGACTGGTGCATATAGCTGAGGAGTACCAAACTAGGACGAAACATATGTCCTGTATTCCCTAGGTTTCACTGGTGCTCTAACTGAAAAATGTTTCTTTTAGGTAACGTTATTACCTATGCTGTACAGTCGTTTCAGGTTTTTAGCTATGGAAATCCATTTCCTATTAGAGATCTTCAAAGATTTCTCAGCTTTCCATCAACAGTTATTTCAGTCGATATTTTTCGTATCCTTAAGTAGAGGAGTAAAGAACTTTGGAAATCAATAAACTATCCGTTCCATGCAGGCTTTTTGTAAATACACCTCCATAATGAGGTTTTCATCCTTTCTTAAGGGTTGAACATCAAGGAAATAGAACATGGATTCTCGTTCTGCTTTTAAAGTGAAATCAGCGTATCCGAGTTTACATTATTGAAGGTTCAGAGAGAGAGTTCTCAAAATTAAAATTCCTTTCACAAACAGTGAGCACCACCAAAAAGCGTGATATCCTATAAAAATGTCTGTATTGGATCAAATATATCAAAGTTATTTAGGTCTATGTTAAGTCATACATTCACGGGATATAGACAAATAGAGTGGAAACAGTTCAAAAATCAGTTATTCCTCCCTCCCTAGAATGGTTTAACAAGTGATGAATTTATGCTTAGATATATATTTTGTTCAATGAACTCAACATAATGTTGATTGATTGATTTTGTGAGCTTAAACGTTCTAAAAGGGTGAATTTGGAGGCATCTTTGACTGGTTACAGGATATCATCATGAGCTGACATCGGTTAGAGAATCACTGGAAAACCTGCAGGGTGTATTGGACAGCTGTTTCGTCACCTTAATTTGAGACTCTTCAGAAGAACGCACCCACCACAAGAGGTTCGAACCCAGGACATTCTGGTTACAAGGCGATCCCATAGCAGCCAGTCCATGAATTTCAACTTCTGCCAATTCACGACATAGCGCGACCAATTAGCAATATCTTCGGCGAGTATTTGTCCTCACACCCGATCTACTGTACCCTATTGGTCACGACTTCCAACTATAGCCCCAGCTAACAGCTGTCTGGCAGTACTCCCTGCAGGTTTTCAAATGGTTCTCTAACCGATATCAGCTCATAATGAAATCCTGTAACCAATCAATCAAATCCCTACAAACCAATACTTGGGTCTTTTTGACGCCTACTCTATATATAAGCCGCCTTCAGATTACTAATCACCATGACACTTGATAAACGCGCGCATACTATCATCTACATTTTCACTTACACTGATCATAGATAAGGTAAATTTTTCAAAAAAAAACATATTTCTCCGGTTGTTTTTATAAAGTTTTATATCCCAAATATAGTTCATTCAATATCTACAACTATTGTGTGATATCAACGTCAATTTTATTGTACTCACACATAAATACACAGATATGCCTACTCCGATATCCGGTTATAAAATGACCTCAAGAGAAAAAGGTTAGGAAGTTTATTTTGTGGGGTATCTAGAAATTAACTATTGAGGTTAATAAATCTATCTACTTAAAAATAAGATAAATATATGAGATATCACTACTCATCAAGGTGATAGATATACATATATATTCGCTGTTGTCATGGGAACGGCCTAGATAAAGTGGTCATTAAAGGAGCATTTCAGCTTAACATATTCCATAAACAGGAAATGCAAAAATTAAGAGCTAAAAAAGAAATAATAAAAATGTTACCTGTTGCACAAGAGGTGTCCTTAGGTGGCCTAAACGATAATGCTTTGGCGTTTGAAACGATGATTGTTGGGGATGCTGGATGGTAGGTAGAATGCAGTTACATCGATGGCGATCTACTTGAAGCACTTGGCTACCTCAGTTACCATTTTGCATAACATACACCATGTTATTCTAGTCAATCAGTTATATTCCTGAGTCCAAAAGTGTACTCATGCATATTTTTAATTTGCTTTCATACTCCAGATGTGTATTTCTCGGAGATGAACGAAAAATATCACTGCGTTGCATGATGCACTATTGATCACTGTTCTACTGGAAGATCCAGGATGAAGAGAACACTGATAATTCTGTGCACTGTGTAAACATTTTGTCCAGAATAAATAATAGTAATGTCAGTTAGAGAATTGTTGGAAATCATGGAGTACTTAATGGACAGCTGTTTCGTCCCAGTTTGGAACTCATCATCAGTATCCATCCACTGGTAGAAGTTAAAATTCATGGGCTGGCTACTGAATTGGATTCCAGTGGGTGAATGGTCTTTCAGCTTGTCCCGTAACCGGAAGGCCATGGGTTCAAACCCTGGAGGTGTTGGTGGGTGTGTACAGTTGAAGAGTCCCAAACTAGGCTGGCGAAACAGCTGTCCGGTAGTCCTTGCTGGTTTTCAGTCATTCTCTAACTCATATCAAGCTGTAGTCAAACTTGAAACAGATCAGATCCCTAGCAAACTAACTCTAGAAAACTTTATAATAATAATAATGACTTGTCTCATTCCAAAAGAGTACACAAGATGCAGCATAGAATTCTCAACATTTGGTACAACATTACATATAATTTACTCAACGAAAACAACAACAACAAACATTACAGGGTATAAGTAACCAAAAATGATACTGGCAACATTTTGGCATTAGCGGTAACAATAATAAGATGTTCACAATATAGCGCAACCGCTAGCCAATGTCTTCGGCGAGTATTTGTCCTCACACCCTACCTGCTGCACTCTACTGGTCACGACTTCCCACTAGAACCCTAGGTAACTAACTACCTACCTGAATAGGGCCAGTCGCCAGTGAGCAACTCATTGATATTCAAGTATTGGTTACAGGATTTCATCGTGAGTTGACACTGGTTAGAGAACCATTGGAAAACCACCTGGGAGTAATGCCAGACAACTGTTTCGTCCTAGTTTGGGACTCTTCATCAGTATGCACCCACCGGGGTTCGAACTCAGGACCTTCTGGTTATTTAAGCGAGCCAGCTCGTAGACCATTAAGCCACTGGGACCCGATCCAATGGCCCATGAATTCTAATAATAAGATGTTATTGTTACTAATATCTAGATGATAAGTCCCAAAGAGGACGAAACTCTCACGCTGGATTCTAGTACTAATTACCACAGACCGAAATAAATTCACTTGTGTTCTTAGAAATCATCGAAGCTTGTTTAGTAGTAGTATTGCGTGTGCTACCGTCACATAAAGAGATGTTGATTGGCATAGAACAACAAATATCTGGGAGATAGACTTGACTTCAGAGAAAGCAAATGATACAGCGTTGGGGAGATTCATGGGAGATGTGAAAAGAACACAAAGAAACAGACACAATATGAAAGAAGGCCGGAAGTAGAATAACACTGATCATCCGTACAAATGGTGCGTTGAAGATTATTTTTTTTTCCTTCACGTTCCCAGTGGAACATAGGGCTTCAAGCTAGTGGCTTGAAGTTTCTGTAGCAGTGCTTATTTTACAGGATGGAGTTGCTGGTCTCATGCCCAACCTTTCCTCTTTACCAGCATTATTTCTGGCTTAGCGAGGTAAAGGACTGCGTTGGCCGGGGATCAAACCCCGGGCCATGTGCATGGTCGGCGAGCGTCCTAACCACTATGCCACCGACGTACACTGAAGATTATAGTATTATTATTTTCTTCCCCTACGTTCCCAGTGGAACATAGGGCTTTAAGCTAGGGGCTTGAATTTTCGGTAGCAATGGTATTTACTTTAACGTGATGGGATTGATAGCCTCATGCGCAAACTTCCCGATTTACCAGTCTTATTACTGGCTTCGCAAGGTTGGCGAGCATTCTACCACTGTGCCACCGACGCACGAAGTCTTTCTTCTTCTAGCGTTACATTAGGAGCAGACTATATCAACAGAAGCTGGAAATTTCTGTTTTGCATTGTGTGCATACAAAATAATTTCGTATTGTTTTATCTTTTCTTTTTCTTCTTTTAAAACAGGTTTACATCATGTTGAGGTTACTTATGACGGTGCACCAGTGCCTGGTAGTCCTTTCCCTGTTAACGTGGCACCTGGTTGTGATCCAACCAGAGTTAGAGCATATGGACCTGGTTTAGAAGGTGGATTTACGCATGAAATGCAAAGATTCACAGTTGATCTTGATGGAGCTGGTCAAGGTGCACTTGGATTGGCTTTAGAAGGTCCAGCTGATGCACAAATACAGTGTCAAGATAATAAAGATGGAACATGCACAGTGGACTATTTACCAACACGTGCAGGAAACTATGATGTTTTTGTTAAGTTTAATGATGTTAATATTCCAGGTGAGTGAGAATTTAGGTTCTGGAAATATTCACTGATTGGATTTTTGCATAACTTAAAGTTAGAAAAATTTGGGGGAGAATTTTCTTATGAATCCAGCTATCGATTAAAGGACATGTTTACTGTACAGCACAGTTTGCCCTGTCCTCCTTTATGTCTCTATTATTACTGATTATCATTTTACTCCTTTCTGACCCCTGTGGAACATACGGCTTCAGGTTTGAGGTTTAAATTTTCAGTTTCAGTGGTGCTTTTTTACTACCTGGTGGGGTGGCTAGCCTCATGCCCAACCTTCCTTCTTTGTCGGGATCATAACCGACTAAAGGAGGTAAAGGTGTACACCGGTAGGGAATCCACCCCGAACGCACCCTTTATGCCTGTGAGATATGGCAATTGAAAGAGGAAAGTAAGAAAAGGTTATCTATCTTTTATTATAGATATTCACCTTTTGTTTTCTGTGTTAAGTGGCATAGTATGGCGTGGAGTATATTGAGGTTAGGTGTGGAGTGCGAAGTATGGAAAGATGAGTAGGATACGTGCCATGGATGCTGAGTCACCACCTTCCTCAACGATCAATGTTAGGTGGTCAAAACAAAACTTGGCATTCATCTATAAAGTCTTTGACGGCTGGTTTGAGCCACGCTCATGCAGGTGTAGGCTACGTGTCTGGGGTCCAAAGGATACTGAAGTCCAATGGGTGGAAACTATTGGTAATGTGGCTGAAAATCATTCTGAATGGCATAGATGCATTCACTCTTTGGGATCTTCTATATCCAATAAGTTCTCATGTTTTCTCTATATTCGTATTCTTTCTTCTGTAAACTTCTGGTCATTGAAGTTCTTCTCTTTCCTTTCTTTAGTCTGTCTTTGTGTGGTACACGGAGTGTGGTAACTTGAAATGGTTCACTCCTGTACACTGTTCAGTGTGTTAAAACGCAGTCTCAGTTGAATTAAGCTGTTTCATCTTTGAGCAGACTAGAGACGTCAAACTATAGTGAGCTAAACAGTAATTTACTCTACTCATAAATGCGATACATCAGTTTAAAGACTTTGCATGACACTGAAAAATTCCTCATCCTTTAGGTCTAGAAAATATGCCGAAGATGTGACTCATAAGCTTAAGCACTTACCTTTCAGTATGAATGGGTTCCAGCTTTCCGAACTCTCTCCATCTACTTCAACCTGAACAACTACATAGTACCACCATCTGTCACAGGACAGGTGCGTCCCATAGTCTAGTGATGTGAACTTTATTTCTAATTGACTAACTAACTAGCTAACTAACATTTCTCGAGGACACGAAACTTTTAAGCAAATTAAGGGCAAGTGATCAAACACCAAGTTATTAGTGGATGGAATGAATTCACTCTCTGAATAGATCAGTGGCCAGTTAAAACTATTCCGGCTGATCAAACCACTAGCCATTTGGTGACAGCTAGCAGTAGTATCCAAGACGTGCATTTCGTCTTCTTTAGGACTCGTCAGCCAGATAGATATACCTGAATCCCTATTGAATGATAGTCTTCCCAGTGATAAAACATTTGGTCACATAAAAAGGAAAGTGTATATTTTAAGTTCGAGGTGGTCAGGAGTGGTAGCAGTTATTACAATCATGGAGAATTTGCAAAGCTCATTTCAGGTAGAAGACAGCATTTAAGACGTTGTTTAGAAAGACAGTGAAAGCTTTGTAATTAAACCATCTAGTTCAGAGAACCAAACTACACCAGCATTATTATCATTTGTTTCTTTTCACCAAATCTCAGCTTGTTATTTCTTTGTTTATTTTATCAATGCGGGTGTTATTCGCATCTTGTCTAGTGAAGGCCACCATGAAGGTTACTTTTTATAGTAGAATCAATTTATTGAAGAAATCAAACAACAACAAAAATCTAGTAAACGGATGCTTCTTTCTCACCATGACAACCCAGAAGATCTTTATCTGGTTAGCAGGCTTTAAAAGGGCCTAACATATTTGCCTTAAATATAGGACTAGTTGAATCAAGTTGATACAAAGAGGAAAGAAAGTAGATTTTCAAAATAAATTTCCCTACCTTCCTGATGGGTCATTGGGCTTTAAGGACTGTAGTTTCAGTAACTATGTGCTGCTATCTTTTCCTACAGGATGGGGTTTCTAGCTTTATGGCTAACCATCCCTGTTTTCTGGGTTTACTTATTGACCAGTAACCTAGGCAGGGTTTGGGGAAAGTGTTAGCCTGTAGCCAAGCCCAGATCTCCCGGATGCCTAGCTGGAGTTGTGCAATTGAATCACCTAAGCACCTTCAAGATACCTACTCCATTGTTAATAATACGACGGTCTGGTAGTATTCTAGTTTTAAAAATATTCACTTGGTGGCCTCATCTCTCTGTCCTTATCTCTTTCATCAAATGGTTAAAAATTTGTCTCACTGTCAGTGACTGACTGGATTTACAGTTCACTTATATTAGATGATTGGAAGCAATCGATAGGAAGCTACGGTTCCGGGATTATTGACTGCAGTTTCTGAGGAATTGATGTCCAAAGTAGTTCAGTAATTCGAGGATTGAACTACTCAGGATCAACTCACGGAGGAGGATTTCATCTTCTTCTTCTTCCTCATTTTAGATACATCCTACTCATGGCTGCCGATAAACTCGAAACGCAATAGCAAGTCTTCATATCGATTGCTATTAACCATCTATTTAGAATTCAAAGTATGCAGTGTGATACCAAGTGTTCAAGCTTAGTGATCACATTAAAAGCTTAACGGACAGAATTCAGTTAGTATTAATGTTAAGGATTAGATTCTCATGATACCTCAATGACCAGTCACTTAAAACGATTCAATCGCACCTTGAAAAATATCACGTGGTTGATTGCACATCTAAGACTCGTATGCATTATTCGCTCTTATCTTGATGTAATCCTTCAAATATAATTAATAAAACAGAACATGGTACCACAAAACGTCATATTTCAGAAAGAAAACAAAAGTCAAGATAACATTTAGTAAAATCACTTTTTTCCAGTGATTTCATCATTCACTATTATTATATTATTATTGTTCCCTTGGTTTCCGAGTGGAACATACGGCTTCAGCAACACATCTCCACTTCGTTCTATTTTCTTCCATCCTTGTCAGCTGGGTTCACGATTAACCATAATCTCTCAACTCCTCCATGCCACCCTCGCACCGACGACCCACTCGTCGCTGCTTTTTCGGATTCCACTCGAGCGATGGCTTGCATTGCACACTATGTCATTCGACGGCCTCCTCAGTTGTGTATGCTCGATCCATCTTCATTTTCTCCTATATATTTGTTTGTTCCCAGTCAGAATTTCTTGTTACCAATTCTTTCTGGCCATTTGATCTTGAGTATGGAGCCAGCCAGCGAAGGTGACAGCTGTTGATAAAAGTCTTCAGTGGCTTCTTGGAAATGATTTTTATGACGCGCTGGCCAAGCTTCTGACCCGTATAGAAGGACCGATTTGATATTGGTATTGAAAATGCGAATCTTGTTCCTTATGTAGCTGAGTGTAGAAGAATTCGAAACTGGTTTCAGTGCGATGAAGGTGTATCTTGCTTTTCTAACTCTGGCTGGCTAGTGTTGACATCTTCATTCATTCCGACTGCCTGTGGTTGAAACGAAGCTTCCTGGCTGGATAAGTAAAGGAGGTAACCTCTGTTAAATCTCTCCCATTGTTGGTGATTAGTGCTGGTTGTTGCTGTTGTTGTTGCTTTTCGTTGGTTTTCTTCATCACCCCCGTCTTCTCTGTGTCCACCTGAGGTCCTATCTTCGATGCAGTGCTTCTTCAACCAGTTGGTCGGTTTTCGCCTACAAGTCTTCGAGTTTGTGTGACATTAGGCATATATCATCTGTAAAATCCAGATCTTATAGAGTCTTCTTATCGGTGGCCCAGCGTATTCCTGTCTTCTCACTTCCAGCGTGCCGCCTGATGCATAACCCAGTCCACCACAATTAGTAATATTATCGGTGATAATAGTCGGACAGCCTTGTTTTACTCGTGTATTCACTTAGAACGCATCGCTGAGTTTTCCGCTGTGGATCACCTGACACGTAGCATTCAGATACACCGTGGTTTTGAATTAGTTACCGAATTACGTCTCAGTCAACGCTGTCTATCGAAGGCCTTTTCGAAGTCAATGAAGCGAGGTTTGACTGCCATTCTATGATATGTTCTGTGACGAAGATGCGTAGAGTTGCAATTTGGTCAGAACATGATTTGCTTTTTCTGTACCTAGCTTGTCCTGTGTTGTTGGCGGAGTTCTGTATCCAGTGCATCCTTGATTCTCTCCAGAATGAGGCAACTTAGTATTTCACGTGGCATATAGTGTATATTTTTGTTCTATACCCTACTGCATACTTACAAGCAACCGTTTTATTTGAACATGGACAGAAAGTGATGAAATTAAGTGATAATAGTAATAACCATTACATCAGTAATAATAATTTTTCAGTGTGTTATGACATAATCACAGGTGCAATGGTAGGAAATATGGAACATTAAGATTATGTATGTTTAGAAATAAGTTTGTGTAATTTATTGAAATTACCATTTTTCAAATGACAATTAATGCCTTTTGCACACAAGGTGAACCGTATGTTTCAGTAGTCTGATTAAGATCAGCACTTTGGTGCTTAAAATGATAGATACCACATTTAAGTCTCAGGAAGAAGAAAAAACAGTCAATTATTAGCGATGCAGCATCAATCAGATGATGAGTCTCAAATAGGGCGAAGCGTTTATCTCAAATTCAGCTCCTAGCCAACATTTACCAAATTATTATTATCATTATTATTATTGCTTCCTTTAATTCCTAGAGGAACATAGGGCTTCAGACGTGCGTCCCCATTGCGTTCGGTTCTCTGCTAGATTCTTCACCTGGCCCCAAGTCTGCCCACACGTTTTCATCTTCTCTTCACATGACCTCCTCCAAGTCACCCTTGCACTGACGACCAACTCGCCGCTTCCCTTTCGGGTTTCAATCGAACGATGGCTTGTATAGTGATGTCACTTGATGGTTTCCTCAGAGTATGGCCAATCCACCTGCATTTATTCCTGCAGATTTGTTTCACAATCGGTTCCTGGTTGGTTTGCTCCCACAGATCTCTTTTGCTGATCTTTTCTGACCGGCCATCTGATCTTGAGTATTGAGCAAAAACAACTGTTAATGAGGGTCTGTAGTTTGTTTGAGATGCTGTTTATGACGCGCAGTGCAAGTCTCTGATCCGTATAGTAGCACTGACTTCACATTGGAGTTGAAAATCTGGATCTTATTTTTGATGCTGAGTGCTGTTGACCTCCACACAGGCTTGAGAGTAGTGAGAGCTTGTCTTGCTTTTCCGATTCTTGTGTGTGTTTAATATGTGAAAACGGGGAAAATCTAAAGAAAGTAGTCTCTTTTACTTACCTCACCTAAGTAGCATCATTTTCATCTAAAAGTGGTACGGATAAGGACGTTGAAGCTAGCTAGGATCAAGAAAGCAAGACAGACATTCATTGTTCTGAAATCAAAGTGGAAATCTGCTGAGCTAAGCGTGAGGAACAAGATTCGAATGTTCAACACTGATATGTCAATTTAGTTCTTATACATAGTTCAGAGATTTAGCGCGTCACCAAAAGACTTTCCAAGAAACTGCAGACTTCGATCAACATCTGCCTTGAATATCAGATGGTGGGATAGGATTAACAACAGGGAATTGTGGCAAGTAACCTACCAAGAGCCCTGTTGCCCAAAGAATGTGCAGGTGGAGATAGACCTAATATACACCGAGAATATTGCTGAATAACACCGTGCCCAAAGCTCTCGAGTGGAACCCAGATAGGAAAAGACGAGCTGGATGTCAGTCCAGGTATGAAATGGTGGAAATCGTGTGAGGAAAACAATGAGGTCTGATGGGTAACTGTAGAACCAGACAAAATGGACTGCAGAGAGCAGAGTAAAATTGAGATGTACTTCTGAAGACGAATGTTCCACTTGGAACCCAAAGGAGTAATAATTTCTTTTATACCACTTATTTTCTGAAGTTATTCGATGGATGGTGACCAGCAGTGGAATCCAGGATGCTCATTTCGTCCTATTTGGAGCTCGTCAACTAGATTTACCTGCATTCTCCAGTGAATGATAGTGTTCTCAATGGTACTCGAACCCAGTACACATCATTTCAAACATCAAAGAGTTATCCATCAGATCACTAGGTTTATTTTTCTGTTTAATGACTGCTAGCATTATGAGCGGAACATGGAGCTTCAATCTATAAAAATTAGCGACATTCAGAAACGCTTGAACTGGGAATCGTGGACCGTACCACGTGCATAACTGACGAATTTATACCTCTAATTTTACCTAATTTTTACTTATAATCCTAAAATAACTCTATTTTACACGTATTACGGGCTCATATCACCTTGTTATTTCTGACTGGCATTAGTTACCAACTGTTTAAACTTACCAATGAATTTAGAGTTCGTCAGCTTAACTCGAAGACTATGCATATATTCACAATCATCGTAAACTGTGTTGACTGTTGTTTGAGTGATTAAAAGCTCTCTTGTCATCAACGAACTGTCTTATCTTCTTTTTATGTTGGCAGTGGTACTTTTATGTTGTCACTGCTGTGGTAATGGTGTTGGGAATCGACATTTTGATTAAGGATTATAGCAGTTTTACGTTAGTGGATTAGGTTCGCATCGCTAATAGGTCGTACTAGGTCGTATTACGGGTTATGTGAATGCATATGTGTTTGGCGCCTTCAAATCTATGCTTAAATCAGATAGTCCACTGAAATATACTACTTATACATCACTTTCTTTAATGCTTGGATTGATTTTCTCGTATACTTATTACTTTTTCAATAACAGGTAGTCCATTCCAAGTACCTATTCGTGATGTTGTTGATCCAACTCGTGTACGATGTTATGGTCCAGGCTTGGAGCCAAGAGGTGCACGAGCCCAACAACCAGCACACTTTACTGTAGATGCTTCACAAGCTGGAGAAGCACCAATACAAGTAAGTCGTGATTACAAATATACTATTCCTGATAACACGTTTGTGACATGCTGTCATTAAAAAAGTCAGGATCGATTTTCAGGCAACTCAAGTGTTTAAACCTCATTGACCTTGTAGCGCTAATGAAGTATGTGAACAGTACAATAGGTGATTTTAGAAAGTCAACTGAACCGGAGAAGTTGAAAAGTGTAGTTAACTGTGACAAGACTGAGAACACAACCCTAATGTATGAATTGTTTAGTTGAGGAAGAGTCTAAGTTACATACAGAGAAATTTTCTTTGGAGTAACAGAATTCATTTTATAAAACACGAAATAATTGAGCCAAGAATATCCTTTTCGATAAATTCCTCCCCCTCTGGCTCTACAATTATATATACAACTTTATATACATAGAATATTCTAGATTAGTAGTCAATAACAATATTAATGTTTTTTTAAATAATATCGATTTGTAAAGTAAGATCAACGGAATTACAGTTCATTAAACATGCCTAAATTTAAAATAATAATAATAATAAAGATATAATAGCAAATAGAATATCAACTAAAATTAGGGAAATTTCTACAAAAATTAAGGATCATTCAAACCTAGATGGCCAAGGTAAGGACAATATCTGAACTAGCTTCATTTGGACAGCCAGCCTCAGCAATATTTAGTAAATGAACTCTTAAGGCGAAGTTAAGATTTGTTGGTATGCGGTGAATGACTCTGAAAGCCACCTCGTTGACATCAATCTTGTTTTCTGCTTGTACCCACAAGATCAGATAGAATAGCGCTACTTAACCACGCAGGGTGATCTTCGGAAGTCCGACGAGAAACACGCCTTATTGTACGGCCTATGCAACTAACTGGCTCCATAGGAGCAGTTAAATTGGTAGATATACATGAAGAGGCTAAATAAGGCAGTTTATCTTTTACTCTCGAACGCAAAATAGGGGTGGCTTTGAAGACACAGCGTAATTCAGCAGCAGGGAATGCTCTTTTTACCACATTCATAAGGCATTATGTCAGTATCTCGCTGCTGCTGTCCCAAGGAACTGGATTTGTAAGAATAAAGCCTTTTTTAAGAACTGCTGATACCTTGGACTGCTCGGAATTTAGATTCATATTCTTATCAATAAACTTTTCTGAATAACCGTTTTCACTCAGCAATCACTAAATATTGTTAAGTTCCTCATGAAGACATTCATCCGAGCAGATTGTTCTTGCTCTGTAAACCAAACAATTTATTAGATTGCGTTTGTATTTCAAAGGCACGAACCTGAAAAATGAGTATACTGACCCGTTGATGTAGGCTTTCTATATACACTTCTTCTTATTGTGCCATCCTCTTTTCTGGTCATAAGGATGTCTAGAAATGAAACACTGGAGTCTTTTTCTTTCTCAATAGTAAAATTTATTGCAGGATGAACCTCGTTAAATTTCTCCATGCAGGATGTTCTTCGCTTCCTTCTCATTTTTCATAATCAAAAATGTATCATCCATGTACGGACAATAGAATTCAAGTTCATCAATAACATCTTTCAGAGGTCTGGTTTCTCAAGTAAAATGTTAGCTAGAATGGGTCTTAGTGATGACCCCATCGCCACACCTGATTTAATTGCGAAGCTTTTGTTGTCCTTCTAAACAATATTTTCAGCTCCAACTTCAGTTTGAAATCAGTTTTGGGGATTCTTCATTCAATGAAATATTTGACTTTCTTGGTGATCTTGACCGTGACTGATTGCTCGCTTAGATTTCTTTATGATGATAGAATCCATACCTGCATTCTTGAATACGATCATAAGGAAATCTATGAGAGCAACCAGTCACAATATTTTACCCATGAAGAATTCGCAAAACTTACTTCACATTGAATTTATTGCATGGAGGATTTCATCATGAGCTGACATCAGTTAGAGAACCACTGGAAAACCTGGGAGTACTGGACAAATGTTTCGTCCTAGTTTATGACTCTTCACAGTACTTACCCACTGGGATTCGAACTCACGACCTTCTGGTTACAAGGCGAGCTCGTAGACCACTGAGCCACTAGGACCCTATCCAATAGCCAGTCCATGAATTCTAACTTCTGCCAATTCATGACATAGTGCAACCAGTTAGCAGTGTCTCCGATGAGTAAATGTCCTCACCTTCAACCTGCTGCACCCTACTGGTCACGGCTTCTCACTAGAACACCAGGTCAATGCCTGAATAGAGCTAGTCCATAGTGGGCATCAGATGAATTTCCAAGTACTGGTTATGTAGGGATTTTGTTTTGATTGGTTGGAGGATTTCATCATGAGCTGACATCAGTTAAAGAACCATTGGTGAGGCAGTAACTCCAGAAGGTCCTGGGTTCGAACCTCCAGTGGTGGGTGCGTGCTGCTGAAGAGTCTTGAGCTAGGACGGGGGAAACAGCTGTCTAGCAGTACTCCCTGTAGTTTTCCCAGTAGTTCTCTAACTGTTGTCAGCTCACGATGAAATCCTTCAATCAATGTAATATAATAGATAGAAAACAAACTGTAGAAAGTCTTAGAAACAATCGTTACTCTTGCATTTCAACCCCTTATCACTCCCTGTTGAAGCCAATACCAGAACAAACATTTTGGCTTCATGTAGTGTCTCTATCTATAAAATACTTTGGTGTTTTACCCATGTTGAATGGTTCATCTAAATACTTTCATTCGACATTTAAAAATCCTTCTTTTCACTAGATATTCAAAATTTAATTGTTTAAAACGCCCACAAAAATATTCATCCATGATGAAATATTCAGCATGTTTAACAAAATCAAAGTGTGTTACATAACCATTGTGTTCCTTTGGGTTTATTGTTTTTTCTAAACTAAAAAAGTAGGTGAATGGTGTGTTCACATTCCTTTCAAAGGAAACTAACACCACACTAATATGGTTTTAGGTGTAATCGATAAATACAAGAACGCATCCCATTATGTGTATATTATAAATGTGTAGGCGGTAGGCAATGTACAAGCTGTCTGTACTATACAATATTGAAAGGATGAAGGCCACATTAAGACAACTATTCACAGCAACATAATTTCTCTTCTACTGTTGTAACAGCTAAAGGCAAGACACGGAAGCAAAGGTATATTTTTCATTAATCAAACCGCTGTTAATATATCTACAGTTTATATTCGTTAGCCAATCACTGAGCATGTGATTTCGGTTTACATGAAACGACAAGAAATAGAATTTTCAAATATACGTGGTATTCTGTTGCCAGTGTTGTATTGAACTGTGGGAACATGTGAGAATAATATTCCGTTGGCACACATTGTCTGTATCCCACCACCAAACTCGTCCCCCCGTCAAAAACTTTCAACTGAAGTCGGTTAGATCTTCTTGGTGCTGGCGGCTATGTTCGCTTGTCTTGCTGTATCGAGTTCCGGAGCTCGCTGACGTTCACCCGCTTCTCTTTGTTTGCATTTCTCATCGTATATACATGAGGCCGTCTCACGGTAACCATGTATGGTCCTTCCCACTTTGGGAGCAGTTTGCATGACCCCGGCTTGTGTTCGCCGGTGTTTCACCTCACACTATCATATGCTGTCGTCGTCCGACCTCCTAGCAGCGTTCCAAATAACAGCCTCATCGCTGCAGGCATCTTGAACGCCACTCAACTGCGTAATAGCCTCGAAGTCCTGCCCAAAGATCTATATGTTTCCAAGAAAATCTGTAGGGTATAGGCTTTCCATTTGCCGGCAGACAGCGACACCAAATGTAGCAACAGAAGGCAAGACACAGAAGCAAAGGTATATTTTTCATTAATCAACCCGCTGTTAATATATCTACAGTTTATATTCGTTAACCAATCACTGAGTGTGTGATTTCGGTCTAAATTCCGGTTATAAGGCAAGCTCGTATACCATTCAGCCATTGGGACCCGATTCAATGGCTCATGAATTCTAACTTCTACCAATTCTTGTTCAAATATACATGGTATTCTGCTGTTAATGCCGAATTGAACTGTGGCAGCATGTAAGAATAACATTCCGTTGGCACACACTGTCTGTATCACACCACTACAGTGTTAATGACACATTTATTTTTCAAAATTATGTGAATTTACTTTTCTGGGCATTTATCACACCTACTTTAATAAGTAGTAAGAAGGTAGCAATTGATGATGTATGCGAAAGTTGAATAATGCTAATGTTAATTAACTATAGTTAGAAGGAAGTTACTTGATTCATTGGGTACTGGTAGTGGAAACTAGTATAACGCTGGAACATGGTAGTATATACTAGAAGAATCGTCTATTGGTAAATGATATATAATACAGTTAGGGTAAAGGGCAGAAAGCTTACATTCAATTCTCCACTTGTACATATTCTTCCTATTGTGTTTCTGTTATCTTCCTCTCACATGCTTTCTATATTATTGTTTCACAAGGACCATTTATTTCTCCCCGTTGCCATTAAATCCATCACCACAGTATTCAGTAATCTTACGAGAGGCACAGCATACAATATTATTATTACTATTATTTCCTTTAGTTCCTAGAGGAAAATAGAGCTTCAGCTACACGTCTCCATTGCGTTCCCTTCTCTGACAACGTTTTCACCTGGCTCCACGTCTGCCAACATGCTTTCACCTCCTCTTCGCATGACCTCCTCCTCTATGTCATCCTCGCACTGACGACCAACTCGCCACTTCCCATTCGGCTTCCACTAGAGCGATTGCCTGGCCTGTGATGTCACTCACTTGATGGTTTGTTTTCTCAGAGTATGACCAATCCACCTCCACTTCTTACAAATTCTTGTCAGTAGCACACACCAGACTTAGAGAAATGTGTTTCGTCCCTTTTGTGGCTCTTCAGTCAAGTGTATCTATATCCTAGTGAGTGATGGTGCTTTATACCAATCATTTCAAATGCGGAGGTCTCCCCCCCTTAATAAACGACAACAGACCTGCTCCTAAGTGGAATCTGAATGGGTAGTAACGAGTTGAGCAAGAGTCCCAGAATGAAATGGAAGAGATTGTATGAGGAGGAGGAAATGAAAGCGTATGGGCGAACGTAAAGCCAGATGAAACGTATCGCAGAGAAGCTCTATGTCCCACTAGGAACTGAAAAGATGATGAAAAGAAAAACATTGGTAAAATATTGCTAGGCAACAATGCTGATCACGGATTGATACCAGTTAGAGAACCACTGGAAATCAAGGAGCACTAGACGTCTGTTTCGTCCTAGTCCGGGATTCTTCAGCAGCAAGCATCTGCCTCCAGGATTCGAACCTGTGGCCTTCTGGTTACAAAGAAAGCTTGTAGACCGTTCAACCACTGGCTCATGAGCTCCAACTACTTCAAGCTGTCGAGTACTCCCCAGTTTTAAATGGTTCTCTAGCTGATATCAATCAGAGATCAAACTTCAAATAAATAAAATCCCTAAGTTTGATTGAACACTAGTCAGTAACTAGTGTAGTGTTTGTGTGTCGAGTCCTATCTTTGGTGCAGACTGAATTCTCACATCAGTCAAGTTTGCAATGTGGCCACCATGCTAGGGGGCTAGCCATCGCTGTGCACTGTGAATTGTTGGCATTAGATGGTTGGAGGCAATCGACAGGAAGCCTTACTTGACCTAGGTTTCGTGCTAGTTGGTACTCGTCAGCGAGGGACATGAATTCCTTCAAGGTGGTTGCAGATACACCTTGCTGACTTGTGAGTGCCAACTAGCACGAAATCTAGGTCAAGCAAGGCTTTCTGCTGGCTGCCTCCAACCTTGTAAATGAAATCCCTACAAATGAATTCTTGAATATTAGGTAATAGCTATCGTCTGGAATTCATTTAGGGCTACATAAGTGTCAAACAAAGAAATATGGCAATGTAACCAGCTCTCTTGAAGAATGTTTGTATATTTCTACCGTACAAAAGAGATCAAAATAGTCTGATCGTTAAACAAAGACCCACACAAACGCTCAAATATTACTTTCTGTACACCTGAACTCATTTTCATAAAGAAAACTAAATTCATGCTGTCCTGTAAACACTGACAGCATCCTAACAGGAATGTCATATCTCACTGTGCGGTCATACATAGACAGGAAGGACTCATTGGTCTTTGCGGGTCAGTGTTGGAGAACACATTCCTAAAAGGGTGTGAGAAGAGATAAAATCGTCAGATTCGAATAACTCAAACGTCATTTATTGCAAAACTGATCTTAATAGTGCCTTCAAATCCATTTTAAAAAACAGGTTTGAGTCATATACGTGAATTCTTCAAAGCCATAGTCATAAAAAGGCTTAAACCTGTTTTTTATGTGTTCCAGAAATTATTTGTTATTACTTTGATTTTGCCTTGATAATCAAATTTTAAAACCAAGGTTTATTTCACTTAATAATATTTTTCTTGTACATCTTATCAACATAGGTTGCAACAGTTGATCGTCTGGGAAGATCAAATCCAGCTCATATTGTTCCACGACCAACTCAACCAGGTGTTTATGATGTAACCTATGTACCGGATACAGATGGTCCATGTCAAATTGAAGTGAAACAAGGCGGTAATCATGTAGCACGTTCACCATTTATGCAGCATGTTCTACCAGCTTTTGAACCTCAACGAGTTCGTGTCACTGGCGAAGGTGTTCATCCAACACGACCATTAGGTCTGCCAGCTACTCAGCCTACCTCTTTCCAAGTAGATACAAGAGATGCAGGACTTGGAGATTTAGAATTATCAGTAATGGTATGTTTTCATAAACGGTTTATTTTCCGAAGTGTGTAGTTTTGCTTAGTGAATTTTTAATTTCTTTTTTGATTTTACACTGAGTTTTGACCACTCAAAGATTTATAGTTGCTTGTGCTCAAACAAATTTTGAACTCAGTTGGGTAAATGCCAAGGAATTACTGTTCGTTCCATGTGGGCCTCAGTGGCACTTCTGGACTGATTCGGTCCTGTGTTATCCCTCTTAACTGTCTTCAAGATTACGCATAAGCCTTCATTTTCTTCAAATATGATTTACTTCATGTCATCCTTCGACGTCCAGCTCGTCGCTTCCCATTCAGGTTCCAATCGAGGGACTGTCGGGCTTGTGATGTAACTTGAATGTATCTCCAATCCATCTTCATTTTCTTCTACACATTTGTCAGGAAACAGACTATTGGCTAGTCCAGTGGATTGTTAGATTTACTTGTTCTGCTTGTCCCTCCGATCTTCTGTATGGAGTGAAGGCAGCTAGCTAGCTGTCGATACAAGTTTGCAATCTTTTGGATTTTTATAGATTAAAAAATCATTTCATTTCTTAGTGTTTGTTGAGCTTACTTTCAAAAATGATGTACTTTCAAGAAGAAACGCAAAAATCCTACTGTAAGTGATAAATAGTCATCGTTCCATGCGTAACTCTTTCCTCGTCACAGATGATGCGTTCCAAATAAGGTGTCGTTTAGTTTTTATACTTAGTTGTCCAACTCTATAACGTCTTCTGTAGTTGCCTCTAGTCCTATCTGATGATAAACAGAGCCAGAGTTGTGTACAACGCGGATGCTCGGTGTCTGACAAGATACCATTCGTGAATTTCTTGCTTGAGTCTATGTATTTACCTGAAACACCGTCGGTGGCACAGAGGTTAGGATGCTCCGGCGTTTGATTCCCGGCCGACGCTTGCTAAATTTGGGCTACCTATATCACACGCTGAAAATTTCATACCTGTACCAAAATACTGTATGGAATCAAGCTATAATAAAAAAAATAATAAATGAGTAAAACAAGTTGATTTAGCAGCTTCGCCCTCGTCATACTGACAGCTTTTAGTGTCGATCGAAATGTAACAGAGTCTTTCTTAGATAACTCAAGAAACATTAAAGGAGAGCAATAAAGAAGATTAGACAGAATATATGAACTAATAAGCCATAACATTAGAGATACCAGATTATCTTAACTTCCTTACACAGAAGGTTAGATGAAATATCCTAATAGAAATTAGCAAGATGTGGAAACACCAGGAAATACAATAATCCAGCGTATTTAAGAAATGACTTAGTTTTAAATTCACTGTAATCTATGGTACAAAAATCATACGAACGAACAAGTTCATGCAAATCACCTTTTTGTCTGTAGGTGAAATTATCAATCTGACATTTGGAGGGATTAAGCTTGAGACCATCGAATAAGGACCAACTAGAATTTAAACGAGTCATTCACCTGTAATGACGTAATTTAGCTCATACTTCATTAACGCCACCCATCAAATTGACAGCTAAATCATTTCACTATTGTTGCTCCTCATAATAAAATTACAACGCGTTGAAAATATTGTCTAGGAAGATAATAATACCTACACAATTAAACCATTTAATAATAATAATAACAATAATAATAATAATTTGCTTTATTCCAAAACAGTACTTGTGATACACAATGGAATTCTCAGCATTTCACTACAGTATTGCATCCAGTTAGTACATTATCAATAAATAGAATTCTACATAGTTTAGGGAAATCTCAGTTCATTATGACAACAACATATTGGCATGTCGGTAGCAAAGCCAAAGTTGAACAATGTTTGAAGGTGTTAGAAAAGTAGGTGCTATCATATTTATTGGCGTAAGCGGAAGAAAGAAACAAAGCAGCACATAACGGAAAAAAGAGAGAGAGAGAAAAGGAAAAGAAAGAAAATGTTATCCCTATAAATGATATGAGCTGGAAAGATGAGGTCCAGTTGTTCTACTGACTATTTAATGAATTATAGGTGTCATGCCTAATGCTTTCTTTATCGCACAGAACACGAGCTAAGTAGGGTATGGTTGAGTTTTTGTACTTGCTTGTGCGAGCATATAGTTTTCTATATTGGCTTCTGGTTTTGCCTGATGAGATGCAAGGGGAGAGTTGTGAGTGAAGAGGGTGGTGTGAGTTAGATAAAATGGATTTGGCCCATTTATCACATGAGTCCATGTGCCTGTTGACCAAAATATTAACAAGCTGGTTAAGTGGCATATTGCTTACCCTGCTGACAACCTTCAACATCCTGCATAATATGTTATAGTCTTTCTTCAGTAGCCCGGGAAAATCTAAGGGGGAACAATAGAGAATAACAGGCAGAATGCGAGGGTTAACGAATTGTAGGAGTAACGGTTGGGTTATACCAGAATGTTTTAACTTCTTGATTTAGAAGGTAAGACGGAATATTTTCTTAGAAATCGCTAAGATATGAGACGACCAGAAGAGATCAGGAGATAGAATGACGCCTAGGTTTGATTTCCGACTTGGTTTCTATTTCATTGCCGTCTATGTTGCACACCTCGTGAGAGCCAACCAGAGAGAATACAATAACGACAACAAAAAATGACCTACCTCATATAGTAGCAGATGAATAATCTTCCATTCACTAATTTTCTGATGCCTGATATCATCCCTTTCCATTCTTTTCTTTTCTCTTAATAACCCCCATGCTTACGTAATCATGCTACATATGCACAATGAACGGTAATCAATATATCTATATATAATTGTTGTGTATCTTCTATGTTGTTGATCATGTTGTGATCATTTCTGTTCCACTTGATTCCTTGTTTTATTTTTTTCCACTATGGAATTAATGATTGTCTTTTCTTTTTCAAGAATGAAATGGAGCCTGTTACAGCAGGTTTAAGTATACACAAAGCAGACGACAAGAATTACCCGTCATCGTAATATATATATATATATTAGTGCAGGGGACGGATGAATCACGCCTTCCTTTATTTAGTGAAATTTACTCCCAAGTTATTCTTTCATAAGGAAGGCGAAAACATCCAGTTTTTCTAATTCTTGCAGAATTAGTATTCTGTTTTCGTTTTCGAAGGGCCGGTTCCCTATTCACTAATAACAATGTAACAATGTTAACGTATACAGATTACTTACTACCTTATTCAGTAGTATAGTAGTGTCTTAATTTGTTTCTTTTCGTTCCCTTCCTAAAGTTTTACTGTTCACAGTTGATTTCAACTTTCTTCAGTAAAACAAATGTAAAAAGATGTTTGATGATTGTAAACTGGTTTTTATTTTGGAGGGGGGGAATATTGTCTCCGTAAATATTCACAAAAATTGTAGATATATGGAGTTGAAACCAGTTTTCGTGATTCCATCTTGACACTATCACTCGTGAATAAAAAAACCTCAGTAAAAATTTGCTCTCTTTGTTTCGTTTGGATTTTTAAGTCGTCAGCTGGCACACATCAGTAATAATGGTCTTAATCTGGAAATTACATCTTCACATAATATAGAATTGCCGGCGTAATGTCTTCCACCATATTGACTCCCTGTGCAGAATCTTTGGGTGAAAAATATTCATAAACAGATTGTATATCGTGTGACTCGCGATGTCATTCTATCTGGAATAAGACTTAATTCTCTACAACACTTTACCCTCATTTTCTGCTTGAAGTTTTGCGCAGCAGTAGGCTTGAAGCCAGTTAGCATTTTGAGTGAGTTCATGTTGCTATCCCAACACATCACTGGAAGATTATTACAGCATTATGCTGGCCAGATGGAAATTTAGGTATTTCAGTGATTTAGGCAGGCCACTATCAACACTCGTACGATAGAATGAAAGTCCAACAACACTAGAATACCGTATCATTATCTACCTATCAAACTAAATCAAATATTCCCTTAATTTTTAGACTACACATGACTGTGAAGAATAAATTTTCGCCGAAATATTCATACTACTTAAATCGCGAACTATGTGTAAATGATATTTTTTCGCGTCCTACACTTAAATTAAATATTGATCCAAACGAGTGGGCATGTAAATATTGACCTTATATCAAGTAGCCAATCAGAGTGAAGCAGGCTGATTCAAATAATAATAATAATACACTATATTCATGAATCTATTAACAGCTAAGACTAAACAAGCATGTTTCCCACCTACAATGCTCGACTGTGAATGATGATAAACAAAAATTACAACACCTGTTGGATAACTGGCGGCCACATATTCTAAAGAAGTGAAGAGTTATACACGCGAAGAAGTGTTCAATTTTTTCAGGTTATTTTACTCGTGGTTTACCTAAACCACCTGTGAGTAAAGAATATAATCAGCTAGTTTGCCCTGTGGTATTATCATGATAACATTAATAAAACAGTATTCAGCGAAGAGACTCTTTACAAAGAATTTATTACTACGCAATTCGTGAATCATACTATTTAACTGTTGTTGATCATGGATAGGTATTCGTCAGGGAGACATCTTCAAGAGTATGTGATCTTCAATGTTGATCGCAGGTTATACAATCCTAGTTTGCCTGTGCTGGTTTGATCCTTTCCATCCAGGTGTGGATTTGTCTTTATCTTATTGGCTGCTATTTGTGATAATGTAGGGTACTGTCTGCGTTTATTAGATTGTCTAACCACAACTTTGTGCACACCCCGATTTTAATGTGATCTCAACAGAATTACACTCTTTAGATTCATGGTCATATCTTGGGAATCCGTTAAACGACTATGGTACATCAAATTCACAATGAACGGCTTGTTTTCAAGGTGCCAAAAACGTTGGCGTAAGAGGTTTTTCTTCTCTCGTGATAGACCAATACCAAGGTAACGTCTGAAAGTAGACTCTTACCTAGTTTGGTTAGTGTGAACTCTTTATTCTTTTAAAAGTTAGGCTGTTCCCCCCAGCTTCAGTCGTCTGTATCCCCTGAGGAAATTTCAATAAACATTAGTGATAGCGTTAGTTGATATAAAAAGAAACATTTGTGATAATAATCATAATAATTAAATACTGAGAGATAACAAAATAGGTTGTGTAATATGTAAAGTGCCTAATAGAATGTTCACACATCATAGAAATTGGTGTCATGTATATAAGTTTACCGTATAGTAAAAAGATTACATGACAGTGTGAGACAAGTTGGGAAAATGAGTGTTGTTTAACGCAAAACTATACATTTCAAGTGATTAAAATAGGTCGAATAAAATACCACTGAGAATTATTCAACGTGAAGATGATTATAAGATGCATTCCACTTGGATATAATAGCAGTATTTCAGCATCATTGAATGGAAAGCCCGGGAGGGGTAGGTGGTGGCGATGAGAGGAAGGAAGAAGTTCCATTCTGGGACTTCTGTTTTTTGTTGTTTTTTTATTCCTTCACGTTCCCAGTGGAAAATAACGCTGCTTCAAGCTAGTGGCTTGAAGTTTATATAGCAGGGGTGTTTATTTTCACAGGATAGGGCTGTTAACCTCATGCCCAACCTTCCCTCTTTACCAGTCTTATTACTGGTTTAGCGAGGTAAGGGAGTGTGTCGGTGGCTGGGGATCGAACCCCGAACCAGATGAGGCCTGGTTGGAGAGCATTCTACCGCTGTACCATCGGCGCACATTTGTTTGCTTTCCACCTATTAACTAACTGATTCTGATAATAATTTTACGATTAACTGTATTGAGTTGACGTCGTCTTACCAAAGTTTCTACCTTTCAAACTCCTTAAAACAGTGGAGATCTTGTCAGATCTTTAACCGGTTTTTTGTTGTTGTTTTGTTAAGTTACCCTGCTCACCGTTTTTGTTGTCATTTTACTCTGTGTTATTTTGTGAATTTATTGATGTTGTAATGAGTGTTTCAGATATAATATTGGTATACACCTAAAAATATATATGCACGCATGAGCAGATATTCGTATATTGATTATGTCTGCTATTAGTTCCAGTTTTTTCTTTCTACTTACGCAACCCCTTAGAGAGTTTTCGATGCAGACATCTTCACGAAAAGTCTTCACTTAGAGATTCATTAAAAATCTTGAACCAATGAACATCTGTGACTATATACACAGGATTGGCGTTAGTTGGCAGTGCTATAATATCACACACTTTGAGAGAAATTCGAATTCACTAATCAGTAGATTTTAGCCCCTTGACTAGAAGGTCAACGTGTGATGAGGGCTGGCTACAAGCCAAATATTGTAGACAGCAATTTATGTCAATGTTACATCCCGAATCGGGGTCATGAGAAAAAATACAATAACAAAGCTTAACCTTGAGGATCTCAGCAACCAATCAGAGCAGACTTAACGTGTGTAAATGCGATTCGCACAAATATGGCTTAACTTTCTAGGAAACGGTCACAAGCAGTGCAGAATAACCATCAGCAAGAAAACAACCAATCATAAGACGCTGCTTCTCCGCTGACAATAATGTACATAAAAATCTATAAATATCTATACCTGAAGCTCATAGATTCAATCGCTGGTGAGGACATCTGTGTACATTGCTGAAGAGTCCCGAGATGAGGATGAAACAGCTGCCCAGCTCAATCTGGTTTCCAATGCTTCTCGAACTAGTGTCAACTCGTGATGAAATCTGCGGAGAAATGAAGTCTAACTGTTTATAAAAAGACAGTCAGTGTGTAGATCTCTCACACTTTCAATATGTACTGTATACGATACTATACCTTTTGTTGTCATTATAATTATTGACGTTGTAATTATCATTGTTGTCTTCGTAAACACATCTGCATGCATATTACAGCATCCACATAAATGATCTATCTCACCTAACATATTGATTTATTCTTCTAGGATCCTGATGGTCAACCATTACAATTAGAAGTTGTTGATGTTGGTGATGGAACATACATATGCCATTATACACCAATGATTGTTGGACGACATACTGTACGCGTGAAATACGGTGGACAAGAAATACCTGAAAGTCCATTTTTAGTACCAGTTGCTCCATCTGGACGAGCTAATATGTGTCGTATAGAAAGTAAGCGCGATTTGATTTCATTTTGTTTATAGAGAAATTAAATCAGTTTAATGTATGATTAGTTTTTTTTGTTTCCTTGGTTTCCAAGTGGAACATAAAGCTTTGGCAGCAAATCTCCATTTTGTACTGTTCTCTGAAGTCATTTTCTGTCTCGCTTCCTGTTCGTCCGTAAGCTTTTCTCTCCTCCTTACACGATCTCCTGTATGTTACTCTTGTCCCTGTGCCCAACTCATCGTATCCCATTCACGTTCCACTCGAGGGTTTGGAGCGTAATGTTATTTAATTGTCCAATCCATCTACATTTATTCCAGCACATTTTTTGGTTGATGCGTTCTTGATTGGTTCTTTGACAAGGTTGCTTGAGCCTGAATCGCTCAGTGATAGTGTCTCTGAGTGCAGCACTGAGTAACGTAGTTTCGAATCTCAGAGGTTGCAGACACACCTTACTGATGGTACTCACTTAGGCGGTACATATCCTAAACTTGGAAAGACAGGGGAAATTGTCAAGCCCTCCATATTTGTCTTGACTAGTATGATGGTGTATGCCTATAATCTGGCTACTTAAAGGGGAGGTTACGGAATTCTGTGGGACCGAAAGTCTTAGCAAATAAAGGCTCATGTCAGTAGGGCATTCACGCTAAGCATTGGACTGACACGGATGATCTGTTGAAGGACCAGTTGGCTATGTCAGTTAAGTAGGGGAAGAATTTCCCAGTTCAGTTTAATTCTCCGTGATTTAGGAGAAACAGGCAATGAAATTATGAACGCATATGTTTCACCCTGTTTGAAACTCACCAACCGGATTCACGTCCGTCGTACTGAGTCCACTCTTTATTATTATTATTATCATTATTATTATTATTATTATTGCTGAGTGGCAATCTGTAGGAAACCCTGTACCCAGGTCACTTGCTTATAGGCACTTACCAGAAAGGCATGTCTACAGTCGGTAAGGTACTAACATCCCATTTGAGCTTCTAACTCATATTGTGGTGACAGCTGTCTGCTAGCCGAAATTGTAGACAACAATTTGTGCCAACGTTTACGTCCCGAATCGGGGTCATGAGAAAAAGCAATAACAAAGCCTAACCTTGAGAAACTCAACAACCAATCACAGCAGACTTAGCGTGTACAAAAAGGATTCGCAGATATATGATCTGACTTTCTAAGAAACGGCCTCAAAGAGATGACAGAATAACCTTCAGCAGGAAAACAACCAATCAGAAGTCGTTGCTTCTCCACTGTCAATAATGTACACAAAAATCTATAATATCTGTTGATTTTCTCAATAAACCATCTTTTACCTGGCCCTTGTCTTCTGTCGTTACAACACCATTAAATGCTTCAGTCAGAGATATTACCTCTAAGGTTGTATAGTGCTATGGTAACGTTACTACTAACTGGAGCACTGAGTGGCGAGATTCTGATACCCACTGGGAACATCAGTCGCTTGAAGTGTGCTAAACAAGAGTGCCAATAAACTCGAAGCTTAAGTGCAGGACTCCTTCAAAACCACCAAAACTAGCTAAAATCCAAGTCCAATATTTTAAAATTCTTATTCAAAATGTTCTTCATCTATCATACGAATTTCTTTTGTTGTAAATGTCTTTTAATCCTTCCTTTCTTCTTTCACTATTCACATAACACAAACATTAAGTGAGAGGAAATTTTAAATAATAATATAAAAAATGTAGGCATTTCCAGTTTTCTTCTTTTTTTAATTTATGCATCTGATTTTATTTTTTTATGATTTTTGCTTGTTTATAACCTTTTCTTGGCCTATATCCAAGTAACGAAAAAAAGAAGCATCTTACCAACTGCCTAAAATAGTATCATATAAATCACATGCTGATATTGTTTATTGACAACGTACACATCATCCAATACATACACACACACTTTAACCCCTAATTATTTATCCAATCAGAAAGCAGAAATTTACTGCGTAGGTGTGTTTGTGTCATACACCTGTGTGTCTTTGTACCAAGTAGTATGCTTTACTAGTCAGCCCTACCTGCAGTCTATTGATTTTTGTTAGCATATTTATTGATTTATTGCAGTCATATAGTGCATAAATGTGTACATTTCTCCCGTATTCAAATATGCTGGGCGTTAAGATTGTGCATAGGATGCTAATACGGCAGTTGTTCTCTAATTGACATCAGTCCGTGATCAACTCGTAAAAACATAACAAACCCTTACAAACCAAACTTTAGGAAAGTAATAGCAATACCAAAAATCGGTCATATAGGATAGAAAATATTTAAGGGATAAACGTACTATATTTTCGAGTTATTTTGAATTTTTCGCCTACATGGGTGCTAAGTTTAAATCTCAGAGAGAATAGCATCACGCCGCCTTCGGGATGCAGCTCGACGGAGAATTCAATGAAGTAAAGACAGTGATAAGACAAGGCCGCTGCCTATTACCAAAAATGGACTGGATTATGCGGTGAATGACAACTCGAACACAATTTATTGTTCATAACCATATCAAGTTGTAACTACACAACTGTAAAAGTTTATTTTTAAGGTCCTCGCTCTTCCTTCCAGTTTGTCACATTCGGTAGTAGAATTTTCTAGACATCTGGGAGAAATGTGTTGACTCATTTCTATTTCTATGCATGATTCGATAAATAAAGCTTCAGTTACCAATCTGTCCATCCAGGCAACCTGAAACTTTGTCCCATCCATATAGTATGGTTGTGTTTAACTGCATGTAGTGTTAGAACTGGGCTTTCTTTTCTAGATTTCTTATCTTATTTATAAGGGTCAACTGGGATAGATGACAAAGTTAAACTTTAAGTACCAGTAAGTACCAAAGGATTAATAACCTTGGACGCACCAGCCACATGATAAAGGCGACTTTTGCATATGACTTTTACATATGTTCTTGGGAATAATGAACTAAACGGCATGAAACTGTTGCACAGGATGCCTTTGTCTGACGTATGACAAAAATACCTCTCAGCTTTCTGATTGGAGTATCAACAGAGTAATTTAACCACATTATATGCATGTAATGTGCGTCGGTGGCACAGTGGTTAGGACTCTCGCCGACCATGCGTATGGTCCGGGGTTCGACCCTCTGTCGACGCACACCTGATATCTATGGTCGGCCTGTAAAATTTGGGCTACCGATATCATATGTTGAAAATTCCATACCTGTACCAAAAAGTACGGTGTGGAATCAAGTTGTAATCAAAAATAAATAAATTATCCAGGTCTTCTAACCCTAACAATAACCCTAATCCTTCCTTAACCTAACCCTAACGTTAAAAATAACTCGAACCAACCGTAATGTCGCCCTTATTAAGTTAACCTAGCCCTAACCCCTGCCCTTAACTTATTCTTTCCCCCAAACCTAACCTGAAACTTGCCAGATATCCCATTTAATAAAATAACATTCATCAAGCATATTTTAGTCACAACTACAATATTATGTGCCAGGTTTTACTAGCTTACTCGCTGAGCGCTTCAAGGTCATTGATGCGGTCACACTGCGTTGGCACTTACTGGTGCTTAAAGTTGAATTTGGACGGATAGCTTTTGTTAAGTTTCTGCTCTCGGCTGATGTGTGATTGATCCCTGGGCTATTTTAACCTAAATATTAAATAAATCTTGCACTTATAGCAAGGTATTAGATAGATTAAGTAAATTATTTTGTCCAATGGACTCCACAGGATACTTCAACCGAAATAATTTTTTTTCTAAGTTACTTTATAGGTGAGTGTTAATACCAGTTTTAACCCAGCCTTTTTAAGATTCCTACATGATGACATCTGGAAAATTCTACCACCTTTATAACAACTACTTCGCTACTACGGGGTGCCACCGACAATTATACATCTCATCCAACAGTTGTACGACAATGCCTGCTGCATGCCAAGTAATCCACAACGGGAAACTCACGGAATCCTTCAAAGAAGTGAAGACAGGAGTAAGCCAAGCTGGCTGCCTACTATCACCAATGATTTTCCTGATTGCAGTAGATTGGATAATGCAACAGACAGCGGGGAATAAGGGAACAGGAATAAAATGGACTCATACAAAAAACTTGGAGGATCTGGACTTCGCAGATGATATATGTCTGATTTCCCACAAACTGGAAGATATGCAAGTGAAAAGCAACAAGTTGGCAGAAGAAGCATCCACAGAAGATAGGACTTCAGGTGAACATAGAGAAGACAGAGATAGGTGATGAAGATTACTGGCCAACACCAACAGCAGCAACAACAACAACAGACAACAATCAGCCAGTATAAATGGAAGAAACTGAATCTGAAAAAAACAACCTCCTTGACCTACCTGGGAAGCATCGTTTCAACTACAGGCGGAACTGACGAGGATATCAAAGCAGCGAGGATCGGAAAGCAAGGCAAGCTTTCATAACTTTCAAGTCTGTGTGGAGGTCAACAGCATTTAGCGTTAAAAATAAGATCCGGAGACTTGGCGCGTCATAAAGAGCATCTCAAACAAACTACAGACCTTCATTAACAGCTGTCTTCGCTCAATACTCAAGATCAGATGACCAGAAAAGATCCGCAACAGGGAGGGATCTCTGGGAGCGAACCAACCAGGAACCGATTGTGCAACAAATAAGCAGGAAGAAATGGAGGCGGATTGGCTGGCCATACTCTGAGGAAACCATCAAGTGACATCCCTAGACTAGCCCTCGAGTGGAACCCGAAAGGGAAGCGGCGAGTTGGTCGTCAGTGCAAGGGTGACTTGGAGGAGGTCATGTGAAGAGGAGATGAAAACGTGTGGGCAGACTTGGAGCCAGGTGAAGACTCTAGCGGAGGACCGAACGCAATGGAGACGCGTGGCTGAAGCCCTATGTTCCTCTAGGAATTGAAGGAAATAATAATAATATAACAAATGCAAAGGAGGCATGAAGTTGTGCAGTTACAGTCCAGGATATTGTTGTGACCAATAAATTGTGTTTGAAGCTTTTTCGTCCTCTAGATAACACTGTTTTCTTTACTCACTATGTGATAAATCCCGAAAACAAACTGTGAGGTCTTGTCCTGGTTCAGGACTCTTCAGCAGTGCTACTACATAGACGTCGTGAAGCTGTACTGATAAGTCGTGACCGGTGGGGTCCACCGTGTAAGGTGAAGCGAATGCTTATTGAAGGCATTTGTGATGGTAATGTGATGTGCGCTACTTATAATTATATATAAGTAGTATATCAGTAAACGAATTAAGAAAAGTAACAATATGTTTCGGACACTGGAAAAAAGCAATCGAAGAAGAGAACTATGAGTAGAACGTTACAAAACTGTGTAGAATCCAGCAAACTATCGAATGGGGGTGATATTCGACCAATTTGCAAATGATGTGCAAATAAAGACTTAAAGATAGTGGTATTCCAAAATTTATGTACTTACATTATGTTAGTATTAATAAACAGTGCCTTCGAGTCACATCGGTGTTTTCTTCTTTACACTAGCACTATATCACAAGTTGACAAGGTTAGAATTTAGGAGTCATTGAATCCTTGCCTGAGTGGATGACTTACTAACTACCTTGGTCTCGTAACCTTTAGGTTTTGGGTTAGATCACCAGTGGGTTTGTGGATGCACACTGCTGAAGAGTTCTTAAATAAGAAGAAACAGCCGTTCAGTGCTGCCTTTTTTCTGTAACTGGTGTTGATTCGTGACGAAGTGTAACATGTAAACATGTAAAAATAAATCCAAATCCCCACCTATCCCATAATCTATAAGTTGATATTGAATTAATCAATACCACAATGCCCAAGGTGTACACAAATATTGATTAGATCTACAGTGATTGACCTAATTTAGTAATCTAGAAAAAAGCCTGGCCATTGTCATACATTCGCTTACATATAATCACATATTTGCGTAGAGGGAGAGATTGATAGAAAGAAAGGTTAATCACTGAATTTTTGTACACTCTGTCAACACCAATTATATGGAATCGACATGACGCAATGCCTATACCTCAAACATATGAAGAAGTAAGGCTATATAAAGCAAATCTAGTAGTGTTGTGGTGTATATATATAAATTGTTGTAATTATGAACGACAAATGCCGTTTGAAATATCAACCAGTAATTAACACTATATCACCTTGTACTAATATGCATATTAATTGTGTAATAATTAAAGAATAACATATTATTATTATCCTTATTCTTTATAATGTAAATTAAAGGTGGAAATGATAGCCGAGTGCCAGTTGGTCAAGAATGTGTTATCTCTGTGAATACAGCTCAAGCTGGTGTTGGCCAACTGACTTGTCGTATTGTTACACCGTCTGGTGCAACAGCTGATGTTGAAATTCATGAAGCACCAAATGGTCGTGTTAACATTTATTATACACCACCGATTCGAGGAGATTATTTAGTTGAAATACGATTTGGTGGAGAACTTATACCAAATGGAAGATTTAATCAAAAAGTAAGTCTGTTTATGATCCTTGAATATTCAAAAGATACTATTATTATTATTCCTTTGGGCTCCGAGTGGAACATCATAGGGCTTCAACAACATATTTCCACTTCGCTCTAATTTCCGCCATCCTCTTCAGCTGGGTCCGCGATTGCCCAAACTCTCTTATCTCTTCCTCACACGATCTCTTCCAAGTCGCCCTAGGATGAGACGCTTGTCGCTTCCCATTTAGATTCCACTTGAGCATTGGTGTGAGTTGCACGCTAAATCATTAAACGGCTTCCTTAACGTATGCCTGGTCAATCCATCTCCATTTTCTCCTACATGTTAGCTGAGCGATCGGTTCTTGGGTGGGTTGTTCCCACAGTTCCTTGTTACTTATTCTTTCTGGTCTGCTGGCCATTTGACCTTCAGTATACAGCCAGCGAACGGGGCCGCTGTTAATGAAAGTCTGCAGTGGCCTGTTGGAAATCCTTTTCGTGACACGATGGCCAAGTTTCTGACCCGTATAGATGGACCGACTTGACATTGGTGTTGAAAATCCCAATCTTGTTCCTGATGCTGACTGAGTGCAGAAGATTTCCAAATAGGTTTCAGGTTGGTGAAGGCGTATCTTGCTTTTCCGATTCTGGCTGGCTGGCTGGCTTTGACATTTTCATCCGCTCTGCCATCTGTGGTTGGAACGATGCTTCATGTTTGGATGAGTGAAGGAGTTAACCTCTGTTAAATTTCTCCTGTTGATGGTGATTGGTGCTGGCTGTTTTTGTTGCGGTTCGTTGGTTATCTTCATAACCTCCGTCTTTTCTATGTTCACCTGCAGTCCTGTCTTCGCTGGCTCTTCAGTCACACTGATATCCCTGAACTCATTAATCCCTCTTAATTCTTCCATACATTTCTACCCGTCATGATTATTCTTTTGAATTTGTTATTCATCTTTGTGTTCTATTTGGAGTGTAAGGAAGTGAAATGACTCACTTCTGTGCAAAGTTCTACTTTGTTATCTCAATCGCTTATTATAAAGTGGGTCAAGTATTGTCGAAAAAGATATCGGGATTTCTACAGTTTCACTTGCACACACACATATACACATTTTTGGCACAATAATGTCCAAATATCTCAGTGAAGAGCTTTCAAAAATAATCGAAAAGATTAGTTTTAAATTTCTGTGTCAGCAGACACTCATGTGAAAGCGCAGTAGGCAGTAGTTGGCCATTGGATCGGGTCCCAGTGGCTCAATGGTTTACGAGCAAGCTCGTCATGTAATCAGAAGGTCCTGGGTTCGAACCATCGTAGTGGGTAGGTACTGATGAAGAATCCCAAACTAGGCAGCAGGAAAAAGCTGTCTGGCAGTACTACTAGTTGGTTTTTCAATGGTTCTCTAACTGATATCAGCTCATCGTGAAATCCTCCGACTAATCAAACAAAAATCCTTACAAAACCAATACTTGAAAATTAATCTGATTCTCTCTAGTGACTGGCCCTATTCAGGCAGTTAACCTGGGGCTCTAATGGGAAGCCGTGACCAGTAGGGTACAGCAGGTTGAAGGTAAGGCCAAAAACTCGCCGAAAATATTGCTAATTAGTCGCTCTATGTCATGAATTGGCAGAAGTTAGAATTCATGAACTGGCCATTGGATCCAGTGACCTTGTTACCAGAAGGTCCTGGGTTCGAACCATGGTGGTGGGTGTGTACTGCTGAAGAGTTCGAAGCTAGGATGGAGGAAACAGTTGTCTGGCAGTACTCCCTGCAGGATTTTTAATTGTTCTCTAACTGAAATCAGCTCATGATGAAATCAGCCAGCCAAAAAAACGACGTCTTTCAGTTGTCTAAATCCCCTGTTCACCACTGATAGCTTCATACTAAGCAATTAAGTCTCTACCAGTAAGTAGCTGAAAGTTTGTATAACCCCACTAATAATAAATGAAGTTTCGCATTCAGTGTAATCGCATTATTCCTGGGGTTGAATGTGTATGTAGATCATGTATGGATAGATAGCTAACAGGATGAAAACAGCAAAACAAGTATTCACACGACGGAAGCGAGTTTCCAACACAGATGAACTTCAACTAGGTAATTTATTTATTCTTACCTCTACAGTGCCTACTCACTACGCCATTCATAGTCGAGTGTAAGACCGTCGGCAAAATCATCGTTCAATATGATTAGTAATCACCATTCCACATAACAGATCATGATGTAATATCGAAAATTCAAGTGTGAGTGAGTTCTTTCATATTACGCAATTGATTAGGGTATAAATCATCCGTGTTTTCTTGTGAATACTTGCGGTACTAAGCAGATACTCAGAGATTCGAACCTGGGACACACGGACAGAAGATTGACTGGACTGTTTAGGATATTTTTGGAAAGATGTAATAAACTTTTGTCTGTTTTTAAACAACTGTAAACCATTTACGAATAACACTGGCTTATTTTATGTTTGTTATTTTCTTTTTAATTATTAATTTTAGGCTGTTAGTCCAGAGGAGTTGGTCAATGATATAAGTGTAAGTTTAAAATGTATTTTATAGATTATATTGATTTTTCATGGTTGAGCACTGTTCATTTGAATGATAATGTTTTGTTTGGTAGATCTCTCACCAACGCATACTATGATAACTGAGAGTAGTTCTTCTTTCTCAAGCCATGGTTCAACTGAATAGCGAATGAGAATCTGTTCTCGGAAGTATTTTTTTGGCTGCTTTCACGACTGTTGATAGGCTTTTATTTCCTTCCACACACACATAATCTCCTCCATGTCACCCTCGTACCAATGCTCAACACGTCGCTAACTATTTGGGTTTCACTCGACAGTAGATCTGGCGTTTGGTGTCACTTAACGATTTTCTTAACTTATGTCAAGTCCATCTCCATTAATTTCTGCATTTTTGTTGGGCAGTATGATAACATAATTTCAGTACGTGTAATACTGAAATTGGAGAAGTGTTTCAACAGAGCTATTAATCTGCGTTTCACTTGAAAGCCCTTAGTCATTCATGCTCGTCTACGAAATTAGCCAAACAATCAAGTTCAGTATGCTTTGCCAGTATAACTTGTAACCAGTACTGAATGAGATGAATGGCATCCAACTACTTATATCAGTTAAATAGTAATATATAACACCGTATATTTAAACCATTTTTCTAGGTATTATCAATTTAGAATCCATCTGTTAATGAATTTCGATCAAGAGGTTGAAGACTAATAAGGTCCTTGTATTGTAATTCCATGGTCATGAAGACATCCTAACTGGGACGAAACAGTTGTAGGTTCATGCAAAACATCTTTCTTGTCTAGCATGAAAGGGAACACTTCAACAGAAGGTAAGCAATGTTTCACCAACACCAAGAAGAAGGCATTTAAAACATCAGTAGCACTGTCAGATAACGAGGGAACCCCTGAAACCCTATGCAGGATTGTCAACAAGGCAGGGAAATAAGTGGAATTCGAAAGCACTAACTCACTTAGAACCAAATTATTTCGGCTACAAGATCGTGATGCCTTTGAATGATGTTAACTACATAGACCACTTAGATTTGTAGAGCATGAAAGCTTACCGAAACCTAAACTAGCAGACCCTAATAAAATAAGAAGTCTAGAAGGAAATTCAACCGTAGCAGTCTTCATACAATCACACACACACAACCATGCAATAGGATGGAATTGGCTGGAAGTTTTAAAATCTACTGCATCCACTTGAGTGGAGGGCAAGATTGCTAACCGAATCTTATTATTTATCGAATCAACTGAGAGTCCATGATTCAGCACAATTGTTCCAGACATCTGGATAATACTGTTACCCTTACAACCAATGAAAAGAAAAAGAACAAAGAACCATAAGAATGAAATTTTGAAGTTATGTATTTACAATTGATGACGTCGCCTTGTAAATAATACCGTTTTACGATTGTGTAACATATCCAATCAAACAAATTTAAGTGTAACTACATGTTACCACTGTGTTCAAGGGTAACGTATATATATATATATATATATATATATATATATCAATCTGTATGTGACCCAAATGGGCTAGTGGATAACGCTTTGTCGAATGCATCTGAGGTTCAGTGGCAGAATATTCGGCAATCGCATGCCTGACTCGGGTTCGATTCCCGACCGACACACTCTTAAACCTCTTAAGCTGGTAATAAGCCAAGTAAAACGGGAAGATTGTCAGTGTGTGTGACTAGCAATACCACCCTGTAAAATAGAAGACTCCTGCTATTCAACCATCATGTTTCAACTGGAAAACAAAGCAATGAAGAAAAATTGCCTGTGGACAAGTGCAAAAACTGAAGTGATTTAAGCTTAAAATGTACAGTTAGTCAGTTTAGCGACTAAAAATCGGCAGTATTGCTTTACCTTTCAACTTATGTATAATAACTTGATCAAGGATCAACTTTCATGTCAAAATCTAGTCGATTCAAAGAGACAATAAGAATCCTTCTTTTTTTATTAATGAGTTGATCTAATTGAAAAATTACTTGACAGAACATTAAATGACAAACGTATATAACACTTTATTTCTCCAACAGACTTTACAAGAACAAAGAGTTCAACATGTCAATGTGCAATCTGTACAATCTATACATTCATCGACAATTACAACAGGATATCATCCAGTCGATTTTAAATTACCTGTTGGTCCAACATTTAGTCATGTAGAAGGTAAGTAAGAGGGTTTTTGATCTTTCGTCCTTGTTTGGAACTCTTCATCAGTATGCGCTCATTCTAGAAGTTAGAATTTATGAACTATTGAATTTCATCCCAGTGATTGGAATAGTCTACAAGCTCATCTTGTGACCCGTCGTAATTCATGAGGTTTCATCCCTAATGGGTTCATCAGTGCGTACTGATGACGAGTCCTGAAGTACTGTCTGCTGGCTTTTAGTGTTACTCAAACGAAGTCCCTTCGTGATCTTTTAGTGTTAAAGAGTTGACCAAAGAAAATTCTCTTTCCTGCGATTTCATTTTCGCAGCTGTACAATCGTATGTATATATATATATAACAATCTGTTTGTATGTGTGTGTGTTAATGTTTGACAGTGAGTGGAAATACTAAAGTGCTATGTTAATATTGATTTATGGGATTATGAGTCACGGTTGATTAGATGTATGAATGAATAACCAACTAGATAAATAGAGGTCAACCTAAAGTTCAATATTGAAGTATTGGTTTCGTAGGGATTTTGTTTGATTGGTTGGAGAATTTCATCATGAGCTGACATCAGCTGACCTTGTAACCAGAATATCCTGGGCTCGAACCCCGGTGGATGCGTACTGATAAAAAGAGTTCGAAACTAGAACGAAACAGCTGTCCAGTACTCCCTGCAGGTTTTCCAATGGTTCTCTAAGTGATGTCGGCTCATGATTAAGACGTAGGATGACTGAAATGTTGTCAAAATAGTGGACTAGATAAAATGTTAGAATATGAGAACATATAGCGAAATAAAATAAAACGAAAATGTGAACATGGAATAAAGAAGGATAACAAAGTTGTTATGTGAATTAGATAGTAAAACCAAGACCACTGTAACGAAACAGACGGTGCAAACTCTTTTTGTACACAGAGTTCTGGCTTTATGTTATGTTTGCCAAAGCTTCTGCTATGCAAAGCAAATGCACTAGTGTCTGTTTCGGCTAACTTTGTCGGACTATGTAGACTTCATTAGCAGGGTCAGTTATTCTAGGTTAAGTTAAATAACCTAGAAAAAAGCTTAACCACTGCACTGTATTCACTTGCGTGTAATTACAAAATAGGATGGGATAGGGTGGGAGTATTAAAAAGTAATGTGGTTGGGTAGAGTGTGAGAGAGGTTAATTACTGAAGCTTTGTTTATCGATTCAAAACCATACTCTTGCAATCGGAATGACGCAAGACCTATACCGAAGATACGGAAAGTGGCAGAAAACAACAAAGAGAAGTTAGAGGGACAGAAAGAGATATTATATATATATATATATATATATATATATATGAAAACATGTGACAAATGTGTGATATTTAAAACAAACTTATTTAATATGCAATTACATCCTAACGCAATGCCCAAGTTCTACACTTACTTACATTAACGAAAAACTATGGTCTCATAATGGTAAATATTAATGATATATTTATAGGAATAATCGGAAATCACTCACGTCAACCAGTAGTGCTTGCCAAACAGATGAATGACATCTAAACACCAGATGATCATTAAATTCATCTGAGGCGAAACCAGCAGTAGTATACCCTGTTTTGTTTCAGATCAGAGAACTGATTTGTCATATCCAAATCGCGCGAAATCTGGTTAGTTACACAGAATTTGATTCTGTAGATTAATATTACCTTCATTTACTCTTAAAGGTCAAGTTGAAGTATCTATACAACTTTAAGATACTACAACCTGGCAACCACTCGCACTGGTCTATCAATCAAAGTACTGTTTATTGCCAGTGTAGACATTCTTTTCCGTCGCTTATTCGTTCGTCTTTACTGATTCCTTGAGTTCCGAATGAAACATAAGTGTTCAGTGGTATATCTCCACTACACTTTATTCTGTGTCAGTACCACAGAGCCTTTATTCAACCACACATAAGTCTGATAAAACTGGAAAGGCCTGAAAATTTGTCAACTACAGCTATACACAATGTAGGATCAGGCCACTTGACTGATGCTGATAATAATGAGATCATTCAGAAAAATTTTGAAAATATCAAAGAACGTCTTATATAAGAAGCACTTCACATTAAATGGAGTCAAAATTTAAAGCAATTAGTTCCCTTTATGAAATTCAGCAAAACAATAAGAAGTCGTGAATTGTCCACGCAGTTACATTGTACGTTTCACATAAATTATGTCTTCTAATTGTTTTGTGTGGCACAGCGGTTAGGACTCTCACCGACCATACATGATCCGGGGTTCCATCACCTTCGGACGCACACCTGATATCATTGGTCGGCCTGCAAAATTTGGGCTACTGATATCACATGCTCAAAATTGCATACTTGTACCAAAAATACGGTGTGGAATCAAGCTATAATCAAAATTAAAAATTGAATTAAAAATAGCTTGAATAGGAATACCGGATAAGGATAAAAATTCCACCTGGTTCTAAAACCCTTAAATGAAGTGACAGAATCGACACAAATGTCCTACAGGAAGCGAATGGCAAGTCCGAATAGCTGGCTCAGTGGTAACGTCTCTGACCGCAGTACTCACTGGGTAACTCGCGTTCTAATGTCAGGAGGAACATGACTTCCTTCAAGGTGGTTGCAGATACGCCTTACTGACTGGTGACTGCTCACTAGCACGAAATCTAGGTCAATTAAGGCTTCCTGTGGATTATCTCCAACTATCTAATACTGAAAATTCACAGTGCACCGTGATGGTGAGCCACCTTGTGGCATGATGGTCACATTGCAAACTTCCTGATATGAGAATTCAGTCTACACCAAAGATAGGAAGAGTAGACACATTACACTAGTTACTGACTAGTGTTCAATCACAAATGTCATAAGCATTTTCATTATGTAAACATATACGGTTTTGACAATTTCGTACATTTATCAAATCTAGTAATCTGAACACGATTTGTTATCTTAACCGATTCACTGACATGACAAGGTTAAAAAAAATATAACTTCATGTTGAAGAACTATGATTAGATTGCTTACTGGATATAAGCTGAGATTTTGTAAATTCTTTGGTTTAATATCACTTTGATGATAATGAACATCAATATAGCCAATGCCCGAATTTTCCGAACCATTGAGTCTGAACTTGGTTTGGACATATGTAAGATGGTTACAGGATTTCATGATGAGCTGACATTGGTTAGGGAAACATTCGAAAACCTGGGAGTACTACCAGACAGCTGTTTCCTCCGTCCTAGTTTGGGACTCTTCAACAGTACGCACCCACCGGGGTTCGAACCCGAGATGATATTCGTTATTTGCTTTTTCAAAGCTAAATGATCTAGACACAGACAACTTGCCCAGTCCTATGAATGAATCCGTCAATAATAATAATACTAATCTTCATACAATGACGTTAAAATATCAGATGATTATTCTGACTGTGTACGTACGCGTTGTAAAAGACCGCACTGTTTACTAGGCCGGTTATTTTGGAGTGGATCAAAACATTTGAAAAGTGAACCTAGTTATTTAGAGGCTATTGGTAGGACTTGTTGGACTCAGGTTTCAGGCTTACTAGTATTCTCATATTAGTAAGCTTGACAGAACTGATGCACTTCCCCCCCTCGCCTCGGTGACTAGGAACAACGCTACACGCATGATATTAGTGGATTAATCAATGTATACATTTAATTTTTTCGGTAATCAAAGCTTAGAATTCATTGGGTATTAAATTCTGTCTTAGTGTTTGAGTAGTCACTGAGCAAGCCTCGTAACCTGACTTTATATCTCCCGTGGGGTCACTTGTGTGTTTACCTAAAGAGTCTAAAACCAAGGACGAAACAGCTATTCAGCACTTCATGGCACTTAGCAGTTCTTTAAATGATATCAGCTAAGATCGAATTCTTGCTTGAAATCTTTTACATCAGGAGGTCCCCGGGTTTGACTACCAGCTGAGGCATAGCTCAATTTTTCCTAGTTAATTAGGTGGTAGTGAGCCTGGGCTATAGGGAATGTTACGTGTGATGGTGGAAACCGACCTAGTGAAATCAACATTACCAATGCTACTGATACCTCAAAGTTTGAAGCTTTATATTTATGAAATTATTACCATTTACAAAATAAATTGTGTGAACTGTAACAGACATTACATCTGTCAACAAAGTGAGCGTCCCCTTCGAAACAGAATCCAGGAACACAAATCAGCTGTGAAAAGACATGATATGTATACTCTTTCATATTAATACATATAGATAATTATGGACATCAGTTTGATTGGGATAATGTGGAAATTTTAGACAGAGGAAACACCAAAAGTGCAGTCAGGGAATTCCTAGAAGCCTGCTACTCAAACGAATATGCAATTAACAAAAATCTTAATATAGACCAAATATACCAACTAATAAAAAGTAGATTATGTGACGAGAAAGTTCGAAATCCAAGTCAATAATAAAAATGATCAATACAGATGTAAAGATGGTTACTGGGAGACGCAATTCCATCACTCATGGGAAAAATTTAAATCAGTTCACTTTATGCTAAAAATTTTGTTTTGATAAAGTCTCACAGTGTTATACAGTAATGTTTACTGATGACGTTTCGAGCACAATTTGTCACTGCTCATAATCATATCAAGGTAATCACACGACTTCCTAAATTCATTTATATAGTTCCATTGTTTTTCACTTGATTTTCGCTTGATTTGATTGGTAGTAATATTTTCCATATTTCGGGTATGAGTGATGATTCATTCCTATTGCATGTGTTTGGTGTAGACCCAACAAACGAAATTTACCCATAATGGAATTACACTCTACCACAGTGCACAAGTTTTATTCTTATAACAAGGTTAATTAAACAGCAATTGAAGATGTCCCATATAAAGAGGGGACATCTGAGACCCTACGTAGGATTCCAAATAAAGCAGGAATTAGGGCGGCATTTAAACCTACAAACTCACTCAGAGACAAGCTCTGTAGTTTAGAGGACCCAGTTGACCCAATTAGACAAAATAATATAGTTTACAAAATACCCTGCAATGACTCTGAGGTCAACTACATAGGTCAAACTGGTAGGTTAGGGGTAGTCAGATTGTCGGAACATAAGAATTTAGCTAAGGTAAGAATGGTTGACCCAGAGAAGAAAGCTCAGCAGTTGCAATGCATGCATTAACACACAACCACACAATAGGTTGGGAGAGGGCTAAAATTCTAAGAAGTAATCTATGCAGGTGGAGAGAGAGGTTGAATCCTTGTTCATCGAATCTACACCCAACACATGCAATAGGAATGACTCATCACTCATATCCGAAATATGGAAAATATTACTACCAATCAAATCAAGTGGAAAACAATGGAACTATATAAATGAATTTAGGAAGTCGTGTGACTACCTTGATATGATTATGAGCAGTGACAAATTGTGCTCGAAACGTCATCAGTAAACATTATTGTATAATACTGTGAGACTTTATCAAAACAAAATTTACCCATAATGGAATTACACTCTACCACAGTGCACAAGTTTTATTCTTCTAGGTGTGTCTGTTCTTTAACTTCGGCACAAACACTTCCCCTGTTCACTTTCCACGGCCATTATAAATGCAAGAGAAAATATCACAGAATGAATGGCAACAGATAATAAGGCATACAAGTATATATATATATATAAATCACAAATGGAATTTCCAAGAAATAGTCAGCACAAACTCTAGTTTTTATTGTTAGGGGGTTAGCAAACAGGCATAAAATTTATGTTGATATGAAAATGCTAGAAATGCCATTGCTTGGAATCAACTGATCATTATCATTGTTATTACTACTGAAAAATAATATATACATATATGATTAGGCCATTGGCATTTACTTCCGCCGGTGTGTTCTGTGTTAAAAACAAAAGGTCACTTGACAGAAATAATGTGTTGCTGCATATCTAATCTTGATAAAATTCAGTCTTTTTTATTACTTAAGTAGTGAAACAAGGCAACAAAAAGGAACCAGATGTATTGTTATTATTATTTCCTTTAATTCCTAGAGGAACATAGGGCTTCAACCGTGCGTCTCCATTGCGTTCGGTTCTCTGCTAGAGTTTTCACCTGGCTCCAAGTCTGCACACACGTTTTCATCTCCTCTTCACATAACCTCCTCCAAGTCACCCTTGCACTGACGACCAACTCGCCGCTTCCCTTTCGGTTGGGTTCCACTCGAGCAATGGCTTGTCTAGTGATGTCACTTGATGCATTGTTTCCTCAGAGTATGGCCAATCCACTCCCATTTCTTCCTGCCTATTTGTTTCACAATCGGTTCCTTGTTGGTTCGCTCAATGCCAGAGATCTCTGTAGCCGATCTTTTCTGGCCATGTGATCTTGAGTATTGAGCGAAAACAGCTGTTAACGAAGGTCTGTAGTTTGTTTGAGATGCTCTTTATGACGCGCAGTGCAAGTGTCTGATCCGTATAGTACCACTGACTGACTTCACATTGGAGTTGAAAATCCGGATCTTATTTTTCATCCTGAGAGTTGTTGACCCCCACACAGACTTGAGAGTAGTGAAAGCTTGTCTTGCTTTTCCGATTCTTGCTTTGATATCCTCGTCAGTTCCGTCCGCCTGTAGTTGAGACGATGCTTCCCAGGTAGGTAAAGGAGGTTGTTTCTTTCAGGTTCCTTCCATTTATGCTGATTGTTGTCTATTGTTGTTGTTACTGTTGCTGGTGTTGGCCAGGAATCTTCATCACCTCTGTTTTCTCTATGTACACCTAAAGTCCTATCTACTCTGCAGGCTTCTTCTGCCAACTTGTTGCTTTTCACCTGTATATCTTTCAGTTTGTGTGAAATCAGACACATATCATCATCGGCGAAGTCCAGATCCTCCAAGTATTTGTGTGAGTCCATTTTATGCCTGTTTCCTCATTACCCGCTGTTTGTCACATTCTCCAATCTACTGCAATCAAGAAAATCATTGGCGATAGTAGGCAGCCAGCTTGTCTTACTCCTGTCCTCACTTCGAAGGATTCCGTGAATTTCCCTTTGTGGATTACTTGGTATGCAGCATTGTTAGAGTGGTTCAGGAATAGAGTGCTCACCAACTACACCCGCTTCTCCTCCCTCCCCCACATGATCCGAGATCGATTCCTGGCCATCGATGTATTCCTAACGCTTACTTAACCGATAGTGAGTCTGGAAAGGAGGAAGAGTTAGAAGTGAGGTTAGCAACACCATCCAATGAAAAAACACAACACAAGAGCTACTGAAACTTCAAAGCTGAAGGTCTTAAGTTCCACTTGGAACGCAACGAAATGGAAGAAAGGCCAATTTTTGAAGTCTCCGAATCTCAGTAGTTCATAATTTAGCCCCGAACACCAATATTTTAAGGTTTCATTAGCTTATTTGAAATAGATGTGAGACAAGTAAAACCTTTGTAGAATAGGGATTAGTTCATTTTATCTTTTTGTCTGTGCGTCGATGGCACAGCGGTAGAATGCTCGTCAACCCTGCCTCATCTGGTTTGGGGTTCGATCCTCGGCCACTGACGCACTCCTTTACCTCGCTAAACCAGTAATAAGACTGGTAAAGAGGGAAGGTTAGGTATGAGGTTAGCGAACCCCATCCCGTAAATATAGATACCTCCGCTATCGACACTTCAAAGCTTGAAGCCCCCTATGTTCCAGTGGAAACGTAAATGACTTTAAAAAACTCCTTTTGTCTACCTAATGATCAATGTCCTCATTGTGAATTGATAAATTCTATGAAATTAACAGATTTTCTAGTAATTTGCTTTGGACCATCGTGGTTCTGTTCATACTGAGTCAGCTGACATCTTGAGGATTTCCTACAGACAGGTTAAACACCTTGTCTTTCCGTCCTTACAATACTAACAAAATTTTCACACATATACATGAGTTAGAATAACGGATGAATTTTCGTTACACTGTATTCTTTCCTATCCCTAGATTTCTTGCTTTTCAGCACTCCGCAAAAAGGCGTATCTTCAAACTTGAAGTGAGTGATCCCCACTCAGAGAGTCTACGTGACACAATTTGGACTCTTCAAGCGGCATGCGGGGAGGGGGGTAACAGTTCTTACGAGGTCATAGATATGCCCTATTGATTAGTGTCAGATTTTGAAACCTCATCAACAGTGATATTGTTTTACGGGGTGGGATTTCTAGCCTGATGCCTAACCTTCTCTACTTTCTGGGTTTGCTATGGGCTAGTAAATTAGGCAGGGTTTGAGAGTGTGTTAATAAGGAATCGAACTAGCGTGAATGCATAAATGGAGGGCATTCCTCCATTGAACCACTCACCCGTCACATACACATATATGTATATACTTTGAATTTTAGGTTTTTATTCTATTAATACGCATTAACAAATATTAGCCAACTTTCATAGAATATAACTCACTCGTAATTAGTCAGTTTACAGCGGTAGCTGTTTTACACTGAATAGTTAAGTGTGAATACTGATGACGACCACCTAAACCGACATTATCTCCGGATCTGAAATACATGATGGAAGGTAGCAGCTAAGTACCTTGAATCACTTCTTATTTCTTGTCTTATATATCATCAGAAATGTTTAGTGGTGTTTGTGTGTGTTCTTAGTTAGAACCATTTTTGACGAGTTGATCACGGATTGATATCAGTTAGAGAACCAATGAAAACCAGGGATTACTGCCAGACAGCTGTTTCATCCTAGTTTTGGGAATCACCGGGAGTACGTACCCACCGCCAGGGTTGGTTACCAGGACCTCGTATACCATTCAGCCACTGGGACCCAATTCAATGGCCAGTCCATGAATTCTAACTTCTATCAATTCGTGATTTTAGCGCGACTGGCACCAACCAATGTCATCGGTGGGACATCCATTCTCACACTTGGCTGGATGGACGTCACTGGTCCCGACTTCTCACTAGAACTTCGGGAAACTCTGTCCTGTAGCAAGACACTAGTGAGCAGCATCAGATTAATTTTCAATAGTTGCTTTGTAAGGATTAGATTTGTTTTGACGAGAATCGTTTTTTTATCTAATATTTATCAATCCTCTTTTTATAAAAGGTTTGGTTCGTACACCAAGTGGTCGAATTCTCCATCCAAATTTAATTGACAATGGTGATGGTACAGTGACAGCACAATTCCAGCCGAATGAACCTGGATTGCATGAATTAGAAATCACTTACAATGGTCAACCGATACCAGGTAGTCCATTTAGATTTTACGTGGAAGCTGTTGGCTCTGGTGTTGTAACAGCCTATGGACCTGGACTGTCATATGGACGAGCTGGTGAACCGGCGAACTTCACCTTGATAACACGAGATGCTGGTGCAGGTAAGCATATAAGTGAATAGATCAGTTGTTTTTTAAACCATTCAGATATTCAGATAATTGTTTCAGTTAGTGGAACATTTGTAAACAATGAGACAGCATCTAGTGAGATCATCATTTGATTAGAAATATTGACATTTTCTATGCAGTTGACGAATTCAAATGAATCTCGCACTGAGTGACGGGAGACTTGTTTTCTGATTGGTTCAAGTATGTCTGCTAGCCATTGGGCAGTGCGGTGGTTAGGTGAATTAGTCATGTCGAGGATCGGTCGAAGTGGTGTGCCCATCTTGTGAACTTTAGGAAGTCGGTATAGTCTTGGTATATTTGAACCAGATAGTCTCAGGGATTCAAACGTTTCGTTGGTAATGAATGATTCGTTCTTTAGTTTACGGAGGATGTCTGTTAGTTTTTGTTCAATCTGCTCCGTCATGTTTTTCTCGTTGGCTGGTTTGGTGAATTTAGATTCATCACATAGAATGGTCAACATTTTACTGATATAATCCTTACGGTTCATGATTACGATTCCTCCACCTTTATCAGGACGTAACAGCATAATCTCTTCATTGTCCATCAATTCTTTCAGCTCTTTGTAGTGTTTCTGCGTTAGTACTGATCTTCCGTTTTGATTGCCATTTATAAATTTGTGGAAAAAGTCTAGGACAGTTGATTTGAATTGTTGTAGGTTCTCATCAGACGTTGGTATCAAGTCATAGGTTTGATTTATCAGGTTTTCAAATTGAACCAGGCATTGAAGCTTGTGAACACTTCGTGGTCTTACGCAGAATTTCGGACCAAGAGATAACACCTCTAGTTGAACTGTGCATAGTGTGATGTTTGAGAGGTTGAATACATACTTTTCTGGATTGCTTGGGAAAGGACGTTCGGTATTAACTGAAGGCTCTAGGCTCTTAAGGAGGTCAGATTTGATGTTGTCACATTGTTTCTCTGTGACTTCTTTTGCATATTCTTCGAAGGGTTGGCGTAGTTCGGGATCTAAGTCTTCGACTACATGAGCACGTGAGTAGACATTTCGTTCTAGCTCAGGAATGCATGATTGAATGGAGTCGATGTTGTTTATCGTGTGTCGTCTCAGCGTTCTGGTGTTCGGATGAATGTGAGTGATTTCCAGTACATCTTTGGTTATTCATGTTGATCTGCACACTCTCTTAAGAAGTTCACCTTAGTCTTCGCTACTGCAAGTTTGACGGAGTAACGTAGGAAACCATCCAGCTCCTTCACCATCAGTGGGTCCTTGCAACGTTTAAGTAACTTGAAAATCCCCATTCAGTCATAAAAGAAAAGAAGGCGTTCAGCGAAGAGACTCTTTTCAGATAATTTTTTATATCTCAAAACATACCTACTTGAGAGCTGTTCCCTGATTTGAAGTTTTTTTGGTTACGATTTCTATCTCATGTGGATGATTTTTATCTGGTTGTGTTCTCTGATCTGAATGGTTTAATTGTGAAGCCTTCATTGTCCTTATCGAGAAGATCTCCAGGGTAAACTTTAATATGAACTTAGCTTCTTTTCACTTCTCCATGGATGATATAATTATATCTTCTGACAAACGTTCCTGTGATTGGTTGTTAATTTGCATCAGTATTGATCGTTTTCTTATTGACTTGAAATTCAACTCCTTTTTTGTCATTTAAAAACTTATTCTTCATACATTTGGTTTCCTTGATAAATTTCGATAAAGAAAGGAAGACGAAGTTTGCAGTATAAAATGATATCATCATTCTATTTCACGGGTTCTCATCAGCTGTACACCCCTACCTGAAATTACAATGGTTATATAGATGATAATAAAATCCTTTAATGTTTAAGTGGTAGTAGAGAAGAAATACTATAAAACTGACGCATCCAAAATGTAAGCATAACAAATTTCGGTTTAAGTTTTCATCATCAATTTATACGCTTTTAAAGTTGAAAAGAGGGGGGAGAGGTAAGACAGAAAACAGGAAAAATTAATTAACAAATAGTGTTAGCCAGTAGGCTCACATAACAACTCAAAAAACAAAAGCGGTTACAGTTTATAAGATTGAGATTTGTTCAGTGAGTTGAGATCACTGAAATAGATAACTAATTAATGTCATCAAAATCAGAATTCAGTTACCAAAGGAGTGAGAGATTAATCACACTCTCTATCTGTATGTATAAGTCTGGTTTGAATCGTTTGATTGCGATCGCTTCGGCAAATCGTAGTAAATTCGCTGTCCTTTGTCTGTTTAATATTTTGAAGGACTTAGAAATCTCTACAAGACATCCGGTGTCAACAATATCTCTGGTAATGGCACTCTAAGAATATTTACTTCCTTTCAGGCACAGGTTTCTTGGAATATGTTCAGAAAACCGGATAGAAGCCCTTCTTTCTGTCCTTCGAATGTACTTGCTCCCACAAGTGAACGTAAATTCATAAACGCATTTGGAGGTGACATCAGCAGGGTATTTCGTCTACATTTTGGATGCGTCAGTTTTATAGTATTTCTCCTCTACTACTGTAACAACAGAAGACAAGGGGCAGGCAACAGATCGTTTATTACGAAAAATCAACACGTACTTATAGATTTTTATGTACATTATTGTAGGTCAATGTTAGTAGAAAATACAGTCTGTTGATTGGTTGTTTCTCACACAAAGTTAACCTTGCATCTCTTGTGGCTGTGTCAGTTCATCTATATGTTAACTGTAACCGCCTGTCCACCTTGACCTTTGACCTCAATTACTGTCAACCAATTTGGCCAGCAACCATCTCTCACCACAACATGACTAATATTTGATACATAACATTGACCTCAACCAATTTGGCTAGTAGACATCTCTCACCACACTACCACTTAAACAATAAAGTATGCTATTATCATCTATATAACCATTGTAATTTCAGGTAGGGGTGTGCAACTGATGAGAACCTGTGAAATAGAATGATAATATCATTTTATACTGCAAATTTCGTCTTCCTTTCTTTATTGAAACTTATTCTTGTTTGATCTATAACGATGTGTCGTCTGTTAATCACCGATAAGTCTGAGTACCAAGCTTCTAGGAGTTTCGAGGACTTCATCATGAATTGACATTGGTTAGAGAAAGATTCAAAAGTCTGGGAGCTGTTTCCTCCGTCCTGGTTTGAGACTCTTCAATAGTACGCACCCACCCAGGACCTAACAGTTACAAGTTTATCTCGTACGCCATTAAGCCGTTAGGGTCCGATCCAGTGGCCAGTCCATAAATTCCAGTTTCTGCCAATTCAATTCCCTGGCATTTTTTGTGTTTCCTAGTCAAACTGATGTCTGTAATTGTCTTCATGCCTACATTGGTATGACAGAATATCTGTCGTATTTTTTGGATGAAACTACCATGTGTAAGGAATGTTTCTGAAATAACAGCTGGAATAGTACAACCATTCAGGATAGACATCTTATACACAAACCAATACAATCACTACATTCAGAATTATACAGAGCAAAAGACCTAACACCTAATAACACCAAATCGACACTATCCACAATATAATTCTCATGAACTGTGGTAAGCACTATATTCATAAAAAGTGGACATCCCCTTCTACTGTAAGTCCAAGAACATAAACCCACTATCAAAAGACACAACATGCATGCCTTCATATCAATATATGTATGTTAGACAGCTATGGACGTCAGTGTGGAAATTTCCAGGAAAGTCCTAGATATCTGACATTTAAACAAATCAAAAACCAACAAACACATTAGTGTACAATAAATTTATCAACTGATAAGGAATAAAATTCAATTGGTGGATGGTGAATAGCAGTGGAGTCCAGGATAACACGCATTTCGTCCTATTCGGGGCTCGAGCCTCGGTGGGAACATCACCACTCACTGAGAAATGCCGGTACATCCACATGACGAGTCCCAAATAGGACGCAATGCGCGTTATCCTGGACTCCACTACTAGTCACCATCCACCAGTTAACTTCTAATTAAATGCCCAGACATCGTCGAAGCATCTGCACAAGAAGCCAACATGTCAACCTGAGACCGAGCACTTCGGTCAAATCAATCGATGGGAAAATCTAAAATTCTATTATGATAAGGAATAAGTTGCTTGACAAAAAGGCAGTCGAAGTCCATGTCAGTGAAAACTGTCAGCAGTGATGCAAATCAGCAGCCAGTTACAACAAAGATTGTCAACAGATACAATTACGTCGCGTCGGTGGCACAGTGGTTAGGACGCTCGCCGACCATGTACATGGTCCAGGGTTCGATCCACTGCCACGCACTCTTTTACCTCGCCAGATCAGTAATAAAAAAACTGGTAAAGAGAAAAGATTGGGCATGAGGTTAGCAATCCTATCCTGTAAAAGGAAAAATTGCTACAGGAACTTCAAGTCTCTAGCTTGAAGCTGTATGTTTCACTAGGAACGTGAAGGAATAAAAAAAAACAATTACGTCAGTCATGGGGAAATCAAATACGTCCACTTCATACGGAAGATATCATCTATAAAGACGATGAAAGCTTCTCAGCTGAGAGAATATAAACACCTGGAAAACTACTTGCACGTGAAGTTTTACTGGTGAGAATCTCCAGGATGATGTTGAAACGTCGGCAAAATTCAACAATAGTGTCTCAAGGGATGCGAATACACGAGTAACCTTGAGCCAACCAATCATAAAAATGAAGAGGTTTTGCACAAAAAATGACGCTTATTTAAAAGAAAATGCATGAATACACACTAGACATGCTATTTTTCTCTGACGCGGCTTAAAAATACGTCCCAGTTGAAATGGGGAGTGTCAGTTTTTAAATTAAAACAATTTCCTTACATATATTCATCCACGTGACTAAAAATAACTTGGTTTTGATAGCATTTTATTGCTCTTATCCTGTTCTCCAGTGTTCTTCAAAAGCCGTCAGTTGAATTACTATGGTTTCCAGTAAGAGAATCGACGACTACTTTCTAGTAAAATGTTGATGATAAAACAAATTAAAATAAATAATACCAAATCTAAATCTATCCCTAATCGTAACTCTAACCTTAATCCTGAACCTAACCCTAACTATAACCCTTATTTTAACCATAATCCTAACCCTAGGGGGAGAGAGTTATTAATCCACCATCCAAACAGTACTTAAAAACTTGTTCAGGGTGAAATTTACACCTGACTTCATGAATAGCGTTCATTTTTGCGCTAGAATAATGGTAGGTGTCTTTAGCCAACGACTAGAATGCGTTCAAGGTCATTGGAGCGTTCGCACTCCTGGGGTGCTATTGTTGAACTTCACCGAAAGGTTTACCAGCTTAAACACTTTAACACACTATATAATTCTTTTTCTCAATGATTAAGTAAATAAAATGATCTTCAAAAATGTATTTTTATTGTAGATCATAGTGAAACAGAAATCCTGATCGGTTCATTCCCGTATATCACTGAATTTCGATTGGATATATACTTACATCCACCATTCTATAAAGGAACACCTAAGCCTTTAGATGATAGTTAGTGTTGTGTGTAAGCGTTATGACTGGTGGATGGCTTTATGTTTTGTTTGTCGTTTTTTTCACAAAAGCACCGCTGATATTACTATGCTCTTGTTGTTGTTGTTTTTGTGCACTGTCCTGATCACTTTTCTTGTTGTTTCAATCACAGATATATCCGTTTTTAGTTTTGATTTTTGTCATTACCCCCTCCCCCCTAACTGTTTGTTTCCTGTTGTGAAAAAGTGGAGATGAAGTCTATTCACCTTAGTTTTACAACACTGTAGAGATGAGTGTCACGTTTAGTTTGCAAATTAATTCATAAGGTGAGATCTCCTCCTTTGGAAACTGGAGTTATTCAGATGTTCATTGATGGTATCGATCGACGGTATCTTTATATTAAAAGTAAGAATTCAGGAGTACATTGAATATCGAACCAGTGACCAAATAGTCAGCTAACTATTTTCATTTCGGTCTCTGGTAGAGTAATGGATGCGCCGGTGGCACAGAGGTAGAATGCTCGCCAGTCACACCTTATGTGGTTCGGGGTTCGATCTCCGGCCACCGACGCACTCCTTCACCACACTAAGCCAGTAATACGACTGGTAAAGAGGGAAGGTTGGGTGTGAGGCTAGCAACCTCATCCTGTAAAAATAAACACCAATGCTGCCGAAACTGCAAAGGTCTAGCTTGAAGTGGCCGTATGTTCCACTGGGAACGTAAAGGAATAAATATATAATAAATAATTTGTTGTACAATAGGTGACTCTTGTAAGTCACTGGGCTAGTGGATAACTTTTAAATGTTTGGAAAGCTGACTGTTGTTTTCTACTCTGAATCAAAGAACTGTATCACTCAGTGAGAAGTCGCCAACTGGACTCGATGCGCACCCTAGATTCCACTGTTAGTCATCACCAAAGAAATGCTATCACACATATTCTGTATCTAATTGAATCTTGTAATTGCGGTCAAAATATTTGCAGGTTACACAGTCAATACATCAGGGACTTCATCTATCAGAAGTTGCTATTAATTAGAGACTTCAATCTTAGAGACTGATCTTATTTGTCACACTGGTTGTAAAATTTTTAAAAAAAAGCAACTATAAAGGATAAATTGATAGCTTTGAAACCAAGAAGAGGCTTTTCTGAAAATTATTTAGTTTGTCTGTGATACAAATGTGAAGTATGCTTCTTAACTTTGCATACGATTATGTAATCGAACATTGGAAATAAACGTCTTACACCATTTTGACCTGATTTAGCTGTCTGTGTTAAGTCGCACTGTGACCACACTTTGATCCGGCTGGCTGACTGGTTGGCGACCACTATTGGTTGGTGTGAATGGAATCCAACCAATCATATCAATCAATCAATCAAACAAACAGTAGCACATAATATCGTGCAAGTATACTTGTTCTCTTGATTTCCTTTATTTGTTTCGTCCAAACTTGTGACTCCTCAGCAATACGCATCAAAGACTTGACTGGGAATCAAGCACAGGATTTTCAGACAAAGAGTCAAGAACATAACTACGCAACTACTGGTCTGGAATCCAACAGCCTGTGGATTTCGGCTTCTTCTGACTCTGTAGGCCCTAACTTCTCCGGATTTTCCGGACTTCCCTGGATGATATGAATTCGTAATTAAATCTAACTTGTGGTCAATCAGATCTATGTAGGTGAACACTTGAAATGTATTTGATAGCTAAACAGCTTCGTTATTTAAAGCAAATCCTTAAGAGAGCAATACTATGACATTAATTCTTGAGCTAACGTGTGTTTAATTTTATTTCAGCTTTTATTTATTTGGTGAAATGTGTCACACACACACACAAAGTTACATAACTATTTTTTCTTTGTCTACTACTGAAATCTTCTGTTTTTGGTGTTGTTGTTTTGTTTTCCCCTAAGGTGGACTATCACTTTCTGTGGAAGGACCATCGAAAGCAGATATTCAATGTGATGATAATAAAAATGGTACCTGTAGTGTAAGTTATTTACCACTGGTACCGGGAGAATATACAATATCGATTAAATTTATGGAGAATCACATACCTGGTTCTCCGTTCACTGCACATATAGCAGGTAAGTAGTGTAGCTTTATACCTATGACACTCCTTAATGAGCTGATTGCCTTTTACGCTAAATGGTCGTCATTATAATAGAAGTTTTTGATGTTGTTGTGTTCTCTGGACTGGATTGTTTAATAACAAAGCTTTTATTGTCCTTATGAATAACACATTTAGCTGTATCTTCAATGTGAATCAAGCTTTGGAAATTCTCTACGAATAAAATACTTGTCTCTCTTGGCGGCTCCCACTGTGATTGATTCACTTACAGTGATGTTAACTCTATTATTGACCTGATATTTGACTTTTCGGTAGTAAGGACTATTTTCGTTATTGACTGATAAGTTTGATCCAAATCTACACATCGGTTAATTTCAAATTGATTTAATGAGTACTAGGCTTCTAGCTGTCCACATGGACAACTGCAGGAGTCACTTCAGCTGAAACAGTCCAGAGAAAACGCGAAGGGCTTCCGAGATTTCGTGGAGATATTCGTTTAGTTTCAGCAGTTTACATTTATTCTCACACTTAACTCATCAATAAATTTGGTCACCAATGAATAGCTCATTGGTAATGTCTCTGACTTCAGCACTAACTAATGTAGGTTCGAATTTCTGAGGGGATCTGAGTTCTGTGGGGATTATAGATTGGTCTTGCTGGCCAACATCAGTAAGCACGAAACCTAGGTTTAAGAATTCCCATCTCCTAAACTAGACTAAACTAGACCTGACCAGCAAGGAGTACTGGACAGCTGTTTTGTCCTAGTTTGCAACCCATCATGCTCACTCACCGCTAGGGTTCAAACCAAGGGTCATCCTGTCATTCAGACACTAGGACCCGAATCTATGGACAGCTCATGAATTCTAACTTCTACGTATTCGTGACTGTAGCGCGTCCACCAGCCAATGTCATTGCTGGTGAGTATTCATCCTCACTGCTGACCAGATGGACCCCACTGGTCACGACTTCTCACTAAAAATAATTTAAATATCCCCCCTGTCCATATTCAGAACAAGGCTAATTTGAGCAGACAATTGTGGTCTCAACAACTTCCTCTTTTCTAAACTCTACAGTTATAAATCCATGAATGGTAGAATACAATAGCACCAGTAAAGGCGAATCAATATTATATTAGAAACTGTGTTGGGTTACCTGGGTTTCCAGTGGGAAGTCGTGACCAGTAGGGTGCAGCAGGTCGGGTGTGAGGACAAATACTCGCCGAAGACATTGGCTAGCTGTAGCGATATGTCGTGAATTGGCAGAAGTTAGAATTCATGGGCCATTGGATCGGGTCCCAGTGGCTGAATGGTATACGAGCCAGCTTGCCTTGTAACCAGAAGGTCCTGGGTTCGAACCCCGGTGGGTGCGTACTGTGAAGAGTCCCGAACTAGGACGAAACAGCTGTCCAGTACTCCCAGGTTTTCCAATGGTTCTCTAACCAATGTCAGCTCATGATGAAATCCTGTAACCAATTATGTCACTTGTTTGTGCATCAGTAGCACAGCGGTTAAGACGCTCGCCAGCCATGCACATGGCCCGGGGTTCGATCCCCGGTCAAAGTATACCTGATATCAATGATCGGCCTGCTAAATTCGGTCTACCGCTTCACATGCTGAAAATTCCATACATATACTAAAATACAGTGTGAAATCAAGCTATAATAAAATAAAATAAATAATATTTATAAGGGCGTGAGTCATATTCACTGGTGTGACAGAAATTATGAATACTAACTTTAGGTATTTTATTCGGTATGCTAAATACCGAATACTCCAGTTAGCAAAAAGACAGAGCAATCTCCTTAAGGAAGCCAGAACATTCTGTAAAAGAGAATTCAGGAGAGCAACCAATATTAATATCCTGGACAGTCTAAGATTCTTAAACACTGCATCACTTCATGCTACTTAGGCATGGCTTTCCATCGTCTATCTTCAGACCCACTCCTATCCTCTATTTATTATTTTACTTGTACCAACAAACTGTTTACTTTCTTAATTTATCCTTGCTTTAAAACCAGGCTGAACGAAGAATATGCGTCTCAATAAATTCTCTACAGGCTCTCACAGTCATAAAGTAACATACTTCTCATGACAACAAAAAACCATTTATGTGGTGGATACATTTTCATGTAGAATAACAGATTAACGACTGGCCCTATTCAGGTAGGTTGTTACCTGGTGTTCTCTGGTGGGAAGTCGTGACCAGTAGGGTAAAGCAAGTCGAAGGTGAGGACAGTTATTCGCCGAAGAAGACATTGGCTACTGGTCGTGTTATTTCGTGAACTGGCAGAAGTTTGAATTCATGGGCTGGCAATTGGATTGGGTCCCAGTGGCCTAAGAGCTAGCTCGCTGGGGTTGTAACCAGAAGGTCGTGGGTTCGTACCCTGGTGGTGGATAAGTACTGAGGAAGAGTCCCAAACTAGGAAGAAACAGTTGGTTGTTCAGTACTCCCTGTTGGTTTCCAATGGTGCTCTAACTGATGTTAACTCATAATCAAATCCTGTAACCAATCAATCAAATCCCTACAGGGTGACAGAATAAGTAGGATTTGTGTGACAAAATGTGCTAGACTGAATTCAGTTAGAAAATATTGAGAAATGCGAGTGGATAAAGATGGTGATTGGTTATAATAGTTATATGCACTGTGTGTAGGGTAAAGAAAAATTGACAAATGAGTTCAAGGTTGTAAAAACTGTCAGATGAGAGTGGCTAGTCGAAAATAATGCGCAGTGAATACAGTTCATCGTGAAATGAGTGAGGGAGAAAATTCGGCAGCAAAAAAATAAGGCTAGAATGAAAAGGCATACATTTTATAACATTGTAACTACAACTGTTAGGACAAAGAGAATAAGAAAGAGGAAGAGAAATAGGAGTAGAGGACATCCTTGAGAGAGAACAAAACAATTCCAACAGTGGTGTGGACACGGGCAGCAATTTTGCTAGAAATAGTACCAATAACAAAACTTATCATTGTGTGTAAACTATTGAAATATACTTTATTTTGGGAAAATAACTTTTAGTTCAAGTTTGTCCACGGTAGGAACAACTCCTGATAGGATTGGTTAATCCCTCTTACACACTGATACACCCACATAACCTTTTACTCAGTTTACTTACCCTGTTCATAAGGAGTATAAATAAAGTTCAATGCGAACACTAATCATAAGCATTCACCGCTACTCTCTCTATATATGTAGATTGTTATTCATGATTATTTACTTTTGAAATTTGGAGTTCATCAGCAAAATGAAACTGTTTCGTCTTAATTTGGGATTCTTCATCAAGGAAGATACTCCTGCGGAGATTTTAACCAGGGTGAGAAAGAAAACTTTCTCCTCTGCACGTCTGTGTCTATCCTTCAGTAGCCGTCCGATGTTCACCCAGCAACTCAAAGATGCCTTACCTAACCTTAGCTCTTCTTCGTGCATATACCATTTCAACTGTTCCTGTGGTCCAAGTTATATAGGGCGCACGATTAGGCAGGTTCGTCTACGAGCTTGGTTCAGCAGGGGGGAAATTAAGTGCATAAAAAGTTCTGTCCTGTCACTTGGTGGATACTGGACATAACATCGACGTCAACACAGCTATTAGGATTATATACCAAATTCAGAAGTCGTTATCAAGTACAGTTCGCTTACGTCTTCTACACATAACTGAAGCTTTTGCAATAAGATAGACTAAACCAGAACTTTGTATCCAAAAAAAGGAACACGTCCAGACGCTGTTCCTACCTTGGCCAAACTTGGATTGATGATTCTTCTTCTCAATAAGAGTGCTTCTTCCCCTTAACCCTCTTGGTTTGTTTTCTTTGCTTATTATTACAATTATTATTATTATTTGTCATAATTTACACCCTTCATGCAAACATTCTTTCAATACTATCGATTTTTCCGTTTATACTATCCGGACTTACTACCAATGATATTATCTCTTTTCTCAAGATATGTCTCCTCCTGTTTCATTTCACACATTGGTTATTTCATGATGAACCTCTCATTGCAGTCTTACCATCTCCTCTTTAACACATACCACTTTGTACTAGCCACTCACCTGACACCTTCTATAACTCCATATTCTATGAATCTATTATGACTAATCACCACTATTGTCTCCCACTAAACAATATTTTGTAATCTATTTCAGCCTAGCACGACGTTTGTCACACAAATACGACTGTTTATTTTGACACCCCATAACTAATCTGATATTCTACGTATAAAATGTATCTTCAGCGAATTTCTTAAAAAAATACCACAATCTAAATACCATAATAATAATAATTTATTTACTTTTACAGGTGAATCGCGTCGATTTAATCAAGTTTGTGTTGGTACAACAAGTGAAATGCCATTACGTATCACTGAAACAGATATTTATAATTTAGTCGCGACAGTTCGTAGTCCGTCTGGTCTGGAACAACCATCTACACTGAAGAGATTACCAAATGGACATTTAGGTAAGTTGATAACTAAATGTCATAAATAAAAGAGATAATTGTCGTCTTGTTCTAATTACGTTAATAAATCTGCACCAAAATATCCAAATAGAGCTTGAAATATCGCTTAGATGGATATCAGGCATCCGAAAGTGTAACATGGTGGAGATGAAAGTTCGTTGGTAGTCGGGATGCAAACTGAAAGTGAAGGTGGATAAGCAGATGCAGTGGAGATGCTTTACTGGGGCGTTGTGTTCCGTATAGAACGTAAGGAATGAACAATAATTGCTTAAGCCAGCCGCACACAACAATGTATAGAAAACAGCTTCAAACTTTGTAAAAAAAATGAAGTTGTGAACACTCTACCAATTACGGAAGAGAATTACAATATGGTGTGTACAGGTGAGAAAAGAATTACAGTCAGTCTCTGATTCATCGACTCTGAAAAGATCTTCGATAGGATTGACCATGGGGCAATTTGGGAACTGCTTTAGCAATATGGAGTGCCCTAAACCTTTAACAACCTTATTCAAAAGCTATATTATGATGCTAAATGATATCAAGTGATTCACAACAAGGCTTCCTACAACTACCGATGGTCTTCCCCGCTGTAGTTGAGGAGAATGAGAAGATGGGTATACTCTGGACATAAGAAAGGATCCTAGAAGATATGAACATCATCTCTGATTCATGCCTCAGAAACTAGGGAATTAACAAGTAAAAACCAAAAAGTTGGCAGGATAATCAATGAAGACAGGACTTCAGATGAACATAAAGAAGGCAGAGGTAATGAAGATGCCTAACTAACAACGACAGTCACAGGCATAAGCCACCATCAGCGGGGAAAAAGTGGTGGAAGTTATCTCTTTCACTGACCTCATCAGCACCGTTTCAACTACAAGCTACAGGGATGAGGACGTTGAAGGTGGGAAGAGAAAACTGAGACAGATGCTCATTACTCTGTAATCGGAGTTCTCAGAAAGCGAGAGAATAGCATTAGAAAAAACAACAAAAAACACAGCTCAGATTCTGTTCATCTGCCTGACATATTCTAGAAGAATTGAATGTTTCTTGTTAACAATCAGTTATTTGGATCAAATTTTTTATATACGAAGCCATACCTCTGAGAGTGGCTAGTTATATTAACTAGTTTCTCAAGTTAAGGTCGATAGATCCGGATTCATACGCAAAATCTATTAGCCGCTAGCTAACTATCGAAGCCAATGACTCGAATCTCCACTCTAGTCACCTATTTGATGTAACTGGTAACATATAAATCAAATTCTGATCCTCACTAGCGACTGGCCTATTCATTTAGAAAGTCGTGACCACTAGGGTACAGCAGATTGAATGTGAGGATATTTACTCATCGAAAAAGACACTCGTTAATGGTCGTGCAATATCGTGAATTGGCAGAAGTTGGAATTCACGTACTGGCCGTTGGATCGAGTCCCAGTGGCTTAATTGTCTGAGAACTCGCTAGCCTTGTAACCAGAAGGTCTTGGGTTCAAACCTCCTGTGGTGGGTGCTTACTGTTGAAGAGTCCCAAACTAGGACGAAATAGCTGTCCATTACTCCCTGTTGGTTTTCCAGTGATTCTCTAAATGATGTCAGATCATGATGAAATCCTCCATCCAATCAAACAAAATTCCTACAAAACCAATACTTGAAAAAACATTTCAACATGGTTCCCATTGGAAATAGTAAAATATTCTAGTAACATTATGTAACCCACTTGATACTATAAATAGCAATTAAGAAAAATAAACATAATAGAAAAATGATTGACATGAACAAATGGAAGCCATCCTGTGTGAGTTGATTGTTGTTCATCATGCATAAAAAGTAAATATACTATTTATTAAGCTGGTATTTAGTTCATTTATGCTAAATTAAGGTATAGTGAAATTTTAGACATTCATGTCTAAGAGCATTCAGAAATAATCTCAGAAATCTCAGAGAAGACAATCCAGTGAAGAAAATTCTCTTTTTATTGATGACATCATCTTCAAAGTCACCGTACAACTAACTGTATTGATATTTATTATTGAACAATAGGGGGATGTATGACTCAAAAGTAGTTTCTAAAGGTAATAATTTGCGTAATCAATTATTTTTAAAGGTATTTGATTTATATCCGGTTTGATCATGGATTGATATCAGTAAGAGAACCATTGAAAACTAACAAGGACGAGGTTGCCTGGAGTTCTAAGGAGAAGTCAGGAGCAGTCGGATCTACCTGGTTTGGATTGAGAAAGTGCTAAAATCGCAAATTGCTATCAGCTAGAATTTATGAGCTGGCCATTGAGTCGGTACCCAGTATCTAAATGACCTACGAGTTTGTACTGTAACCAGAAGGTCCCAGGTTCGAACCCTAGCGGTGGGTGCGTACTGTCAGTGAATTGCAAACTAGGATGGAAAAGCTGTCCAGTATTCCTTGTTGGTTTTCAATGCTTCTCCAGCTGATATCAGTTAACACAGCCTGCTTCAATAAGCTAATCTCCCAGACTTCTTCACTTTGCCCACACTGTGTGCTCCAATTAATTCGAAGACTAGCTGAGCGAATTCTTTACTAGTTATCATAATAAGTGTGTTGCTGGCGCTTCATGTGGTTCGGGGTTCGACCTCCGGCCACCGACTCACTCCTTTACCTCGCTAAGCCAGTAATAAGACTGGTAAAGAGGAAAGGTTGGGCATGAGGTTAGCAACCCCATCCTGTAAATATAAAACCTCTTATCTAGGGAGCATTGTCTGAACTACAGGAGAAACGGACGAGGATGTCAAATCGAGAATCGGGAAGGCAGACGAGAAACACATTCATCAACCTGAAACCAATCTGGAAATCTTCTTCACTCAACATCAACAACAAAATTCGGATTTTCAATACAAACGTCAAATCAGTTCTTCTTCTATACGGATCAGAAACTTGGCCAGTGTGTCACAAAGAATATTTCCATCAGCCTGTTGTAGACCTTTATCAACAGCTGTCTTCGTTGCTCTATACTGAAGATCAGATGGCCGGAAAGAATCACCAACAAGAAACTATAGGAACAAACAAAACAAGAACCAATCGCCCAATAAATATGCAGTAGAAGGTGGAGATGGATCGGACACTCACTGAGGAGGCCGTTGGGTGACATCGCGCGTCAGTCCAGTGCTCGAGTGGAACCTGAAAGGGAAGCGGCGAGTGGGACTTTCAAGGGTGACATGGAGGAGATCGTGTGAAGAGGAGTTGAAACAGTATGGATTAACATGGATGCAGGTGAAAAGTACAGCAGAAGACAGAAGCAAGTGGAGACGTACAGTTGAAGCCCTATGTTCCACTAGGAACCCAAGGAACAATAATAATAATACTGAAACTTCAAGCCTCTAGCTTGAAGTGGCCCTATGTTCCACCGGAAACGGAAAGGAATAAATAAAAAGCAGTGATGATAAAATATATGTTCCTTGCTGGAATTCATAATCTCGAGTCATATGTTGAATAATTCTATATGACATATTCGATCTTAATGACTACAGGCGGTTTACTTAAATTAATGGAACCATTCGCCAATAATTCTACGGACTAATAACTAATATCCGTTGGACAAAAGATGGATTTCAAGAGAGCAGTGATCTAGTCGATAACGCTTTCGGTTTTTGAAAGCATGCGTAAGTGTGTGTGTTCTGGATTTGAGTCTCAGTGCTAGGAGCACCATCACTCTCTAGAGATGCAATCGTATTCAGCTGACGAGTTCTAAACCAGGCAGAAGCGTGCAGATCCTGAATCCAACTGCTTATCACTATCAACCAAAATACCATCAAGGTAGTCACTGGACATCGTGTAGACATCCGTACTAGGAGCTGACACATCAACAACAGTAATAGAGTATTTCGACCCAACACTATCAACTGACGAGAAACCTAAACTAACCTAAAAACCAGAGGCTCCCTAATGGGCAGAGCGTTAGTTTTCAAAAAGGATGTACGTGTTGAATTCGGGTCTCATTGTGTATTCAGGCACGTACAGTTGATGATTCTCAAATAGGACAAAATGTGCGTGGTAAATTCCACTGCTAGTCACCATTTATCAAACAATAATTCAGAGAAATTGACAACTTAATAATTTATCAATCACTTCTGTTCTCACCACTTTGAGCTATTACTTGAGCAGTATTCACTTGCTTTCAACATAGATAACTAACATTTTGAATGAAAAGTAGTTCCTTTCAAAGCTTACAACCATTAAACTAGTATTGATGAAGAAAATCGATTTGGGGGTCCCTATATGTGTGCATCAGTGACAGAGCGGTTAGGACTCTCACCGATCATGCACATAGTCCGGGGTTCGATCCCCTGCCGACGCACACCTGATATCAATGGTCGAGCTTCCGACATCACATGCTCAAAATTCAATACTTGTACCAAAAATACTGTGTGAAATGAAGCTATAATCAAAACAAAATACAAATAAAATGGATTGAACACCTTCTGAGGAGACAGTTGAATAACATCACTCTTTTGGGTTGACCCTAGACTAGAGGAAATCTCTTATGAGGAGGAGGAATCGAAAGCTGATGGACAATTGTTGAGCAAGATGCTAAAGTCTTAAGTTCTACTCAGTACAGTCTGTACAGTGATAAACCATCCAGCTCAGAGGACAACGCACACACACACCAACAACGACATCGATAAGAGACACTTAAGAATGTTGCAAATTATAGTTGTAAAGGGTGGAATAGTGTAATTTTGAAAATGTTAAGTAAAAGGAGCAATACTGTTAACAGCTGAATTTTTACTTATTTTCCTAAAGAGACCCTTTAACTGAAGCATTCTTCATTCTACTTTTCTGGATTTCTTTTCATATACTACAATTTTACGCTTAAATGACAGTTTTAAGGAGTAGTACTAGTCATCTTAAGGGAATTCATTCAAGATTTTTATTCCGACAGATTTAAAAAACGCAATCGATAAATTCCACTTTAAACCACTTTTTCCCGCCATCACATTTTGTTTCAATTATAACAAAGTTGTTCAATGTCCAATAGTTGTAAATTGAGGAAGAAGAGAAGGAGAAAGAAATCAATTTCCAAATTTATATTTAGATCCTATACTTTTAGTGATTAAGGTACTTAGCCCTAGCTTCTATGTTAATGGTAGAGCGAAAATTGGAAAGTAGTAGGAAGTTACTAAAAAGCGAAAAAGTAATTCATATATAATGTATGAATTACTTAAGAATTAAGAATAACCGTGATAAATGTTTTATAAATAGGAGAAGAACACAGACCGGCGGAGAAAAAACTCAGTGGAGAATAGCTTCATCTTTAGTTAAGGTTAAAAGAGATTAGATTTATTGCTTGCCGCATACCGAAATCCATTAAGTATAGATTTTGGGAATTGAAAAAATACACTCACTACTCATAATGCAAGTAGTAGTAGTATGAAGCAGCCGCCTATTAATGTGAAAGCTTTTAGTTATTTGTTTGTAGTACTTGTAAGAATAAAACAAGTGGTTTATTGTAATGTGATGATGTGTGCTACTGATGTGACTTTTTAAGTAGTACATAAAGGAATTCAGGTAATGAACCATTCTAGGGAGTTGTTACCCAACGAATTTGTTAAAGCGAATGGAGATGGATGGATGAATCCTCATCCCTGTTGCCCATCTGTAGTTGAAATAGTCATGTAGGTGAAACAGATAAAGTTCTCTAGATTCTTACTGCTGCCGCTGATAATTACTGCTCGTTCTTGACGTTCGTCAGGCATTTGTATCACCTCTTTCTTCTCTATAGTCACCAGAAGTTCTGTATTCTGCTGCTTTCTTATCAACTTATTAGTTTCCACCCGTGAATCTAAGATTCGTGAAGTTCAGATATTCTAGAACCTTTTTATCAGTTCAAAGTATGCCTATTTCCTCACTCCCCATGGTCTGAACATGAGCCAGTTCACCAAAGCGCTTAAAGGTCATCGTCATCAGGCAGTACTGCCAGACAGCTGTTTCCTCCGTCCTAGTTTGGGACTCTTCAACAGCACCCACCCACCACAAAAGCTTCTAACCCACGACCTTCTAGTTAGAAGTCCAGCGAGCTAGCTCGCAGACCAGTAAGCTACTGGGACACGATCCAATGGCCAGTCCATTAATTCTAACTTCTGCCAATTCACGACATAGCGCGACCACTTCTTAGTGTATTCTTCGGTGAGTGTGTTCTCACATTAAACCTGCTGTACACTAGTGGTCACGACTTCCGACCAGAACCCCAGGTAACTACTTACCTGAACAGGGAAAGTCGCTAGTGAGCATCAGAATTTGATTTATGTCTTACCAACCAACATCAAATAGGTGACTAGAGTGGAGACTCGAGTCATTGGCTTCGATGGTCGGCTTTCAGTTAATAGATTTCGCGTATGGATCCCAATCTGTCTACCTTAACTTGGGAAACTAGTTAGTATAACTAGCCACTCTCAGACGCATGGCTGTGTATATGGAAAATTTGATCAGGAGAACAGACTGCTAACAAGAAACATTCAGTTCTTCTTCTTCTTGTTGGTATTCGCTTGTTTATCTTCTATTTTCTGAGGCATGGAACAATAATCACAGACGAAGTTTATGCCTTCTAGGGTTCTTCCTTAAGTTCACCGTGTACCCATCTTCTCACTCTCCTCTGTTTTTTCTCGCATGATCCGATCCATTACAGCGAGGAATGTCATCGGTAATGGTAGGAAGTCTTGTCTTACTCCTTATGTGAGCTTAAGTGAACATTCTACTATAATGTGAAACCAACTGCTTCAATTTTTCCGACATATTTTAATAACTGCATGAAGGATTTCATCATGAGCTGACATCAGTTAAAGAACCACTGGAAAACCTGGGATTACTGGACAGCTGTTTCGTCCTAGTTTGGGACTCTTCATCAGTACGCGCCCACCGGGATTCGAACCCAGGACCTTCTGGTTACAAGGCGAGCTCGTAGACCATTTAGCCACTGAGACCCAATCCAATGGGCCTTGAATTATAACTTGTGCCAATTCACGACATAGCGCGACCATTTCGCAATGTCTTCTTAGATGAGTTACTGCCTCATCTTCAACCTGTACCCTAAACCATACTTTTTCCTCTTTGGATTACTTGTTTTAACTTTTTTTTAAATAGGCATTTCATTTACTCCACATGAAATTGGTGAACATTTTGTCAATGTATTTCGTAATGGGAGACATATTGCCAATAGTCCATTTAAAATTTATGTTGGTGAAAGTGAAATTGGTAATGCATCAAAAGTTCGAATCTATGGTACTGGTCTACGTGAAGGTATGGCGAATCAAAATTGTCAATTCACTGTAGATACAAGAAATGCTGGTAAGTTTAAGCTTTCTTTTTGTGTGGAACATATTGTTCAAGGATATTATTGTTTTATTTAAGAACTCCTTTAGATACTTAGAATTTACAAATTACACCGTTTTTGGGGTGAAAATTCACTTAATACACCATATTTCACAATCTAGAAAGCAAGCATAATTTTATGTTAGTGTATTTGACCGATTGACGCCAAGTTAAACTTTAAGCACAACTAACTAACTACCAGTGGAGGGTAACCGCATCAGTGACCTTGAAATGCTCACTCAGCAAGTTAGTGAAACCTGACAAATAATGTTGTCATCATCAATACAATATGCTCACCAAAGTGTTGTGCTCTTAAATGGGATATCTGGCAAGTTTCTGCTTTGGTTTCAGAAAGATTAAGTTACGGTTTAAGCAAAGGACAAGGTTAGGGTTAGGTTAACCTAATAGAGGGCGATATTAGGGTCGGTTCGAGTTAGATTACAGTTAGTTTAGGGATATTTTCACGTTAGGGTTAGGTTCAGGGAAGATTAGGGTTGTTAGGGTTAGAAGACCTAAATAACTATATGCAAAGAATGTGGTGATAGAGTATAATTCCATTTTGGGTAAAATTTATTTTGATAAAGTCTCGCAGCGTTATACAGTAATATTTACTGATGACAAAGTTTCGAGCACAGTTTATTGCTCAGTAAATATTACTGTATAGCACTATTAGACTTAATCAAAATAAATCCTACCCACAATTGAATTATCCTCTGTTGATATTCAAACCTAAAACTGAGAGCTATTTTTACCACATGTGAGAGGAAGGTATCCTGTGTAGTACTTTTCTACAGGTTTCATGCATTTTTTCCCCATAAATATAAATATTCCATACACAAAAATGCCTCCTTCACGTGACTGGTGCGTTCCAGGTCATTTGCTGATTGGTAGTTAGTGGTGCTTAAATTTTAACTTTGCCCCAACTGATATGCGTAGTGGGGAACCATACTGACGTGATCTTAACACCGGACAGTTGTTTCACTCGTTTCAGGGGGAACTTACTTACCCACAGTGTAGGCAGTTTGATTCAGCCTATAGAGTCAAAAGAGTTCTAATCATTCGAATTCTGGCTAGCTGTTTGAGCGGGCTGGCAGCGCATAGAACACAATAAGCTATTAAAGAATTACACTTTTCGGAAGGAAAATTTGTCATGGTTTCTTTTGGTACCTCAAAATAATCAGATTTACGACCTACGATGAATGGCAACCAACAAAGCAAGTATAATGTCATGTTAGCCTGTCCTGCTGATTAAAATGTGTGGTTGGAAACAATTCACATCAGGCAACAGAACTTGCTAGCCAGATCAAAATGATCTGAACATGGAAAGCTCGTTTGCAGATGAGCTCATCCCTTGGTGTGTCTGGCTTGAGTCAACTCAGAAAGGTGGATCTGTTCTAACCATTCTAATACCAGCTAGCTACATAGGAGAAACTGGTAATATAAATAATCAAATAAGCAACTTGGTGAGAATTCACTGTGATGTACTCAGAGAACCCAAAAATATACAGAGTACAATGAATATAGTCCGCTTGACACATCGATCTAACTAGCAAGCAGTACTTATTGACATAAATGCTATCCAACTACTTATATCTGTTAATCAGTAGTATACATTGTCATAATGAAGAAATTAAGTAGTAATTGAAACTGGATCTAAAGCGTAGGTCACAGTAGACTTCAGACTTATTGTCTCAATGTAAGCTTTCAAGCCGAACAGACGGTTACTCCAAGATCACTTTTCTTTTATCCTGTTGTAACCAAGATTCGTATTGCATTAATACTAATGAAATTGAAGTCTTGCGTATTACAGCCATCAAGATAGTATGACAGTCGATTCCAGTTAGCAGCTTTTCTCATTTCCAGTCACATCAGCTTGTTGTATACATCCAGCGTATATTGAAGTGATTTGTTTAGGCCACTTGTTAATTTCATGAGTAACTAACAGTTTTAATAGATCTCTTCTCTTTTTTTGATGTGGTTGTGTTCTCTAAGCTGGATGGTTAATTTGCGAAGCTTTCATCGCCCTACTAGGCAATATCTTCAGCGGATACTTCAATTCAAAGAAGTGAGCTTCAGATCTCTCCACGAGTTTATTAGTCACCATCTCTCCTGGCGGGTGACCTTGAACGTGATTGGTTGTTTTTTGTGTTTCTTCACACCTTCTGGGCTACTTGTATTGGAACTGATTGCTTATATCACTTGAACTTTGACCGTTTGTGTGTGAGGTTTATTTCGTATCGGTTGATAAATTTTGTTTATCTCGATGTGTCTATTGATTGTTGATTCACTGGAATAACAAGCAGGTTTCTACGAATTCTCTAGGATTCTTGGTGTTTCCTCTGTCTAATATTTGAACACTGGTTGTCCGAGTCGAATTGATGTCCGTGGTTGTCTGTATGTAGTGATATGAGCGAGGCAGTGGATGTCATGTCTTTTGACGGCTAGCTTATGATCATGGATAGGAAAACGAAGACGGGGACGTCCACTTTAGCCAATGTAGTGTTTTTCGCAGTTGTTACAATTTATTTTGTAGATGATATTGGTTTTATCTTCTTTCGTTGTTGAGTATTTTGTTTGACATGGAGCAAGCTGAGTGAAGTGATTTTGTTGTATTATGTGCGACGTCAATTCGTTAAGGTTTGAAGAGTCTTGCGGTGATTTCTGAGATGGCCTTTATATATGTTAGGGCGACTTTCTTCGTGCTTTCCTTGTGGGCTTCTGATTTGTTGGGTTGGCTTGGGAGTATATGTCTTTTGATGAAGTTCCGTGCATATCCATTCTTTTGGAAGACGTCCATGAGATATCTTTCTTCAGGGGGAAACAACAAGAATGCTAGAGAATTCGTAGAAACCTGCTTGTTATTCCAGTGAATCAACAATCAATAGACACATCGAGATAAACAAAATTTATCAACCGATACGAAATAAACCTCACACACAAACGGTCAAAGTTCAAGTGATATAAGCAATCAGTTCCAATACAAGTAGCCCAGAAGGTGTGAAGAAACACAAAAAACAACCAATCACGTTCAAGGTCACCCGCCAGGAGAGATGGTGACTAATAAACTCGTGGAGAGATCTGAAGCTCACTTCTTTGAATTGAAGTATCCGCTGAAGATATTGCCTAGTAGGGCGATGAAAGCTTCGCAAATTAACCATCCAGCTTAGAGAACACAACCACATCAAAATCACCCACCTGAGCTACAAATCTTCTCCATCATATTTAAATCTTTTCTCTTGATTGATGGGTGGTATTGTTCAGCAATGGAGCTGTTGCAAACTATTTTATTCATCGTCTTCAGATCAGATACGGGGACTCTAGCGTCACCTTATTCTGTCACTTTAGGTTTGCAATGTATTTATTATCAAGCTAAGTGAGTCGCTACCGAGACGGATCGTTGCAAGCAATCCGGAGGGAACCCTACTTAACCTAGACTTTGTGTTTGTTAGCAGTCATTAACAACGAATAGCTAAAGTCTCGAAGGAATTGATATCTTCAGGAAAATTAAAAGTTATATCACTTAGCGCTGAGTTCAGAGATGATAACACTGAACTATTTGACCTCCTGTAGGGCTACTGTAAAGAATAAACTGAATATAAAAGACCAATTCGGCGAAGAAAATTTTCTTTGTCGGAGAAATCATCTTCAGAGGCTGGCTGTACTGTTGTATTTATATTTGCTAAAAATGTATAGTACTCTATTATTAAGTAATAGGGGTGGGTGATATAACTGATATAATTACTCAGAAGTGGCTTTAGAAGTAAAAAAAATAAAAGTTGTAAATTACGTAGTACTCAATGGCACAAAGATAGAAATTTGATAAGGTCAAAGTTACTATTGAGTGAGAATAAAGGTATTTGAGTGTCAATTTAACAAGTGTGAAGACGGTGTGAAAATATACAAAAGGAACATATGACAGTGATAATAGGGAATTAATTATTAAAGTTAAAGCAAACTAAAAGATAAATTAGAAATTTAGAAAAATTAAAATGTTTTTACAGAGAAAGACTAGTGAAGAGGTTAAGACCAAGGTAGAATAAGAGACTGGACAAACTTTTTCTGTAAACAGATTTCGGGATTGCATCGACGAATCGCCAGCGCCTCCGCCAAACACAAAAGTCGAAACCTGACACCCTTTGTACCATTTCGCCTCACCTTGTAGATGATCTTGAAAGACGACTCTGGTGGAGTGTACATTTCATCCTAGGGGCTAATATTCCATTGTAACTCTATGCAATATTTTTCTTTTTTCTAGGTTATGGCGGTTTAAATCTATCCATTGAAGGTCCTAGCAAGGCTGATATTGAATGTCATGATAATCAAGATGGTACATGTCTCGTCACCTATCGACCAACAGAGCCTGGAACATATATTATCAATGTTAAGTATGCTGATCAACCAGTCCCGGGAAGTCCTTTTGTTGTTCATATCGGTGGAGAACCTTCGCTTAGAATGATGGAAAGAATCACTCGACAAAGGGAACTTGCTGATGCAACTTATGTTGGTAGTCAGTGTGAATTGAATTTAAAAATTCCAGGTAGGTTGAAATTTGTTTCCAATGTTGTTAAGTGTGGATTATTATTGTCTTTATGGAATATTTTTTGTAGTTTATCTAATGAGCCAAACACACTATAAGTCGGCTAATGTCAATGTGTAGCTGCTTAAACTGCTTAAACTCGAACCCTGAGTCTACTGAATAAAAGTTGAGTTGTTAAACCAATAAGACTCACCGTCACCTAACAAATGACGTTATAAATAAACTTTCAACCTTTTCTACATTTTTAGTATTCATTATAATTGATATTGGGCTACTGAAGATAGCTGTTAGAAATATTTTTACTTGGACTCGTGTTTCTTAATTCATTTTATGAACAAAGAGATCTATTTTTCATAAATTCATTTCAAAGCTGTACAGTGCCAACGTGACTGATAAAAATTCAGTCTGCACCAAACAAAGGACTGAACACACACATTACACTAGTTACTAACTAGTGTGCCATCAAAAAGGTACCTAATACAGTCCTACAGGAGGTGAATGACGAGCCCGAATAGCTCAGTGGTAGCGACTCTGACTTCACTACTCACTGGGTGACGCGGGTTTGAATCTCAGAAGGGACATGACTTCCATCAAGGTGGTTGTAGATACGTCCTGCTGACTGATGAGTGCCAACTAGCACGAAACCTAGGTTCAAGGCTTCCTGCCGAATGCCTCCAACCACCTAATATTATCGAATCAATGTGCACTGTGATCGCGAGCCACCTAGTGATGCGGTGGCCACATTGCAAACCTGACTGATAGAATTCAGTCTGCACCAAAGAAAGGACTAGACACATAACAATAGTTACTAGTGTCCAATCAAAATAAAAGATCAATACTATTTACAAAATAAAGTACATGAAATGCGAAAAGCACTATATTGATTAAAGTGGACGAAACCTACTACTCTGTATCGAAGAACTAGTTGTCCAAAAACAAGACGTGTATCAACTGGGGAAACGTAGAAATTTCAAATAATGGAAAAACCGAAAATATCAGGGAATTCCTAGATTCCTGATACTTCAACGAATCTGCTATCAACGGACACATTATTATAGATCAGATTCATTAACTGATAGGGAATAAGTCGCATGACAGAAAAGTCAAATTCCATGTCAATTAAATAACTTATACACATACAAATTAACAATTAATTACGACGGAGATTATCAGGAGAGACAATTATATCATTCAAGAAGTATTCAAATGGGTTCAGTCTAAAGCTTAAAAATTACATCAAACAACTCAGAGAACCAATTCATACCGAATTCATCTACCTGAGTTACAAATCTTCTCTGCTACTATTTTGTTTTTACGAGTTTGACCACGTATTGATATCAGTTAGAGAACCATTGAAAACCTGGGAGTACTGTCAGACAGCTGTTTCATCCTAGTTTGGGAATCATCGACAGTACCCACCCACCATTCGGGTTTGAACCAAGGACCTTCTGTCTACAAGTCAAGCTAGCTCGTAAACCATTTAGCCACCGGGACCCAATTCAATGGCCAGCCCATGAATTCTAACTTCTACCAATTCGTGATTTAGTGTGAGCACCAAACAATGTCATCGGTGGGAAATCCATCCTCACTTCCGACTGGATGGACCCCACTGGTCACGAACGACTTTCCACTAGATTCCCAAACTAGAATGAAACAGCTCTCCAGTACACCCTTGTTTTCAGTGATTCTCTAACTGATATCAATCAGTGGGCAAACTCGTAAAAACAAATCTAATCCTTACAAGTCAACTTTTGAAAACTTGTTTCTTTGTCTACAAGTTATACATGAAGTCAGTAAGAATGTTGTTCACCTCTGAAAATAGTTTATTCTCAATGATTTTCGGAAATGATTTTACTTACCGTAAATATTCTCACTAATATTTAGCTGCGTGCTATTCTGCTTCTAATTCGATATAATCAGGTTTGTCAGGAGAAGACTTAGTTGAGCAGCTTGGGTAGTGATAAACGCACAGTTAAGGATGAATTATTCAGACAGCAGCTGGGTTGATTGAGGTCAGGTCTCTTAGCTTTCCTGATGGAGTGTTGGATGGTGCTTCGAATCTCCACCACGATTCAGACGGTCATTTCCCCACCTTCAGTAATCATCCAGTCACTACTCTTAGATACTCTCACCATTAATTAATCTATAAATATGATTTATTAGAACTTCCAGTGATAAGAAAATCAGCTGGCTTTGCGGTCTGTTTTAACGGATTTTATATTTATTATTATTACTCCCATGAGTTTCAAGAGGAGTATAGGACTTCAACACCAAGTCCCCATTTCGTCCTATTCTCTCTAATCCTCCGTGATTGCCTATAGACTTCTTTCTCGTCCTTACACGATCTCCCCGATGTTGCCCTCAGACTCCGAACTCGTTTCTCCCCGCGAGGGGGGTGTTCCACTTAAATGCGCTAGCCTGTCGCACGATGTCATCCACAGGTCTACTCAGTATGTGTCCGATCTATCCTCACTTTCTCTGGCATATTTGTTGACCGATAAGTTCTTGATTAGTTAGTTCCCAGAGGTTTTTTGATTGCTAATACATTTTTGGCCATCCGTTCTTCAGTAAGGAGTCAGTGAAGGCAGCTGTTAATAATAATAATAATTTGCTTTATTCCAAAATGGTACTTGTGATACAGAATGGAATTCTCAGCATTTTTACTACAGTATTGCATCCAGTTTGTTCACTGTCAATAAATAGAATTCTATATAGATTATGGGTACTCTCAGTTAATTTTGACAACAACATATTGGCATATCGGTAGCAAAGCCAAAAGTGAACAGAATGTTTGAAGGTGTTAAAAAAGTAGATACTACCATATTTACTGGCGTAAGCGGTAACAAAGGGTCGAGATATATAGAGTATGAAAGAACGAACAAGAATGTTTTAAGTAGAGTTTGTAAGGAAGAGAGAAACAAAGCTGCACATAACAGGAAAAAAAGAAAAGGAAAAGAAAGAAAGAAAACGTTGTACCTATAAATGATATAAGTTGGAAAGACGAGATCCAGTTGTTCTACTGACTATTTAATAAGTTATAGGTTTCACGCCTAATGCTTTCATTATCGCACAGAACAGTCTACAGCTGGCTGTTGGAAATCCTTTTCGTGACTCTGTCACGCCAAGTTTCTGACCCATATTAGAAGAAGTGGTTCTTTCTTAATCTGGGTATGTTATATATATATATATATATATATATATATATATATATATATATAATCATGCCTAGTCTTAAACATCTATCAGCGGATCTGATAACACTCCCAATGACAACTAGCAAAGAAAATTAGTCTGTCGCCTAACAAAAAGGATTTTAGACACTGATTATGGCCGTTGATAATATTTTACAAAAGGAAATGATATCAGTCTTTATTTCCTCCGTATAAATAAATGGGACATCAACAGACTACAACCTCTAGGATGATGGCATCGTCTAAAGATAACATTCATTTTATTTTTATCATTAATATTGTTATATAAACAGTTTTTAGCTAAATCGCACTTTTATATTTAGACTTTTGCATTTCTGATGGAGATAATTAAACTTTACAGTTTAAAATAACCTTTAAATATTCCCATTTTTAATATTAGAACCAAGACATATAAGCTAACAATATTGTTTCCAATTAGATCTTCTTTAGGCTTTACTCTAATTTACTATTTTAACCAATGACGGTGATTTTGTGGATCAAATAATGATAATAGTAATAATGATAATAATAATAATGTGGTAAATATTTTGTATATGTAGACAATTCAGTAAATAAATTAGGTCAAATCTTAAAAGTTACGTAGTACTAAAGGTGGTGAAGTGGACAGATAATCAGAGTTTAAATAAACATCACAAAAGTACGAAGGAGATGGAAAATAAGGAAGTGTGGGAGGGTTTTGATCAGAATTCACCTAGGCCAAGGGAGAGACAAAGGTAGAACAAACGTCTTTGGTCGTATGCAAAGGCGGGTTCCAATCCCATTCGAAAGGCTCAGTGGAATGCGATAGATAACTTTGAAGGCCCTACTTCTTTCCACTTGGTGACCGCCATCAATCAAATGAGCCAAAATAGAACTTCTTATAAATTTTATTTGGTCTTTCCCGAACCACGAAGGAAGATGCTCATTAATGCGTTTGTTAAGCTGTCTAGTCGTTCGAACCCGCTTTTTTACACATAGCCGGAGCTATGGGAATTCGAGAGAACACTCCTAGTCTTTGCATACGACAAAAGAAGTTTCTTCTACCTTTGTCTCTCCCTTGCTTAGCCTAGGGGGTAAATTCTAATCAAAACCCTCCCACCCTTTCTTATTTTCCATTTCCTTCGTACTTTTATGATATTTATTTAAACTCTGATTATCTGTCCACTTCACCACCTTTAGTATTACGTAACTTTTAAGATTTGATCTAATTTATTTATTGAATTGTCTACATATATACTCATATTACTACCTTTGTTATTCTTATCGCCAACTACATTAAAATTATTATCAATATTTTGTTATCAATATAATCATCGTTATTAATGACGTTCATTATTATTATCATTAGTATTTGATCCACAAAATCACCGTCATTTGTTAAAATTTTTGTATATAAATCTATGTAAATTAGAGTAAAGCCCACAGATGATCTAATTGAAAACAACAATACTGTTCGCCTATATGTCTTGTTCTAATTTAAAAGAAGTATTATAGGCTGTTCAAATGCGTCCGTGGCTCAGTAATAGAACATTGGTCAGCCACGACAAGTGGTTTGGATTGTATTCTCAGCCACTGATGTACTCTTGCACTTCGCCTAGTTTATTTGCTAGTCGATAGTAAGCCAAGAGAGGGACAGAAAGAGAGAGAAGGGGGGGGGAAGGTTCGTGACCTGGGTCTGGCAGTTTAAGTCTGTGAAAATACCACCGCCATCTACGCCACTGAAACTTCAAATCTAGAAGCCCTTTGGTTTCACACAAAAGGCACCTTCATTGTAATGATAAAGGTTGTTTCACCAGCCTTCTGATGAGATCTTTTTGATATGTATTGATTTTCACTGAGATGCAGTACACATTTCGTTACGAATATATAAACAATGCTCCCACCATTGATTGAATCCAGAATGCTCAGGTTAGTAGACGGAATGTAATGTTTAGGGAATTCCAACTTCTGTTATTTTTCACTATAGCAGCATCGCCTAGTTGCTGAGTGCTCCACTGGCTCCCTCTGCAGCCTAAAGGTTTTCAGTTCAGTCACTCGTTGCTTCTAGGACTGACTTAAAACACTCACACAGAGCATGATTCGGTCAGGACTCATCAGCTGTATGTATCTTCACTCTACCACCCAGTGAGGAAGTGATGGTGTTTCCATTGGCACTCGGACCGAGTACCTATCATTTCAAACGCCACACTGACTGAGAATTTTAGTCTAACATTATCAACCAATAAGAAGCAAAGATTTACCCCAGAAACAAATAATGACACGCAAACTAATGTCCTATTTTCCTTGTACAGTCATTTCTATTTCCCTTTTCTTCTTCTTTATTTTTATACAATACAGGAATAAATATTCGTGATTTAACAGCGAATGTCACCAGTCCATCAGGAGTAACTCAAAGATGTGATGTACTAGCTACAGACGATGTGAACTATACTATCAAATTTGTACCTCAAGAAATGGGTGTGCACACTGTTTCAGTACGTCATCGTGGATCACACATCTCTGGTGAGTAAATTTTTTTCTAAAAATCAATTAGAACATCACAAAACGTCTGCCTAGATTGAATATGCACATAAAACCACTCATTCTTCTCATCTCTCCTTGTATTTAGGAAGTCCATTCCAGTTTACTGTTGGTCCTATCACAGAAGGTGGAGCGCATAAAGTACACGCTGCTGGTCCAGGATTACAACATGGTTTAACTTATTCACCGAATGATTTTAGTATTTATACTAGAGAAGCAGGTGCAGGCGGTTTGTCAATTGCTATAGAAGGACCAAGTAAAGCGGAAATAGATTTTGAGGTTAGTCAATAAGAAAGTTTTCAAATTATGTATATACTACTTGATTTTGTTGAGTAGTAGTTGAAAATCAATCATAATTAATCAGTACTGTTTGTCGCCCAACAACCATTTCTTTTGTTTATAGTCTACCAAATCACTAATGTACACGGGGAGATTCAGCTTGGACATTTCATTCCCTCCAAACCGCTTGAATTCTCGTTAGAAAGAGATAAGGAAGGCTTTGTGTGCTTATGCAAATTTGTGGGCAATTATTATTTCTCTACTACGCATAACGCAGACAGCGAGGGACAGTTGTTCCTAAAAAAAGGAATATTGTTCAGTGGAGGACTTTTTGAAGCAAATATTAAAGTTATTATAATAAAATTGTGTGTAATGACATGATAGAGATGTAGAAGCATTTGAAGCAGAATGATGGTACCAAGATAAATCAATTGAATTGAGTTTTCGAGCGTTGGCTTACAGGTGTCTGATTAGTTTCAAGTTTTGTTATGAGTTGATGTCAATTAGAGAATCAAAGAAAGCCCGGGGTTACTCAAGTATTGGTTTGTAGGGATTTGAATGATTGGTCACAGGATTTCATCATGAGCTGACATTGGTTAGAGAACCATCGGAAAACTAGCTGGGAGTACTGGACAGCTGTTTCAAACCCCGGTGGGTGCGTACTGATGAAGAGTCCCAAACTAGGACGAAACAGCTGTCCAGTACTCCTAGGTGGTTTTCCAATGGTTCTCTAACCAATGTCAGCTAATGATGAAATCCTGTAACCAAAGCCTGGGGGTATTGGACAGTTGTCTCCCATCTTAGGGCTCTTCAAAGGTACTTACACAGGATCCCGCCAAGAAGAGAAACTAAAACCTTCAGATTACAAGGCGAGCTCGTATAACATTCAACCACTGGAAGACAGCTCGAATGAGCATGAGTTGTAAATACATTGAATTCGCGATATGTGGTGATATCACCAATGTCTTCGGTGAGTACTTTTGTTCACACCCGATTCAGTGGAACCCACTGATCACCACTTCTGACTAGAACTCCAATTAACTTCCTGTATAGAGCCAGTCTCTGATGATGATTTATGTTTGATGTCACACAAAATCGAAGGCTTACAAGCGAAAACCGAAAAACTGGTCGAAGAAGCAGCCAGAGAAGACAGGACTCCAGGTGAACATAGACAAGACGGAGGTCATGAAAATAACCGAGTAACAACAACAACTACAGCAGCAGCAACATCCAGCGCCAATCACCATCAACGGGAGGGATTTGAAAGAGGTTACTTCTTTCACTTATCTAGGGAGCATTGTCTCAACCACAGGAGGAACGGACGACGAGGATGTCAAATCGAGAATCGAGAAGGCGAGGAACACATTCATCAACCTAAAACCAGTCCGGAAATCTTCGTCACTCAGCCTGCATCAACAACAAAATTCGGATTTTCAATACAAACGTCAAGTCACTTCTTCTATACGGATCAAAAACTTGGCGGCGGGTCACAAAGAATATTTCCAACAGCCTGTTGCAGACCTTTATCAACAACAACTGTCTTCGCTCTTTACTGAAGATCAGATGGCCAGAAAGAATCACCAACAAGAAACTACGGGAACAAACAAAACAAGAACCAATCGCCTAACAAATATGCAGGAGAAAGTGGAGATGGATTGGACACTCTCTGTGGAGGCCGCTGGGTGACATCGCGCGTCAGGCCAGTTCTCGAGTGGAACCCGAAAGGGAAGTGGCGAGTGGGACGTCCAAGGGTGACATGGAGGAGGAGGTCATGTGAAGATGAGATGAAAGCATGTGGGCAGACATAGAGCCAGTTGAAAACGTTGGCAGAGAAGGGAACGCGATGGAGACGTGTGGCGGAAGCCCTATGTTCCTCTAGGAACTAAAGGAAACAATAATAATAATAACATAAATTGACCTGTCTATATGAACTGATTTGTAACTGTTTTGCCTACACAATAAACTCCCTAATTCCTGAAGAGAAATTGTGTATTTATGTGTGCAGTCTAATTTTTGAACGCATTGTGAAGAAAACCATAACCCATTGATTTCTGATTATCATTTTAAGGATCGAAAAGACGGTTCATGTGGTGTCTCATATCGTGTCACTGAACCAGGCGAATATTTATGCTCTATTCGTTTTAATGATGACCATATACCGAATTCACCGTATCGTGTTATTATAAATGAGGCGATGGAGAGAACATTCTATACACCTGATACTAAATTGTTGAGTTTTGCTACTGTTCAAGATCGTGGTCTTCAAGTAAGCATTTGTTCTATTTCATGCACTTTCTTAATGATTTTATTATTGTGATTACTTGATGCTTAATTACTGATTACATAATCAATCTGAACACTCATTTATTTTCAAGAATTGGTTTTTTTGTAGGGATTCTGTCTGTTTCAGGTTAGAACACGGACTGATATCATTTAGAGAACAATTGAAAACCGTGGAGTACTGTCAAACCAATGTCAACGGTGGGAACAGATGGAATCCCTACAAAAACCAATTCTTGAAAATTAATCTGATCCCCGCTAGTGATACTCTACAGGACGAAGTTCCCTGGAGTTCTGGTGGGAAGTCCTTCGTGACTAGTGGGGTCCATCCGGTGGGAGGTGAGGATACAGTTCCTGCCGGTGACATTGGTAGAAGTTTCAATTCACGGGTTGGCCAATGAATCGGGTCCCTGTGGCTGAATGGAATACGAGCTTGCCTTGTAACTGGAAGGTCCTTGGTTCGAACCGTGGTGGTGGGTGCTTACTGTCGATGATTCCCAAACTAGGATGAAACAGTTGTCTAGTAGCACTCCCTGGTTCTCAATGGTTCTCTAATTAATTAATTAATGTTTATGTGCATTATGTAACCCACTGGTTTAATTTTCGCAATTATTTCCACCCTTTAATTGTTATATTAATTATCTTGGTAACTGGAAGATATGCAAGTGAAAAGCAACAAGTTAGCAGAAGAAGCATCAAAGATAGGAGCTCAGGTGAACATAGAGAAAACAGTAGTGATGAAGATTCCTGGCCAAAAACAACAATCAGCATAAATGGGAGAAACCTGAAAGAAACAACCTCCTTTACCTATCTGGGAAGCATCGTTTCAACTACAGGCGGACAGTACTGACGAGGATATCAAAGCAAGAATCGGAAAAGCAAGACAAGCTTTCACTACTCTCAAGCCTGTGTGGAGGTCAACAGCGCTCAGCATGAAAAATAAGATCTGGATTTTCATCTCCAATGTGAAGTCAGTGCTACTCACCATACGGATCAGAGACTTGCACTGCGCGTCATAAAGAGCATCTCAAACAAACTACAGACCTTCATTAACAGATGGCTTCGCTCAATACTCAAGATCAGATGGCCGGCCAGAAAAGATCAGCAACAGAGATCTCTGGCGATGAGCGAACCAACTCAGCAGGAACCGATTGTGAAACAAATAGGCAGGAAGAAATGGAGATGGATTGGCTGGCCATACTCTGAGGAAACCATCAAGTGACATCACTAGACAAGCTATTGCTCGAGTGGAACCCGAAAGGGAATCGGCGAGTTGGTCGTCAATGCAAGGGTGACTTGGAGGAGGTCATGTGAAGAGGGGATGAAAACATGTGGAGACTTGGAGCCAGGTGAAGATTCTAGCAGAGAATCGAACGCAATGGAGAAGCACGGCTGAAGCCCTATGTTCCCCTGAGAACTAAATGAAATAGTAATAATAATAGTAATAATAATTATCTTGGTTAATGATGACCCCACTGACATGCTAATACTGACCAATTATTGTTAAAGAATTTGCCACTACAAGATTGGTAAATTTTTTGTACTGTATTTAAATTATATATTTATGCCACCAAAAATGTGGTAACATCACCACTGTTGTCACAACACTACAGTTCCATCATCTATTACATAATACATGATGTAATTACGGTTATGAAGGATACACTCCGATAGATTCATCATCTCACTGTAAGATATATCCAGTGAAATAACCGATACAAAGGGTAATACTAACTGCCGTGATGCTTCTTGAACCGATACAAGCCATTTTCACCGACGAGAACTCGTGGAGAATATCATTAATTACATTCCGAGTGGAACGCACGCCTGCAAGATTCAAGCTTTTAACTTTCAGTGGCGGTGATGTTCTTTTAACGAAACAAGGTTGGTCTCCTCCCTCCTTTCTAGGGTTATTATTGGCTAGTAAACAAATTAGCCGAGGTGTAGGAGTTCTTCAGTCGCAAGGAATCGAACCCAGACCATGTAGGTTATGCAAAAATGCTAGCTAAATCAGTAATTTATGGATAATTGCAAAATTACTCACCTCTCTAGCATGATACGAATTTAAGGAACAATCTTATCAAGCAGTTAAATTCTTTGAATCATTATGACATCCAGGGTCTTTCTAAATCTTATTCTTCTCTCTCCCTCTCTTCCAGATCGGACGTCCAACTGCATTCACAATTAATTATTCAGGAATGGGAGGTAGAATGAGAGCCTATGTTGTTGCACCGTCTGGTTTACAAACAGATGCATTTGTGCATCAAGTTGATGTTGATCAACACGCTGTACGTTTTACACCTCAAGAGACTGGTGCACACTTAGTTCATGTATTGATGGATGAACGTCCAATACCTGGTAGTCCATTCCGTGTTCTAGTAGGACAAGATGAAACAGGTCCAGTTACAGCCAGTGGGGAAGGTTTAAGCTATGGACGAGTTGGTAAGTTGGTTTTTTAAATAAGACTCAATGTTTGTGTTTGGGATTATCATTCATGCTTTGGTATTATTTGCGGTTTATTTGGTGAATTCAACGCTCAGAAATCTCAACCTTCATCTTGAACGCAAAAATCTTGTGTATTACTTTGTGCTGACTGTTTCGCACATAAAACACAAATAAGAAACGTTCTTTCATTGCAGACACACGCAAATATATCTTCCCCATTTTTAGTTGGCCTAAATTCCTTTGATGTGCGTCGGTGGCACAGAGGTAGAATGCTCAACAACCACGCCTCATTGGGTTCGGGGTTCAATCCCCGGCCACTGACACACTCCTTTACCTCGCCAGGTCGGTATTAAGACAGGTAAAGAGAGAGGGTTAGGCGTGAGGTTAGCACCCCCATCCCGTAAAAATAAAAAAACCCAATGCTATCGAAACTTCAAGCCTCTAGCTTGGAGTAGCCCTATTTTCCACTGGGATCGTAAAGGAATAAAAATCCTTTTAACAGGTTATGTCAGGCAGATAATATCATGTCAGCCTTCAGCGATCTTCAAGCGGTCTGTAACAGGAGCTAATAGGGTAACAGGATTCGAGAATTTCAGTGCAATATAACTGTGTCAACAGAAGATGCAAATTTAGCTTAAATAAGTGACAACTGATACTGGTTACACAAAAGGTGGATCTATCGAACTGTTGGCATGCTGGAAAACTTTCTCATATTTTTAATGATATGTAATTAGTTTTAATTCCAGTGAGAACACTATCATTTCCTCAGAGTACAAGTGCCTCTAGCTAACGACTTCTAATGACCTCCATGGTCAATCTTAGAAACATTACAATATTTTACGGAGCAATACAAACTACTTAAAGTTTGCAAAGTAGTTCAGTGTTTTTTATGCAAATTAGATTCGAGGGTGTGAAATAAGTTGGCCTGAATGAACAATATTTTACTTACAATAAAGTCTTCTCTTCAGATCCCCATAGTTAAAGAAAGATAGATACTTATTGTCGTTACAATAACACTCATATATGCGGCGGATATATTTCAATTACTTAGAATAACAGACTAGCAGGTATATTGAGAAAATAAATAATATTTGTGTGACAAACGTATCATCAGTTATATTATGAACAAGTGACTTGATTGCTCAATAGCCCTGAGATTGAGAAAGAATAGAACAGGGAAACCGATGCTGGACTTAGACGCATTAATCTCGAATACCGCTTGACTATGCCGACAACATTATACGGCAGCTACCAGTCTCCATCAGCCCAAACTTTTTAAATAAGAACGTACAATGATGTGAGCCGAAATATATATTTTACGTAGTTATAATTTATGATTCAAGATATCACTAACGATATGTCAGTTAGTCTATAATCATGATCAATAAAATATTGGGCGTTATTTCAAGTGGACCAAAATCTGATTGGTCAATTTCCAGGCTGGATATCGATCACCATATCACCAATAAAGGATTATCTACTGTTTATCTGTTTACATATCAAGTTTCATGGTTCGCTTACTTGTAAACAAACTTTAAGGTTTCTCATTTAAATATAAATTAGTTTCCATTCGAAGTTATTGTTCACTAGAGGTCTGTGGACACTCTTTCATCTTAGCACTGACAACTTTCACTGTGTTCGAACTAAGTGCTGTCAGACGGCGTTGAGAGGGAGAGCATGTTATTACTTTTGAAGTTCTGTTATTTAGAATTCACAACTGGTGAGGTCAATCAATTCAGGTGTGAAGAAAGCCACTCAGTGATCGTAGAACATAGGGCTTCACGAGGACACTGACACTTTCCTGCTCTCTGCGGTATTTCTCAAATTTTTTCAACAACTAAAGACAATCTTCTGTTTCCTCTACACATGATCTCCCCCATGACGCCCATGAACTGACATTCATCCAGTCGTTTCCCGTTGAAGTCCCACTCAAGTACCTACTTACCACGTGATGTCACTCAAAGGTCTTCTAAGTAAGAAGCGAAGGCAGCTGTTAGTTAAAGTTTGGGGCTTGTTTAAAATGCGTGTTTTCTTGACGCACCAAGTCTATGAACTTTATAGAATCACCGACGTGATATTAGTGTTGAAGGTCAGGATTTTGTTCCATATCCTTGGAGTGATAGATTTCCACACAGATTCATTTTAATGAAGATCTCTCTTGCTTTTCTGACCTCAACTGGCTTCTTCCATGCCTCCTGTAGTTGAGACGATATTTCCTAGACCAGGTAAGTGAAAGACATATCTTCCTTTAGTTTCCCATCATTGATGGGAAACGGTTTTTGTTGTCGTTGGTTGGTTATCTTGATCACCCCTATATTCTTAGGTTTCATTTGAAGTCGTATCTTCACTGTCTCCTCCGTTAATTTATTGGTTTACACTACTAGATCTTTGAGTATGACATTAGGCATAAATCACCAGCGGAGCCCAGATATTCCAGCGTTTTTTATTCCGTCCAAAGTACGCCATACTTTCGTTTTATCTAATTATTACAGATTAGATTCAAACTGAATCATACACAATGCACATTCCATTTTAATATTGTTCATATACGCTTATTTTCTATATAAAGGTGAACGTAATCGATTCTTTGTGAATACAGCTCATGCTGGTAGTGGTGCATTATCAGTTACTGTAGATGGTCCAAGTAAAGTTCAACTGAATTGTACGGAACGTCCTGATGGTTATGATTTCACGTATATGCCATTATCACCTGGTGAATATATGATTAGTATTAAATATGGTGATGCTCAGCATATTATTGGTTCACCATTCAAAGTAAGTTTTTGTTTAAATGTATTAGCATTAAATGTGCTTATTTCAATAATTTGTCTACCTGAGAGACTTCGAAACATGTTTTTAATTCAAGTTTTCAGCTGTATCATGTCTCCAGCTTTACAAGAATTAAGATTCATAGGTAACTGGATTTAAACTCATCAATGGCTGGAGCATAACTAACTTGCCATGTGACTTATTGATCCTTGGGTTACTCTCTGATAAGGCTGTGAGTTGCACACTGCTATAGGGTCGTATATCGAGACTAAACATTTATCCAGTACACCCTTATTTTCAACTACTCTCTTACTTATGTCATTTCGTGATGAAATATACTGAAATTGTCTTAGGAATATTGACAAACATCTGTAGCTTAGGAAAGTAATTCGAAGTGTTTTGTTTTTGATGTGGTTGCGTTCTCTGAGCTGAGTTGAGTTTCTAATTCCCCCACAGAGAAATTAGAAACTCGAGTCTATAGAAAATCAACTCACACAGACCAAATCCTGAATTACAACAGCAACAATCCAATAGCACACAACAGGAATTGTATACAAACACTATTCAAGAGGGCCAGGACTCATTGCAGCACTCCCACCTTAAAGAAAATTGAAGAAAGATATCTCATGAACGTCTTCCAAAAGAATGGATATCCACGGAATTTCATCAAAAGACATATACCCCCAAGCCAACCTATCAAACCAAAAGCCCTCTAGGAAAGCACAAAGAAAGTCGCCCTGCCATATATAAAAGATATATCAGAAATCACTGCAAGATTCGTCAAACCTTCAGGAATTGATGTCGCACATAAACCAACAAAATCACTTCACTCAGTTCTATGTCAATCAAAAGACTCAACAGCGACAGAAGATAAAACCAACATCACCTACAAAATAAATTGTAACAACTGTGAAAAACACTACATTGGCCAAAGTGGACGTCCCCTTCGTCTTCGTATCCACGAACATAAGCTGGCCGTCAAAAGACATGACAACCACTCCCTCGCTCATATCAATACATACAGACAACCATGTACATCAATTCGACTGGGACAACGTTCATATATTAAGCAGAGGAAACACCAAGAATCTAGAGAAATTTTAGAAGGCTGGTATTCCAGTGAATCTTCAGTCAATAGACACATCGACATAGACAAAATTTACCAATCAATAAGGAGGAAATCTTACACACAAAGGGTCAAAGTTCAAGTCAAAGAAACAATCAGTTCCAATAGAAGTAGCCTAGAAGGTGTGATAACACACAAAAACAACCAACCACGTCCAAGGTCAGCAGGAGAGATGATTAATAAACTTGTGGAGAAATCTAAAAGCTCACTTCCTCGAATTGAAGTATGCGCTGAAGATGTCACCTAGTACGGCAATGAAATCTGCGCAAATTAACCATCCAACTCAGAGAACACAACCACATCAAAATCATCCACCTGAGCTATAAATCTTCTCTATCATATCTGAAGTGTTTTGTGTTGGCTAAACTGCATAATTAAACAGTTTTCAGTCAGTCCACTGACCAACGTCATCAGCTTGGAAAAATCAGCACAAGTTGAAGTTTTCTTCGACCCGTTTACCACTTTACTTGATGAAGATGGGAGACTTTATTAATTATAGAAGACTCACATATTTATCTTATCTGTTCATCTCATTCCTTTTATACAGCTGGTTCCCTTGATTAAGATAGTTGGAGGCAATCGGCCACATGAAGCCTTGCTTGACCTACGTTTCGTGCTAGTTGGCACTCACCAGTCAGTCAGCAAGGCGTATCTGCAACCACCTTGAAGGAACTCATGTCGCGCCTCTCTGAGATTCGAACCCGCGTCACCCAGTGAGTGCTGCAGTCAGAGACGTTACCACTGAGCCAGCTATTCGGGCTCGCGATTGACCTCCTGTAGGACTGTAGTGGATATTTTGACTAGACACTAGTAACTAGTGTTATGTGTCTAGTCTTTTCTTTGGTGCAGACTGAATTCTATCAGTCCAAGGCTTCCTGTGGCCGATTGCCTCCAACTATCTAATATCATCAAATCAATGTGCACCGTGATGGTGAGCCACCTAGTGGTGTGGTGGCCACATTGGCAAACCTGACTGATAGAATTCAGTCTGCACCAAAGAAAAGACTAGACACATCACACTAGTTACTAGTGTCCAATCAAAAAGAACGAACATATTTGCCGTTTTGATAATACGAGCTCGTTTTATTTCGTGGATTCTGTCTCTTCAACTGCGTACATACTAAATAAATCAGTTATATGCTACAAAATTTTATCTGAACATACTTTTTACAATGATTTCAAGTTATAGATAGAAAGTATGAGCAACATAATTTCAAAGATGATCTAAGTAGACAATTATTTAGTGTGTTAAAAGAGTAACTATTTAGATAGTAATTCGACAAAGGGATAGAGTCCAGATTTCTATTGGAAACAAGGATCGACTAGAGGTAAAATACAAGATAGAACAACTGAGCGAATTTATACTCATTATGGTGGAGAGTTCAAGGAGGATGGGAGTGAATAGTGAAGGAAAACTATCAAATAGATAAAATAATTTCATTTAGTAGATTTGGTACTTTAATAATGAGTTCAGCTCAGTCAGTGAGTGAAAATCAAAATCAAGATTCAGTGTAATGTTATGCAAACAGAACAAAACACGAAAGCACACGAACAAAACAACTACGGTTACCAGGTCAGATAGTGAGAGATTAGTCACACTCTCTTTCTGTATGCATAGATTGGGTCGAAGTCTTTTAATGTCAATGGCTTTTATGTATGCTTAAACGCAAACGTAATACAACACACTATGCGTAGCAAACCCATATATGAAAGCCCTAGAAAGGAAAGCATTGACAAGTTTTAGTTGTCATCCTAGAATATGGTACAGATATATAGATGGCACACTTATCATCATAAAGAAAGCTGAAAAAGAAAGCTTTCTAACAGAAATTAACTTAATCTCAGAATATATAGAGTTTACTAATGAAGTAGAATCAGCGAAGGGAACTCTAAACTTTCTTGATTGTCTTATAAAAAGACAAACTGAGGAGAAACTAAAATTTACCATGCACAGAAAGCCGACACATTCCAACAAGTATTTGAATTTCCAATCAGATCATCCAACAGGAATGAAAGTTTCAGTAGCTTTAAATCTCGTTAACAGAGCTAGAAACATTACAACAGATAACAACGATATGTAGAACAAGATATCCAATATAAAACAGATTTTGATTGGAAATGGTTATCCGGAAAAGCTACTAGATAATATTATCAATAAAAAGGAGCATAAGGGAAAACAAAAAATTGAAAAATCTTGGCTATCGACGATAGCCATTCCATATCGAAAGGACACAGCTGAACAACTTCAAAGACTATTTGCTTCATATAATATTAAAGTCTATGTCAAACCTTCTAATTCTCTGGAGAAAGCGTTGGTGCATGTCAAGGATATGGTTCCCAAAATGTCACAAAGTAATTGTGTCTATAGGATAAAGTGTTCGGAATGTGAAGCATGCTATATTGGGAGAGCAGTAGACAGGTGAAGGTCAGAGTGAATGAACATAGACTATGCACGAAACATCCACCTAGAAATGAAGTAGAACTAAAAAGTCTAGAAAAAAGATCAGCTATAGCAATGCATGCGATAGACAGCGGACATAAGATTGATTTCGACAATGTCGAAATTCTTGGAAGAGGATTTCATTCACATAAAGAAAGATTGACCTCTGAAGCCTTGCACATTTTAACCACATCGAATGCAGTGAATAGGAAAGAAGGGATAGACTTATCACCTATATGGCAAACTCTAATGAAGCAAGACAGATGAAAAAACAACAAACACTCTATGAGCCTCCATGACCTTTTAAAAAATGTATTATCATGTTTATTACATGTGAATTGACGTCTTTCCATATGACAAATAATATACACTCACACACACCCATATAAAACTAATCCTTACAAACAAACTATAGAAAAATATACACAATAACAATTTGACATTAGTCATTACAAATATATGTGATGACTGCTTACATATTTCTATTGGTAAAAAAGTCCATGGACAAATGACCTTCAAATAAACTCACCTCAATTTACGTAAAAACTTTTGACTATATATTTTGATGATCAATAAAAATCCGAATAAATCTCCTGAAGAAGCTGTGGCTTACACAGCGAAACGTTCGGAAAACAGATCTTGTTTTTATTTTCTTAACACGCTGGGATTAATTTAAATAATTTATAATGAATCAATCTGACTCGGCGTTCAAATTATTCCAGGAAGTTTGTAACACCTACCGTCTGGAAACTTATAATCTTAGATGTTACTGATTGGTGTGCCAGTAAATTCTTGGCAATCGCGCACTTCGGAGGTCCGTGTTGAATTCCTGGCTGACTTACTCCTAAAGCTTTCAAGCCCTCTAATCAGTGGAACAGGCACCATGCCGGATTCTGGCTAGCTACTTGGCTGAACTATTAATACACCACCAAAAGAGCGAAACAACTGTCCGATGAGTGGTGTGAAACTACTCATTTCAGTTAGTCAGTAGTATATAGCATCATACACAGAAAAAAGTATTATATTTCACTGTTTTATTATTTGATATGATCAGTAATGTGACCTAGCAGATTGCAGACGATACGAACCTTATGGATTAACGAAACCTACTCTAATCGCTAATCACAGCATCAATCAGCAATGGCGAGCGGCGTAAAGATCCGACAACCAATGACACTTCAGCCTTTACAAAGAATGGAATATATTGAATAGTGCTGTGAGTGCGCGAAAACAGCAAAGCTATTTTAAGGATTTCATCATGAGCTGACATTGGTTACAGAACCATTGAAAAACCTGTGAGTACTGGACAGCTGTTTCGTCCTAGCTTGTGACTCTTCAGCAGTACGTACCCACCGGGGTACGAACCCAGGACCTTCTACACCCTAGTGGTCACGGCTTCTCACTAGAACCCCAGGTAGGGTGTGAGGATATTTACTCATCGAGGATATTGCGAGGTGTTCGCGCTATGTCGTGAATTGGTAGAAGTTAGAATTCATGGATTATTGGATCGAAATCGCCTTGTAACCGGAAGGTCCTGCTTTCGAAACTTGTCGGTGGGTGCGTACTGATGAATAGTCCGAAACTAGAACGAAACAGCTGTCCAGTACTCCCAGGTCTTCCAATGGTTCTCTAACCAATGTCAGCTCATGATGAAATCCTGTAACCAATCAATCCAATCCCTACAAACCAACACTTGAAGCTATTTTAAGGTTATGCACTAATGTTAGTCAAAAATTAGACCAGATTAGATAGCAAATAACATAATTTTTGGGAAGTATTTTTTTCTAAAACACAAACTTTCCTTTTGTCGACTTTTCTTTTTTTAGGCAATTGTTACTGGTGATGCAGTACATGATACTTTCACTGCTGATACAACACATGTTGTTGTAGAAACCGGTGGACGTCTTGTCAATGGACCACATTCGAATTTGGGACCATCAAGACCTGATCGTGTTACATGCTCTGGACCAGGTTTACAACAGGCTTATTTAAATGAAGTTAACACATTTACAGTGAATGCAACACAAGCAGGTAGTTGAAGAGTGAATATATAATATATATATATATTTTGCGAATTACTATTTTGGTTATAACTCCATTATAGATAGGAATTTATTTTGATAAATCACACAGTGTTGTTATACAGTAATATTAACTGATGACCACCTTTCGAGCACAAACTATTGCCACTCATAATCATATGAAGTCACTCACACAACTTTTTCCTTCATTTATATACATGTGTGGAATTGACTAGATATTCGAATAAAAATCATTCAGAAATAATAATATGAGTGTTATTGATCAATTACAATCAGATGGGAAACAAGACGAGTGTTTTTATAGTCATAATAAGTAACTTGTTAGAATGTTGTGATGTGCTTGAATTGAAATAGAATTTTGAGATTATTTATTATCCTCCTCTGATTTGACTGACTGGTGGTAATAATATCTTCCATGCATATCTCTGGTATTTGCATTGAGTCATTTCTGTTGCATGTGTTGTGTTGGGTGTAGACTCGATGAACCAGGCAGAATTCAGTAATCAATCTCTCTCTTCACCTACATAGATTACTTCTTAGAATTTTAACCCTCTCCCACCCTATTGTGTGGTTGTGCGTTAGTGCAATTGCTGAACTTCTTTCTAAATTACTTATCTTCGCGGGTGGGGTTAACCATTCTTACCTTAGCTAAATTCTTATGTTCCGACAATCTGACTACCCCCGATCTACTAGTTTGACCTATGTAGTTGATATAACTCACAGTCATTGCACAGTATTTTATAAACTATATTATTTTGTTTAATTGGGTCCACCGGGTTTTTTAGCCTACAGAGCTTGTCTCTGAGTGAGTTTGTAGGTTTGAATTGTAATTGATCAATAACACTCATATTATTATTTCTGAATGTACATTATCTTATACTGATTTTTATTCAAATGTCTAATCATCAATTTCACTCATGTATATAAATGAAGGAAAAAGTTGTGTGAGTGACTTGATATGATTATGAGTGGCAATAGTTTGTGCTCGAAAGGTGGTCATCAGTTAATATTATAACAACACTGTGTGACTTATAAAAATAAAACCTTATCCATAATGGAGTTATACTCTACCACCACAGTGCCCAAGTTTTGTACTTATATCACTATTTTGGTTATTATTATTACTGTTATTGTTTGTCCCTTGGGTTCGGAAATGGAGTAAAGGAATTCATAAGCATATCACCACTTCACTCTGTTCTCCACAGTCTTCCCTAAGCCTGGCTCCACGATTACTTTACCCATAAGCTTACATTCCCGTGTCATACAGTTTCTTCCAAATCACTTTCGGATGCCCAACACATCATTTCCCGCTCACATTCTATTCGATGGTCAACCTGGCGTTTGATGTCACTTGACAGTCTTCTCAGCGTTGGATGATGTGGTTCTTTGTTCGTTTGTTGCCATAGTTTCATGTTGTTTGTCGTGCCTAGCCGTTCATCTGATCTTGAGTATGCAGCCAGTAAATTCAGCTTGTGATAATCAGTTTAGGAAATAAAAAAAAGTAGGAATTAATTTTAACTGAAATGGCATTAAATGTGACTGTACACTATTTGTTTCTGACTTGACCTTGACATTTTCTTCAAATTCAAGGTGAGGTATAATTCTAATTTTTCTAGATATCCAACTATACATGACTCATATTTTATTTATCTACTATGTTCAATAAAACACGAAATAATTGAGCAAAGAATATCCTTTGAGACAATTTCTTCCTCCTCTGGCTCTACAATTATATTTATGTTTATGTACCCAGAATATTCTAAAATAGTAGTCAATAACAATATTAGTGTTTTTCAAATAATATCGATTTGTAAAGTAAAATCAATAAATTTTACTACTGAGGAAGAAAAAGACTCTAGTATTTCATTTCTAGACATCCTTATAACCAGAAAAGAGAATGGAACAATAAGAAGAAGTGTATATAGAAAACTTACATCAACTAACTGGTCAGCATACTCATTTTTTCAGCTTCATGCCCTTAAAATACAAACGCAATCTGAAAAAGTGCTTGGTTCACAAAGCAAGATCAATCTCCTTGGATGAATGTCTTGATGAGGAACTTAATAATATTAAACGGTTACTGAGTGAAAACGGTTATTTATGAAAGTTCATTGATAAGAATCTGAATCTGAAATCAAAGCAGCCCAAGATACCAACAGTTCCAAAAGAGGCCTTATTCTTACAAATTCAGTTCCTTGGGGACAACATCAGCGAGATACTAACACAACGCCTTAGAAATGCGGTAAAAAGAGCATTCCCTGCTGCTGAATTACGCTGTGTCTTCAAAACCACTCCTCTTTTGCGTTCGGGAGTAAAAGATAAACTGCCTAATTTCGCCTCTTCCATGTGTATCTACCAATTTAACTGCTCCTGTGGAGCCAGTTAGTTGCATAGGTCGTACAATCAGGCGTGTTTCTCGTTGGATATCCGAACATCACCCTGTGTGGTTAAGTAAAGGACAAACAAAATCTATTCGTATCGCTATTCTATCTCATCGTAAGGATACATAACACAAGATTGACGTTAACCATGCTTTCAGGGTCATTTACCACATACCAACAAATCTTAATTTCGCCTTAAGAGTTCGTTCACTAAATATTGCCGAGACTGGCTGTTGGGATCCACATTAAGAAGCCTGATTTATGTGTCCAAAAGAAGCCAGTTCAGACATTGTCCATACCTTGGCCATCTAGGTTCGAATGATCCTCAATTTTTATAGAAATTTTCCTGATTTTAGTTGATATTCTATTTGCTACTATATCTTTATTATTATTATTATTATTATAATTTAAGCATCTTTAATGAACTGTAATTCCATTGATCTTACTTGACAAATCGATATTATTTAAAAGACACTAATATTGTTATTGACTACTAATCTAGAATATTCTCTGTATATAAACATACATATATAATTGTAAAGCCAGAGGAGGAGGAAATTATCGAAAAGGATATTCATTGCTCAATTATTTTGTGTTTATATCGATATCTGAATGAATATTTTTGCTATCATATGTGCTATATGCTTAGTCATAATTGTAGTTGATACTCAGGATAACATTCTAGAAGAAAACTTCATAAAATGTCAGGATGTTACACTGATTAATGACTGTTGAAAGATACCAGTGATGTAATACCTAATTTTGCTTTTAGACTGCTTTGACCCCTGTAAGTTGAACAGCATACTAAAACAAATCTCCTATTAGTCGATTTTAGGAGTACAGAGGTAATCAATGGGAAGAATTGCCTGGCTTTAATTTCGCACTAATTGGCACTCGTCAGCAATGCTCATCTTGTGAAACTCGAAGAGTATGATGTCCCGTCGGAACCCGTACCAACCAGTGCTACAGTTATAGACACTATCACTAAGCCATTCGGAATCACGACTCATCCAGTGTAGACCTATAGTGAACTGGTCATGTATCCAGTCTTTAGTGTTTGTGCTGACATTGCCTTGTCACGTTTTATTTCATGGATAATTCCCATCCAGGCATAATTGAAAACAAAACACGTAGTTCGGCGAAGAGTCTCTTTGCATCGACAAATTCATTTTATTAACTGTATAATCGCAAATATATGTGTTATTTTGTATGTATGTGTATATTAAGTTTGTCGAACAAAAATACAATTGTTTATAGTTATTTTAACTAAACAGGTGAAGATTCTATATTGGAGTTACGTAATACAAGATCAGTCAAGAAAATTAGGTGTTAATGAAATTAGGATAGTAACAAAGAAGTTAGGTAATAATATGAATAGTTTGATGGTTGAGTTTTACTCAGGACACACATAGGAACAAAGTAGAGAATACGAAATTACGTAAGAGTTCTAAATGAATTGAAGAATTTTAAGCAATTAAAGAACAGGCAAACAAACAAAGTTGTTAACATGACAGTAGAAGTGGTCGAGTAATTGTCTTTTGTATGCACAGCTCCGGTTTTTCTATGTGAATGGCCAGAGCTTCAGCGATAAAAAGAAGACGAAACAGTATTTCCTTTGGTAGGTTATCCTTGACTCTGTAGACTACTTTGAAGCAGAAGGCGTCTGTTGAGATGGAATGATCAGTGTTAACCAGGTGTTGTTCAATTATCGCACTCCTTATAGCACCACTATTGCCTTTTCGCAACCATGCTGGATAGTGTTCTTGAATCCTCTTGGACAGGATGCGCGTCGAACGACCGGTATGCCTGGCTGCATAGCAGGAGGTGAACTGATATATGCACATAGAAGTGGTCAGGTGGGGGATGTTGTCCTTGAGGCTTCTGCGGATGAGTGGGCGACTGGAGAACACTATTCTTAGCGTTTCTGCAAAGAATGTTCTTCTTTTTTCATTACTGTCTTGCCAGTCAAGTTCTCAGTGTGATCACTAAACTTTATGACTCACCATCGTATTCCACTTCGAAATGATGCTAGATCATAGAAGACAATCATGAGGAAGCCTTGGGCTTGGTTCATATGGTTCAGTGAGCAGCAATACTAACGAGTGAGTTTTAGGATTAACGTCAGTGGCCTAGAATCAAACCCGAACCTCCCACGTGCGTAGCTAGCTATTGGAGAGCATTCTACCACTGGTCCACTGAAGCAGTATACACCAGTCGACTGTTAAATCTTAAACAGTCGTCAGAATAAATAAAGCCTGAACACAACTTCACCACTGAGATACTTTTTTCTTTCTTTTTCGTTTTTTTTCTTTAGGTCATGATGTTCTCTACGTTGGTGTTTCTGGACCAGTTGCTGCCTGTGAAGAAGTCAATATTAAACATTTAGGACATGGTCAATATTCGATTAACTATACTGTACGCGATCGTGGTCGTCATCAAATTATGATTAAATGGGGTGATCAACATGTCCCTGGAAGTCCATTCACTGTGAATGTTATTTAAACAAAAAAATTTACATACACATTAACAGTCTACTTACTATTGATATATAGTAGTAATAGTCGAATACATGAAAAAAACAACATGCATAGTGGTAAACTATTACATAACCATGACTCTCTGTCTCACACACACACACGCGAACAATGTTATGCTTCATGAAGTCGCTTCACGAGTGAACACTACCACTACTACTACTACTATTAGTAATATTAATAGTATATAAAAAACACATTAAATTATTTAATTTCCTTAGATATTTTCTCAGTAATGTAATAATTATTGCTGGTATATTCTAATATTACTGATGCTATTATTATTATTGTTATTATTATTAATGCTATCGGAGAGGGTTTCAATATCCGAGCAGTTCAAAGCTGGATGTGAAACGAATGAAATGGACGACTTTGAGTCGAAATTTGTCAGGTGCTTTGCTTATCCTCCTACATATTTTAACTTTAGGCTTTTCTAGAGTTCTTTCTGCAAGGTGAGTTCTCTTTCTTTCTTTCTTTCTCTCTCCTTTCCCTCGTTCGGAATCCTGCCTAATTGATAATTATATATTTATTGCATTGTACTACTTAAATCTACTTTATAAGCGACACAAAGTATTCAGTTACCCGCTAATTTTTCTGTTCATAAAATGAGCATATGAATATTCTTGCTTTTATTATTATTACTATTACTATTTCGATTTTCGTCAATATTTTTAGTTTCAATGACTCTAAATATACATAACCATGCATGATTTATGTTCTTTCCAAAAAATTCAAACACTTGAGCCGCTTTTATAATGAATAATATTGTACTTTTCTCTGGAATAAGTATGATTTAACAAAGAACCACCCTTTTTGTTTCTCTCTCGACTGGTATATTTTTTGGCCTATATATTTGTGTATTAACTGCTAAAACGAATCATCTTTAGTCCAGCCCCCACCCGCCAATAACCTGAGTAAATACTCATGAATACGCTTTTTGTTTCTTTCTAAAGAGCTGAATGCATTTTATTCACGCTAAATTGTGCTTGTTGTTGTTATTGCTGTTGTTGTCAACTCATCTTTCTTCGTCACATGCTCCTAATCTCCTAATCTACACCCGGCACCATCACGTTCGCTAATAATTCTTTTTTTTTTCTTGTTTTTCTTTTTGCCTACTCCTTGATTTTTTTTATCCAGCCTACCTTTACATGAAACCCTCATTTTTAATTTATTAGTTGTTAAATCGCTTTGGTTGTTTTTATCGCCCCATATATATATATGTATGTGTGTTAAAACAACAGAAACCCCATAATTATGAATGAAATTTTAATTGATTTCTGAATACATATATATAATTTTAATTACCTTATTAATGAGTTGTTTGATTTTGTTCGGAGATTTGCAATTAATAGTGTTCTCTGAGCTGGTTGGTTTAGTTGCGGAGCTTTCGTCGTCCCCCTGCTGGACAACATCCCCCTTCAGCGCAATATTTAGCATAAAGTGAAATGATTTAAATTTCTTCATGAGTGATGATATAATTGCGTCTCCTGGTAACCATCTTTACATATGTATTGACCATTTTTATTATTGACTTGGATTTTAAACTTTCTGGTCACCTGATTTACTTTTTATTATTCAAGTGCTGGTTTGTAGGGATTTGACTGCTTACAGGATTTTCATCATGAGCTGACATTAGTTAGAGAACCATTGGAAAACCTGGGAGTACCGGACAGCTGCTTCGTCCTAGTTTGGGACTCTTCATCAGTACGCACCCACCGCCAGGGTTTGAACTCAGGACCTTCTGGTTACAAGGCGAGCTCGTATACCATTAAGCCACTGGGACCCGATCCAATGGCCCATGAATTCTAACTTCTGCCAATTCACGACACGCACCCTAGCCAATGTCTTCGGCGAGTATTTGTCCTCACGCCCGACCTGCTGCACCCTACTGGTCACGACTTCTCACTAAAACCCCAGGTAACTACCTACCTGAATAGGGCAAGTCGCTAGTGAACATCTCATTGATATTCAAGTGTTGGTTTGTAGGGATTTGATTGGTTACAGGATTTTCATCATGAGCTGGTATATTGGTATATTTCGTCCAAATTAACATGTTTGTTAATTGCATTTTTGTTCGAGTACCAGGCTTCTAAGAATTCTCTGACTGCACTTTTGGTGTTTCCTCTGTCTAAGATTTTGACATTATCCCAATCGGAGATTTTTGAGGGAGTGAACGAATAGTCCCAAATACAATATCTATGACCAAAGTGACCTCATCTTACTCGGTACACTGTCCTTTTATTCGACTGGTTCCACGATTGTCCATAAGCTTTCATTTTCCTCGACATCCACCTCGTCGTTTCTTAGTTGGGCTCCACTCGAAGGGGCTGTCTGGCGTGTATGTGTGTGATGTCAATCGAAGGTCTCCTTAGCGTTTGTCCAATCCATCTTCCTTTCCTTCAGCATGTTTGTTTGGTGCAATAGGTTGTTGACTGATTCGCTGTTAGAGTTCCTTGAAGTTATTTTGAATGATGGTGACTATCAGTGGAATGAAGGATGCGCATTTCGACTTATTTCGGACTCTTCAGTTGGATGTACCTGCATTCTACTCAGTGCGTTATAGTGTTCTCACTGGCACAGTGAATAATGCTTTGGTGTTTAAAACGATCGGTTCAGGGTTCGAGTCTCAATTTCAAGGGGCAAGCATCCTGGATTGCATTGCTAGTCACTATCGACCAAAATAACTTCGCCTTAATTCTAAGACATTGTCGAAGCTCCCGTACTAGCAGGCGACTTGTCAACAGAGATCGAGCAGTTTGATCCAGCTTAATTAATCAAGAATTCCTTGTAGTTTATCGTTTTTGGCAAGCCAGCTGATCTTCACTGTTGAGTGAAGAGGACAAGTGTTGATGAGAGCGCTTTCAATGACATTGATAGGAACCAGCATAAAATAATATATCACCTTTCTCACGAATCTTGTGATGGAGTTACTATTTAATCCATCAATTTCACGGTGTATTTTATCTCACAAACCATCACGATTTGAATTTACTCGGTCTTGGCTGGTTAGAAAAGCTGAATCTCCTAAATGTTCCACTAAATTCGGTGTATTCTAACGCGTTGTCTTCATCAGATGATTTCATTTCGAGTCATGCTTCACGTACATCTCTGTTGCAACACTCGCGTCAAATGCATCCTCCAGTCTGCCGGAAAAATCTTGGCTGCCGCATGTTTAACCAAGTATCTTCGACTCTGAAGCTGAATGTTAAGCTAGTTTTCCATCCTAAACGTCCAACTCAGTATCAGCTCCAATCCTATGGACAAGATGAATGCTTCCTCGATGCTTCTAAGCTTGTTTTCATGAGAGTGAAGGGGGAGGGAAGAATGAGAGAAATCTTAGATAGATTTCTGCTGCCTTATCACAAGGCACTCAGTACTTCTGCCTCAAATAAGTTATCTCCAGCATGAGTTGTTTTTGGTCGAAAAATCAAAACTCCTTCAAACAGATCCAAAGGCAGTCCTTAACCTTTTAAGGGAGGAGGTCACAGGATCTCGCATAAAATAGTATATCATCCTTTCTCACGCATTTTGTGATGCATTGTGCGATCGACCATTTCTCATGGCTGTGAGCCGACTTTATTGTGGTAAAAATGTGTCGTTTTCCTAATAAATGTACAGTACAGCATCTTGCAGTCACAGGCCAGCCTTTGTCCTTTGATATTTGCGTGGTTCAGTGAGCCGGAAGGTACAACAGACGAATAGGCGTATTAGTGTACCAGTTGAGTTCATTACCGTTATTACAATTAGCGGCGCAGATATAACAGACACTTGTCATGTTTTTGAACCACATAGACGCGATGACTTAACTTTAGTGTTGATTAGAATCACGATCTTCTTATCTTGCCGGATAATTATACCAAGGACGGTAGAAAACAGAACAAAGTGGAGGGAGATGTGTTGTTGAAGCCATATGTTCCACTTGGAACGCAAGGGAATAATCATAATGATGATGATAGAGTTACGAAGGAGGACTAAGTTAGAAAGTAGTGATTTCAGCCAACAACCGCCTCATTTACCTTAAGGTAGGCAGTTACAGTTGAACACCAGCAATCAGGCAGCATGTAAGCTGCCTACTGATACGTGGGCGTCACTCCAGCAACCTACATGTTATCTGACTGGTAGATTTCAGCTTACTGACATCAAGGCTTAAAAGCTGACCGTGAACACTATCCACTGCAGGAGGCATTTCAGACCTTCAGTGGAGAGATGACACAGCAGTGATTGGCTGTGAAATGAGTCCGGAGAGAGTATATTATGGTGACCAACCTACTATAGTTGAATTGGTCCAACAGTTTTTAGAAGTTTATGGGCAGTTGCTGTCTGGAGTTATGATGACCGGTAGTGTATATCAGAGTTGTTTCATTCAGTTGTATCACAAATTTACTGAAGAATATAACCTTGGACAACTTTGGCGTTTTAGAGACTGACTTTCTACCATTTAAACTCTCAACAAACTAATTATTTAAAACCAAGAAGCATTAGATAACTGTTTTGTCTTAGATTGTCGTTCTTCATCAGTGCGCATCCTTTGTGCCAATAGGATATAGAACGTTGAATCTTCAGATTACAAGGTGAGGCTGACGACTATTCAAGCACTGAGACGGAATCGAATGGCATACGAATCTTAACTTCTGGTTATTCGCAATTTAACACTAACGCTTACCAAAACCATAGATAAGCATCCCCTTCCCATTAACGCGGTGGACCTCACCGTCCACAAATTCTCATTAGAACTGCAGAACATCCATCACGCAGTGCAGATAATTAGGAATTAGTACACATGGGTCAGTGAATCCCCGCCCAGTGTCTGAATGACCGACGGGTTCGCAACTTACCTGAATTTCCCGGTTTCTATCTCTGATGGAATGAACCTGTGAAGAGGCCGAAAGAAGGACGAAACATCCGTCCAGTGCTTCTTGATTTTGAATAGTTATCTGATTGATATCGCTTAGTGATGAAATTTGTATTGAAATTAATCAAAATCCTTGTGAACAGTTTTCACGTTCCCATGGCAAATCATCAAGTCATATGTACATGCCTTCTTAGCTTTAGATGTAAACTCGAAAATCTCAAAGCATATTTAATCTTCAAAGTTCACAGAACAGGAAGAAAAAGCGAATGAATCAGTTGACTTTCTTTCAAAAGAATGATTACTGAACAAAGAATTTTCTTTTCGATAACCCCTTCCTCATCAGGTTCCACAGTTATATATTATATATATACACATAATAGTGCTAGAATTAGTGTCATTAACAACATTAATGTTTGTTTAAATAACATCGAATCAATAATAATAATAATATCAATGGATTACAGTTCGATAGTATCAACATAACAATAAACTGAATATCATAAAAATTAAGAAAGATAATAATACAATATACCACTTGTAGTTGAAACGATACCTCTCAAATAAGTGGAATACAATCGAGTAGAGCCTGTCAGTTAAAATTTGAATTTTCAAGTATTGGTTTGTAGGGTTTGTTTTGTTTGATTGGTTGGGGGACTTCATCATGAGCTGACATCGGTTAAAGAACCATTGGAAAACCAACTGGGAGTACTGCCAGACAGCTGTTTCGTGTCAGTGTCAAACAAAATCCCTACAAAGGCAATACTTAAAAATTCATCTGATGCTCACTAGTGACTGGCCCTAATCAGATAGTTACCTGGAGTTCTAGTGGAAAGCCGTGACCAATAGGGTACAGCAGGTCAAAGATGAGGACAGTTACTCATCGAAGACATTGCTAAGTGGTCGCTCTGTTTCATGCGTAAATTGGCAGAAGTTAGAATTCATGGACTGGGTTCGAATCCTTACGGTGGGTTCGTACTGCTGAAGGCTCCAAAACTAGGACGAAGCAGCTATCCAGTACTCCCTTGTGGCTTTCCAATGGTTCTCTAAACAATTTGAATTGTCTCTCAGGTAAAGTTGGTCTTCTGTGATTTTGTCTTACATGCCTAGAAGAGTCCCGTAATCATATTAGATGTTACGTTGGACTGTTTTAAACGTATTTTATCAAGTTTCTTTTTACACAGCTTGATTATTTGTTATGGCGTTTGATATACTACTATGCGCGAGAATACCTTGCGATTATTTTTATTCTAACCAGCGCTATTTGTTCCATTGTCATGCATCTGGACATCTAAGCATCAGGCCTTACATCATCAGTCTAAATTTCTTCTATGGTCAAGAATAAAACTGTACTTCTGTACATATAAACAGACAAACTATGCACATACAACGCCTACGCGCAACTATTGACTGAGACGGCTATAAACACGATTCCAATGCTGATTGGCTAATTTCTCCGTGTGAAGGCATGAATTAATATAGAATGACCTAGAGTGTAAGATCAATACTCTTACAGTGTAGTTATTATTATTATTTTGTAATTATTACTAACATATAAAAGTGATCGAAACTTTCTTGTTGTCAAATGGAGGTTTTAAACAGAGTAAGTTTTTTTTTGGTTGAAAATATTGATTAGTGTTTCACAATGTATTAAACATCTGTTTATTGTTATTATTATCGTTGTTAAGAGAAAGGTTTGTTGGGCGAAGTTAAAGTATCATAGCCAAAGTCAAGGTCTTTCAAAATTTGACCTTCAATAACCAATCAGACGCAAGGAATGCTAGGAAACGTCACTCCAATTAAAATCATGCCTGCCTTTCTAGACTTGGGAAAGGCAGCTACAGTATTCCACTTATTTTCTAGATACGTTTTCTGTAAATCTATACTGTTGGGTGGGGTTATGACTTTTTCAGGTAAGGGTCTAGGGTTAAGTTTAGGAGTAAGGTCAAAGAACAGTGCCAGAAATATCAACAGATCTCAAAATACCATGACTTACAGTCAACTGGATGAATGGATATATCGCGCATGGTACGATTTCTCCATAGAACAACTGTGTAGTATAATATCATGTTTGCAATGCTTTTTAGGGCATTTTTCAACGATCATGCGACCTTTTTGCATCTGAATTCTGATTGGTAGTTCAAGGTCACTGCGGTTCTGGCTAGTATAGTTTAACTTTGCCATTTGTTGAAACATATGGGTAGGACTGACTGACTGAATTGTTTCAACATAGAACTTTGCACCGATGTGCAGCAGTTCAAGTCGCCACACTTCACTTAGCACACAAAGCAAGAGAAGAAGATAAAAAGAAATGCAAAATAGAGACAGTAAACAGAGATATAAGGCAAAAAGAATAGTAATATGAAGAACTACATAGTTTTATTGGATGTTATAAATCACAAGGAGTGGATGCATCTGCGCTAGCCATTGAGAACGAGCATTTAGATCCATATCACCAATTGTATCCGGCCATTGGTTTATACCGTCCCGAGGACCCTAACCAGTCAGGGAGTCTACACCTTCCTACATGACTGGCTTAAACTAGCTGTTGTGGATTTCATTGACTAGTGCCTTGTTTTGGTTTGACCAGCACTGGCTCTTTTCCAACCTGAACCTATGTCAGCTAACATTGCTCGTTGTCGAGGAAGGCGATGGCTGGGCATACGTAACACATGTCTTAAACATCTCAATCTATGTAACTTCACAGCCTCGTCTATTGATTTCGACTCCTTACCTAGCACTCAACCGATGCCTAAAATCAATATTGCTCACCCCATCATACCACTTCACACGGGAGATAGAACGCAGGCACGTACGATCAAAGACAACTAGCCTTTTCATATCTTCCACTCTCAATGGCCAGCCATAAAGGAGGACGGAGCGGACTGCCGAGCAGTACACATGCCCTTTGGTCGATAGCCGCCAGAGATGGCGTAAACTGGCATATGCGAAAGGAGCCTTCTGTATCCGTGATGAGATTTCGTCAGTGATCAACCAAACTGGCGTTGGCTGTTGCAGCTTCTCAAATAATTGAAGTGGTAAACACGCTCCACCAACCACTTCACTCCCTATTTCTAAGCTAGGAGTGAGCCAGTGTAGTCCACTCCTGTAGCGTCATCTTACGTTTGAGAGAAGCGGAGGAATCACATACCAAACATTCGTAGACTGAAGCTGAAGGTGTTCAGAAGACTCTGCACTTTGTCAGCGTCTTCACCTAGCAGGACTATATCATCTGCCTTTTCTAAGTCAACGAGATTATTCCCTGGTAAGAAGTCAATCCCTGAGTCACTGAGGTGAGTTAGGGTTAAGTCCATTAGTACATTTATGATGAGATTGAATAGAAATGGGGACAGTGGGCATCTCTGACACACATCACTGGTTGTCACCACTTCAGATGACAACTCGTCATGGGCTCTTATCTGGCTGCATGAGTTCCAGTAGAGTGCCTTGATCAGTGATCAGTTTTTCATCACCATTTAGCTAACCTCAGTTGCAATTCAGTTGGTCAATTAGTGATGATTTCATGTATTGATATTATTCCCTTGGGTTCCGAGTGGAACATAAGGCTTCAACAGCACATCTCCATTGTGTTCTGTCCTCTGCAGTCCTCTTAAGCTGGCTCCACGATTCTCCATAAGCTTTCATCTCCTTCTCACACGATCTCCTCCATATCACCGTCGGACAAATGCCCAACTCATTGTTTCCCATTCCGGTTCGACTCGAATGATGGCCTGGAGTGCAAGGTCACTCGACAACTATATGTTTGGAATGCTTTTCGTGATGCGCAGTGCAAGTTTATGACCCATAGAGAAGAACTGACTGACTTAACACTGGTGCTGGAAATCAGAATTTTGTTTGTTTCAGAGTGATGAATGTATGTCTTGCCTTTCCCATTCCCGTCTTGATAGAGTCATCCGTGTCGGCTTCCTGTAGTTAAAACAGTGCATCTTAGATAGGTGAAGGAGATGACGCCTTTTAAATTTGTTCCACTGATAGTGATTGATGCATACTGCTTCCGTCTTCTCTGTGTTCACTTGAACTCTTGTCTTTGTGTCTTCTTCCTTTTATGTCAATTTGTTGGTTTTCGCCTGTAGATTTTATGTATTTGTATAATAGTTTTGTAATTCCTAAGCAACGGAAAAAAACGATATTGTTGTTTTTACTGACGTTTCGCTATTTAATGCTGCTAATAGCTTCATCAAAGTATTATTAAACCAGAATTTACAAAATCCACTCAGCTTATATATAACAACTTAATCATCGGTCATCAGCAGGGGGTAATTTTTGTGTTGTCAAGTTGGTCAACTGGTAAAGATAAGAAAAGCAGGTGTAGATGACTGTTGGATTTGATAAGTGTGTAAAATTATAAAAGCAGCGTGTGTTTACATAATGAAATCGCTAATCACACTCTTATTGATTTTGTGTTGTAACCAGGTTGAATTCTGTTTAAGCACATCATTCCTATTCGGACAATTTGATATGAAGTGCTTCTGATATCATACCCTCTTTGTGAATTCTGAAATGCTTTTCTGGACTATTTTAATATTGGCAAAATCAATTTTGTAGCCTGATTCTATAGCATGTAAACCACCCATGGCTGATGATTTTTCAAGCTTTACTACTTCAACTGGATTTCTCGGTGGTCAAACAGATGCTCTACGGTGTTCATTTCTTCTGATTTTGATTTCTCGCTAGCGATGTTCGTCCGATGTATATCGCATCACATTCCAAGCACTTTATTTTATAGGCACAATTAGATAGAGAATCCTTAGAGATTTGGTCTTTTATATGGACAAGATTGCTTTGCAGTGTGTCTGATGTTTTGAAGAAAACTCTGACGTCGTGCTTATTGAGTACTCTTCTGATATCGTCTGACGTCTCTGCTCTATATGGAATGACAACTGTTGAGGTCCATTTTTTCGGAATACGTTTTCGACCATATTTAATGTCAGTGTTGATTTTGTTGATGAAGTTCTTTGGGTAGTTGTTTTTCTTGAGAGTACCAGTAATGTTTGATATTTCTTCTTCTTTTTCTTTCTCATCCTTTATCAAAGAGTGTGCTGGTCTAAGAAGACTTGAAACAATTGATACCTTTGCGCTGATGCGGTGTGGGTTTTCTTCCTGAATACAGATACACTAAAATGTCCGTTTTCCCTCCTCTCAACTAGGCAGTCTAGAAATGGTAGTTCACCGACGTGTGATTCTACTTCCGACTTGACAACGTAAAAATTACTTCCTGCTGATGAACGATGATTAAGTTGTTATATATAAGCTGAGTGGATTTTGTAAATTCTGGTTTAATAATACTTTGATGAAGCTATTAGTAGCACTGAATAGTGAAACGTTAGTAAAAACAAAAGCATCGTTTTTTTTCATTCATTGGGAAATACAAAAACTTTTATACTAATGAATATCATACACCCAATGCCCAAATTTTTCCGAACTGTAGATTTTCTTGTTTGTGTGTGACATTAGACATAAATCATTAGCAAAGTCCAGATCTTCCAGTGTCTTCCCGTCAGTCCAACATACGCACCTTTTCTCAATTCTCACGGTCTGCCGTATGATGTAATCCATCACAGTGAGGAAAATCATCGTCACTAGTAGGTAGCCTTATCTATCTACTGTCTTCATTCTAAAACGTTTCGTCTAACCTTACATTGTGAATCAATTTCTCGGCATGCAACAGTATCATATATCTTTTGAATATGATTTATAAAGGTCAATGGTACTGTATTCTATAGTTTTTGAAGTGGTTTCAAAATTATTTCACCATCGACACTGTCAAAAACCTTTTCTACGTCGATGAAATCGAGACAAAGAATTCACTATCATTCTAGGCCTTTATTGGAAGCAAATATTACTTGATGATACTAGATGGTTGGAGGCAATCGACAGAAACCCCCTGCCCCACCTAGGTTTCGTGCTACTTGGCACTCACCAGTCAGTCAGCAAGGCGTATCTGCAATCTTGAAGGAGCTCATATCCCTTCTGAGATTCAAACCCACGTCACTCAGTAAGTACTTCAGTCAGAGACGTTATCACTTAGCCGGATATTTGGGCTCGCGATTGACCTCCTGTAGGACTGTATTAGATACTTTAACTGGACACTAGTCAGTGATTAGTGTAGTGTGTCTAGCTAGTCCTTTGTTTGGTGCAGACTGAATTCCAGCAGTCACGTTTGCAATATGGCCAACATTCTAGGTAGATGGTTGGAGGCAATCGGTAGGAAGCTCGCTCGACCTAGGTTTCGTGCTTGTTGGCACTCGTTGGCACTTAATATTAAATTACTGTTAAGATTTAATTGAATTTTAGATTTTCCCGTCGATTGATTGGACCGAAGTGCTCGGTCTCAGGTTGACATGTCGGCTTCTTGAGCAGATGCTTCGACGATGTCTGGGCATTTAATTAGTATTTAATTGATGGATGATGACTAGCAGTGGAATCCAGGATGCGCATTTCGCCCCATTTGGGACTCGTCAGCTGGATGTACCTGCATTTTCGTGAGTGAGTGATGATGTTCCCACCGAGGCTCGAACCCAGTGCCCATAGTTTCAAACGCCAAAGCGTTATCCACATCCAGATGACGAGTCCCAAATAAGACGAAATGCGCATCCTGGATTCCACTGCTAGTCACCATCCACCAATTAAAAAACTGTTAAGATTCTTTTGATTAACTATATGTATACGTAATTTATGCACTGATTTTGCACGTTTAGGTTGACAGTTTATGTGAAGATATTACAGCAGAGTTGAATTCACTCGGTGAATGTGTCTATGCAAAGCTCTCAGATATTTCATGGAAATTTGAAGAAATTGAATATGTAAACTCGAAAATTACTCTATTCAATGAAAATAAACTAATGCTTGATGAAGCTTATTTTCCAGATGAAAATGCGGCAAATTCGTCTTCTTCAGCACCGACGACAACAACAACCGCAGCCTGGTACCAAGTAGCTGCAGGCGCTGCTGCATATGCCTATAAAACTATAGGCAGTAAATATTCAAACCCTGTACGACATTGGCTAACAAACGCAGCCAGTACAGCGATCCAATATGGTCTTCTTGGTAGATATTTAACCGGCATAAACACATGGACACCTGAAGGCAATTGGTTTTCAGGTAAATGGACGTCAGAGAATACAGCAAGCGCAGAAGAGTTAAAGTCTGCTATCGACCCTAATATGTCCACAATGTGTATAAATGTTATTATTGCCGGTATTCTTAACTATTGTCAATCAAATTGTTATACACCGAAAAGCATGTCAAATTATGCCATACAACTGCTGCATAACGGTTCTATGGAAAAATTTGGAATAACTAATGAGCATGATAAACTATTAATCATGGAAATCACTAGCCAATGGTGTTCACGAATTAAAATAATCCAACTAATTGAAAGTGCATTAAGAGAATCTTGGCAATTGAAATCTGTCGCCTCAATTGGTCAGTGTAAGCTACAATTAACGCCTCAGATTAAAGAGTATTTTGACTTTTTACCTATAAACTGGAAGGATATACAAGCGGCTGTATGTATTGCTCATAAACTTGTCAAATCCCATTGTGTTTATTTTGCTGACTTTCACAGTCAACTAATCGATATCAAAAATCAATTGAAGTGTATCCGAGACAATCCATTCAAGTATCATTGTGATTGTAAATATTTACTAGAGAAGAATAGTAGTGATAATAATAATAATGATAAAAATAATGATAAGCCCAAGATAGAAAACGACAAAGTTTTATTTGGTCGGTTGATTACCTTTTTAAAGTATGCAGAACCACAAAGTCAACTTTTCCAGCGATATAAATGTTTAAAATGTAATGGAAAAACTTGTGAAAAACAATATTCTGATTATAATAAAAATTGGGAATTAATTGTTCAACATATTTATAATAATGAGCACTCTTCTTATTCTTCGATTGAAGAGATAATTAAAAAATTACAAGAATTAAAATTAATATCAGAGGATTTCAAAATCGATGAGGAATCAGTTCGTTCTGTACGTAAGGCGTATAACGTTTAAATGATCAATATTGTCATTGTGTACATTGAACATTGGTGATTGATCAGTTGAAGAAGTGTTAATTCAAATTTTTGCAATTATTATTTTTTGCATTGAAAAGTTATATATATATTAGAATGATGTTTATTTTCTTATAGTTATAATAATAATAATAAATGTGCTTTATTTCAAAACATTACTAATGTTACAGTGTGGAAGTTTCAGCATTTGGTACAGTTACTGCATCTAATTTTATTGAATAATATTAAAAACAGTTTTACTGTGTGTCCTGTGTCAATTAAATGTCTGGCGATTGCACTCAATAACACTTTTCTTCCTTTTGTCCGGAGACTCTTAGGAATGTGCTCAGAAAATCTAGTAGATGCTCTCCTCTCAGTCCTTCCTATGTACTTGCTTCCGCAAGTGCAAGTGAATTGGTAAATGCAGTTGGAGTTGACGTGAGCAGGGTACTCATCTACTTTTGACTGGGTTAACGAGCACACAGTGTTGTGAAATAGGATCAGTCTGGCGGCTGGAAACGTTCTTTTTTTAATGCACCTGTGATTCTTTTTTGTGTTCTTGTGGATACGTCTTCCCCTTTGTACGCAGCTGTACCGGCAGATTGATGGGGTGGCTATGGGTTCACCTCTGGGTCCTGTTCTTGCTGACATATTCATGGCTCATCTTGAACAGACTTGAATGAAAGAAGAAATAGAAAGAATCACCTATTACTGCAGATATGTCGACGACACGTTTGTGGTCTGCAATGATATAGAACACGCGTCCAAAATGTTTGAGAAACTCAATGCGGCTCATCCCAACATTGCGTTTACAATTGACTACAAAAGAAACAAACAGTTCCATTTCCTAGATGTCAACATAAAAAGAAGAAACGACGGGAAGATCCAAAAATCTGTCTACAGGAAAGAAACTTGGACTGATCAGTAGTTAAATTATCACAGCTTTTGCTCAACCAGTTACAAACGAGGTCTAGTAAAAACGCTCTTCAGCAGAGCCAAAGAAATATTTTCGGAAGACAAGATTGAAGAAGAACTCGCGGTAATTGAAAAGAACCTTATCGAGAATGGATATCCCCGAAAGTTCATATTAAAGTATAAAAATGAAGAAGCACACAAACCGAAACCTGACACCGTTGAAAAGAAACCAGTTTTCATCTACCTAGAGTGAAAAGGGGAAGACGTATCCACAAGAACACAAAAAAGAATCACAGGTGCATTAAAAAGAACGTTTCTAGCCGCCAGACTGATCCTATTTCACAACACTGTGTGCTCGTTAACCCAGTCAAAAGTAGATGAGTACCCTGCTCACGTCAACTCCAACTGCATTTACCAATTCACTTGCACTTGCGGAAGCAAGTACATAGGAAGGACTGAGAGGAGAGCATCTACTAGATTTTCTGAGCACATTCCTAAGAGTCTCCGGACAAAAGGAAGAAAAGTGTTATTGAGTGCAATCGCCAGACATTTAATTGACACAGGACACACAGTAGAAATTAGCCAAGCCTTCAAAATAATCAAAAACAGTTTTTTTTCTATTCCTTAACGTTCCCAGTGGAACATAGGGCGGCTTCAAGCTAGAGGCTTGAAGTTTCCGTAGCAGTCGGTTTTTTCTTATTTTTACGGGACGGGATTGCTAGCCTCATGCCTAACCTTCCCTTCCTTTGCCAGTCTTATTACCGGCTTAGAGTGGTAAAGGAGTGAGTCGGTGGCCGGCCAGGGATCGAACCTCGTACCACATGAGTCGTTGTTGGAGAGCACTCTACCGCTGTGCCACCGACGCACACATTAAAAACAATTATAAAGATAATATTACAAGATTGCTAATGACGGTTCTTATACGGTGTTTGTAGTGACAGTGAAGTCATATAAATATATACATATATATATGTGCGTCGGTGGCACAGTGGTTAGGATGCTCGCCGACCATGCACATGGTCAGGGGTTTGATCCGCGGCCGACTCACAGCTGATATCAATGATCCGCCAGCTAAATTTGGGTTACCGATATCACATGCTGAAAATTACATACTTATACCAAAATACTGTGTGGAACCAAGCTATAATAAAAAAATAATTGTATGTAAAAAAGATTGGAAATAATAATAATGGTTCTCTAACCAATGTCAGCTCATGATGAAATCCTGTAACCAATCAACCAAATCCCTAAAAACAAATTCTTGAATATCAATGAGATGCTCAGTGGTGACTGGTCCTATTCAGGTAGGTAGTTACCTGGGGTTCCAATGGGAAGACGTGACCAGTAGGGTGCAGCAGGTTGGGTGTGAGGACAAATACTCGCCGAAGACATTGGCTAGCGGTTGCGCTATATCGTGAATTGGCAGAAGTTAGAATTCATTGACTGGCCATTGGATAGGGTCCCAGTGGCTTAATGGTCTACGAGCTCGCTAGCCTTGTATCCAGAGGGTGCTGGGGTCGAAGCGTGGTGGTGGGTGCTTACCGCTGAAGAGGCACAAACTAGGACGAAACAGCTGTCCAGTACTCCCTGCAGGTTTTCCAATGGTTCTCTAACTGATGTCAGCTCATAATGAAATCCTGTAACCAATAATCATAAGGTTAGTAGCTAAGATTTTCAGTTAATTGAGATGGTGTCACAATAGATTACAAATAGGAGATAATAAAAGAGTCAGTTATTTAGCTAACAATATAGTAATTCATAGGTTTCACACTTTACATTGTCTTAATCGCATAGAACACAGATCAAATATGGTATTATTGAGTTCCTATACTTGGTAGTACGAGTGAGCATATAATCTTTTATATTGAGGTCTAGTTCTACTAAATGAGATGCAGCAAGGGGAAAGTTGACAATAGACGGGGTGTTGAAGGTCATACAGTGTAGATTTAGACCATTTCTCTCAAGAGTTGTTCAGATGTCTATCAACTAATGTAGTGACAGGCTGACTAAGTCGCTAATCACTTGCCCTACGGACAGCCTTTAATACCCTTCCCAAAATGACACAGTCCTTGTTGATTTACCCAGGAAAGACTAAGTTTGTGGGGGGGGGGGGTGGCAGTAAATTACAATAGTTAAGAGGCACAAGTTAACAAATTGTGAACGCAGAGGTTGAGTGATTCCAGATTGTTTTAGGCTCCTAATTTGGTGGTAAAGTATAACTCCATTATGGATAAGATTTTATTTTGATAAATTACATAGTGTTGTTATACAGTAATATTAACTGATGACGTTTTGAGCCCAAACTATTGCCACTCATAATCATATCAAGTCACTCACACAACTTTTTTCTTTCATTTATATACATGAGTGGAACTGATTAGACATTTGAATAAAAATCAACCAATATAGGATAATGTACAATCAGAAATAATAATCCGAGTGTTATTGATCAATTACAATTAGATGGGAAATAAGACGAGTGTTTTTATAGTCAAAATAAGTAACTTGTTAGAATGTTGTGATGTGTTTGAATTGAAATAGAATTTTGAGATTATTTATTATCCTCTTCTGATTTGACTGACTGGTGGTAATAATATCTTCCATATTTCTGGTATTTGCATTGAGTCATTTCTGTCGCATGTGTTGGATGTTGACTCGATCAATCTCTCTCTATCTCCACCTACGTATATTACTTCTTAGAATTCTGACTCTGTCCCATCCACCCTAGTTTGTGGTTGTGTTAATAAATGCAGTGCGATTGCTGAGTTTTTTTTCTAAATTACTTATCTTCTCTGGGTCAACCATTCTTACCTTAGCTAAATTCTTATGTAACCACAATCTGATTATCCCCGACCTACTAGTTTGACCTATGCAGTTGACCTCGCTCACAGTCATTGTAAGGACAAGCTCTGTAGGCTAAAAGACCCGGTGGACCCAATGAAACAAAATAATATAATTTACAAAATACCTTGCAATGACTGTGAGCGAGGTCAACTATATAGGGCAAACTAGCAGGTCAAGAGTAGTCAGATTATCAGAACATAAGAATTTAGCTAAGGTAAGAACGGTTAACCCCACTCGCGAAGATAAGTAATTTAGAAAAAAGCTCAACAATCGCACTGCATGCATTAACACAAAATCACACAATAGAGTGGGAGATGGTTAAAATTCTAAGAAGTAATCTATGTAGGTGGAGAGAGAGATTGATTACTGAATCCTGACTGGTTCATCGAGTGTACACTCAACACATACAACAGAAATGACTGAATGCAAATACCAGAAATATGGAAGATGTTATTACCACCAGTCAAATCAGAAGAGGATAATAAATAATATTAAAATATATTCATTTCACATTAGAAAATTCTTATAAGTTACTTATTTTTACTGTAAAAATCATCTTATTTCCCATCTAACTGTAATTGATCAATAACACTCATATTATTATTTCTGAATGTACATTATCCCATATTGATTTTTATTCAAATGTCTAATCAATTCCACTCATGTATATAAATGAAGGAAAAAGTTGTATGAGTGAGTAACTTGATATGATTATGAGTGGCAATAATTTGTGCTCGAAACGTGGTCATCAGTTAATATTACTGTATAACAGCACTGTGTGATTTATCAAAATAAAATCTTATCCTAATGTGTTAGCTTAGACAGAATATTTTCTTGGAGATCGATAAAAATGTGGGATAACCAAGTAAGGTCAGAGGATACAACTATACCAAGGTATTTTGTGTTCAACCTAGTTTCTATTACAGGTATCCCCAACTATGCTACAAGTATCGTGTGTACTAACTAGTCTAAAGGAGAAGTCAATAGTCTGGCATTTTGACAGATTTAAGCTAAGACCATTTAGCTTAAATTTAGTTTAAATAATTGAACATCATTTTAGGCCTTCATTGTTGAAAAAGAACACTATTTGAAAAAAAACTTGAGATCATATGATACATTTGAATTCAAGAGAAAATCAATAAGAAGTCCAATTACTTTTATGTTTTTTAAATTTTATTTCGATTACAGCTTGATTCCACACCGTATTTTCAGTACAAGTATGGAATTTTCAGCATGGATATCGGTAGCCCAAATTTCAGGCCGACCATAGATATCGGGTGTGCACCAGCAGGGAATCGAACCCCGGACCATGTGCATGGTCTGTCTTGGTTAACATGTCATACATTGCATACGCTTACCAATGAAATTAGTGTATAACTTGAAGTCATTTGGTGGCT